CCCCTCGCCGCTCGGCGGGATCGACCGGGGACGCTCGGCTTCCCCCACTCGCTTTCGCTGCTGGACACCGCAGAGGCCTTCCAGGGGCGGCAGGCGTGGCCGCGTCCACGCACTCGATCCCAGCTTTACATCCCCCGTAGCCACAGGACGGCAGCGACCGCCTCCATCACTTCCCGCATTCTGGTCAGCATCTGGGACTGGACCGACCCGGAAAAGCCACCCTGACTCTCAGAGCCGCTCTGTGCTGGGACTAGCTGCTCAGGTCTGACTCACCTGCCATAAAGGAGGAGAGACACACGGCGTGATCACAGGCAAGAATCAGGAAGAACCAAGACCTACTTCTACAGGAAGAGAAATGGAAGCTGGGCAGCGCTGGGGGGAGGAGGGTGATGAGAGACAGGAAGAGAAGAAGGAAGGAGAGAGATGAAGGAGGGAGGGACAGGCAGGGGTGACACGGTGTTATGTATTTTTCCTTGGCTAAGGTAAGACCTCTGCCTGCTCTAGACGCCAACCTGCTGAGATTGGGGTTTTCAGGAGCCCGGCGCAGGCCCTGGCCCAGGATCCCTGCTTGGTCCCCTAGCCAACCTCCAGCCAGCCCTGCCTTGATTTGTGCAAGACTGCCATCATGTGGCCACCATGGAGACTGCCCGGGAGCCAGCGCGCCTCTGGTCACTCCTGTGTTGTGCAGAGATGGCAGCCCCTTCCTCCACCTGCCTGAGAGGACCTCAAAATATAAACCAGACTGAGGAGCACAATCAGGTCTCACAGAGCCATCCGGGAAGGGGCATGGGTGCTATACGGAGCCATACAAGGACCATCACAGTATCAACTGTCTTCCCTGAGGTTTTTCTTTTATTGAATGACTGGCTTATGGATCTGCTGTCACACTGGCAAGGAAGCACCAACCGTCCATCTTAAACCACCAGGTGGTTACAGCACCTCATTGTGTGTGGGGGGGGGTGAGGCTGTGCTGGGCATCACACGGTGTCCCCTGCATGCAGGCCGCAGTCTACTTCTGTGCTCCAGGTCTCCTTCACACAGAGTCCACGTGGTCACCATCAAGAAATAATCAACCTTTATTGTCTAGGTTCTGCATCTGAGAGAAAACACAGAGGCTTATTTCACTTAACCTGATGATCTCCAGTTCCATCTTTCTGCAAGGGACATAACTTCATTCTTGTGTATGGCTGAATAATATTCTGTTGTATATATGCACCACACTTTCTTTATCCAGCCATTGGCGGATGGATACCTAGGTTGATTCTGTACTTTGATATTGTGACACTATAAACATAGGTGTGGGAGGGTCTGTATTATATTCACACAGTCCTTTGAATATATGCCCAGCCTCCTGAGTAGCTAGAATTCGAGGTGAGCAACAAGCACCCAGCACTCAAAAGTATTTTGTGCACATATATGGAAATAGAATTGTGAAAGGCATTAAAATGGTTTTTAAAGCAGGGAGAAGATATAAAAGTATGATTGAAATATGCATGGAAATATCACAATGAAACCCCTGTGTTCAACTTTTTTTTTTTTTTAGTCGGTTGTGGGGCCTGAACTCTGGGCCTGGGTGCTGTCCCTCAGCTCTTCAGCTCAAGGCTAGTGCTCTACCACTTGAGCCACAGCACCACTTATGGCTTTTTATGCTTATGTAGTGTTGAGGAATTGAACCCAGGGCCTCATGCATGCAAGGCAAACACTCTACCACTGAGCCACCTTCCCAGCCCCTGTATTGAACTACTATACAGTAACAAAAAGAACATATTTAGGCTATGTGTGGTGGTTCACAACTGTAATCCCAGCTCCTCAGCAGGCAGAGGTAGGAAAATCACAAGTTGAGGCCAGCACAGGCAAGAGTGCAAGACTCTATAAGCGAAGCAAAAGAACTGAGGTATGGCTCTAATAATAAAGGCTTACAGTAATTGGTGCAAAAGCCTGAGTTAGATGCCTATCACAAAAAGAAATATTCAGCAACCACCTCGACCTGTGCCTTGCCCCACATGACTGGGGTGGGTACAGGAAACCCACACACCACGTCTCTATTTCTAGCAATTGGGGCTCCAGAGACAGGGAGGAGAGCAAGACAAATTAGTCTTGCATTGGTTCTGCCCCAAGATGCTAGTCTGTGGCCCAATTTGAGATTCAGAGTTTTTTTCATTCCCTCCTCAGGTGTCACATAGTGGCACCATGAAGAGCAAGGAGCACAAAGTGACGTCAGTCATCCCCCAGAGACTTCCCTCTCGCACCCCTCCCCACACAGGCAGATCTTCAGCATAAATCAACACGGCCCATGAAGCCACGTGATTGCTAAGCAAGGAGAAGATAAGAAGCTTTGGGATGACGCAGCCCTACTATACCTTGTGGATCCGCCATCCGGAGAAGGCTTCTGGGAGTTGCCCTCGGCCTCTTCAGAGCTTCCTGGAAGTGCTGCCGTCCCCGAAGCAAGAAAATAAGGAGGCAAAGGGGTAACGCCAAGGCTTGGTAACCCACTGGGGACCCCTGGCCCTTAGTGTGACCTTCACTCACCAGTCCAAGGTCCTACTCAAGCGTTTCCTAACTTCCACTGGGGCCTGGGCCTGCAGTGCCTCAGCTGCTGGAGGAGCTGACCCCAGCGCTAGCCCAGGCCTTTTTCCACTCCATGTCACACTTGCAAATGTTGTGTGACCTCCTACCAGTGCCAGCTGATAAAATGATGACGTCTTATGCAGCTGTGCACATGGGCTCCCTACTCCCCACCCCAAATCGTGTGTGTGTGTGTTTGAGATAACTGTGTAAAATACACGGTTCTACATTTGCACTGGACTTATACATGCAACATGCTTTTACTAAGCAATAAATGTATTACTTGATGGTTATCTACATAAGTAAAATGTTAAGTCTATTTACAGAACCATATAAATTAACAAATTTGGTTTGGCAAACTTTAATTCTAAGCACTTAGAAACTACCACACAGTTTAACTCAACTAATAAGAGTTTTGTTGTTTTGTGTTGGTACTGGGTCTTGACTCGGAGCCTGAGCACTGTTTCCCTTAGCCTTTGCACTCAAGGCTGGCACATGACCACTTGAGCCACAGCTCCACTTCCAGCTTTTTGCTGATTTAACTGGAAATAACCTCACTGATTCTCCTGCCCACACTGATTCCAAACTGCAATTCTCAGATCTCAGCTTTCTGAGTAGCTGGCCACCGTGCCCAGCTTCAGAGTCTTGTATCACCCAATAGTGGAAGCTGTGGACTTATTAGTTTATCAGTGAGATCAGAGAGTTTGTCAACCTTCTTCACAACTGTATCCCTAATGTCCTAAATATCTGGCATATGCAGATGCTTCATTAACTGTTATTAAATGAATTAATGAAGAAATCCAAAGAAGGAAGATATCAAAGGAAGAAGGAAGGAGATATCCACTTATCAGTTTTCCACCTTCCCTCATACTTTTATGTAGTATGCACTAAAGCAGCCACTCTGACCTGTTTATGTGCATTTCATTGCTAAGCAATTTAAAGCCCAACACAATTTTTAAATGAATGTGATATTTTGCAAGCAGCCACACAGACAAGTTGGTAAACACCAGCTCTCCAGGACTGCACTACATGACAGTTACCACAAGGGGGCACCATACACCTTGACAAAGCACAGAATCAGCACACCTTTGTGGGTGCAGAGTCCCGCTTTCCAGTTCGGCCACAAAGGTACCCCTGTGGCCTGCCCCGCTGGCAAACAACTCAGCAATCCAACCTGAAACTAAGCTACATCTCCAGTTTGCCCCTTTTACAGAAGGGAACCCAGCTCCATCTCAAATTGTCCACCTTTCTTCATGCACAATCCCATTAAGAAAATAATAACAATAAATATAAAGGGAAGAAAAGTGGTTTCCCTGTGGACGAGAATTGGGTCTATAAAGATTGAGCTGGAAAAAGAAGACAAAACCTTGAGCCTCTAAGAGAAGAATAACTGAATTTCTAAAGCACTATGCAATGGTTTCCTACCTCCTGCAACATTTTTGCAAAAGGACACTTCACTGGGAACGTATTCAGTTTCATTCCCGCCAGGAAAAAGAAACTAAAGGCATATGCAGGCTGACTGAGAAATCACATCAGATGGAGTTATGATCCTATCGCTCAAGTTTCAAAGGCTTTGTCATATGTAACTGAGCATAAGGGGGAGGAAAAAAGTTCTACCAACTTCTTGTCTAAATGCTGTGAAATATCTGCGAATATTTTCAGGGTCATTATAAGCTACAGATGTTAGCAACTGCCATGGTAGTGTTAGCCTTAAAAGACTTCATCCATAAACGAAACTGCCTCAAAAATAAAATTTAAAACATTTGCAAGGAGCCTGCGTGAACTTCCCTTTGAAATGTAATAAAATGCTCGTGGCTTATTCTGAGTTCAGAAACACATGGCTCCTCTGGTCTCCTTGCTAAAGGTTCCATTTGTACCACGCATGAAATTACAGAGGAACTTGGAAAACAACCACCAGAGATAAAAAGGACAAGAGGAACACCTCAGAAAACAAGAAAACCACTGGCTAATTAATTACAAAAATCAAAGTGTCCTGGGGAGAGGTCCATGGGAGAGAAGATTCTAGAATGTGCATTGTTTGCAGAGCTGTGGGAAATTCAAGTCTGTTTAACATTTGCTGATCTCCATGAAGGGAAAAATGGATTCCCACTTGGCCCTGAGAAAGTTCCAAGCCTCTGTGCTAATCTGTGATTACATTTGCAACCCCCTCTCATCAACTTGGACAAAACAAAACAAAAACCCTGAGATGTCAGCCATAACCTCCATCATGACTGCAGGCCAAAACTGGGTGAAACACGCAGCAAGCACACCGAATCCCTGCCGGCCAGGAGCTAGCCCTGGCCTCCACACGCAATGAAAAGAACCCGTGCTGAGAATCGGTGTTGCCAAAGTTACCATTTTAGTCACCTAATTACAGCTCAACTAGAATGATGACCATTCTTCCTTCAAGGCTTCTGGAACGTTCTCTGAGAGGCTGTATGAAAGTGGGAGTTGGGGCATCTCTGCGTGAATTCAAGTGACAGGTTTGGCACCCGGTCCTCCAGCCCAGCTTCCTCAGTCCAGACCACACCAACTCCTAGCTCTTGAAATAACCCCCCGGTGGAACTCTCCAGAAGGTAACCATCTCCCCAGTTGGGCAAGCACATCCTGTGTGGATTCCACATTCTGACATGCACGGCCGTCTCTTTCTGCCTCTCTGGCTCAGGGAGCTGCAGGGCCCTGCACCAGGCTGCAGCCTTGTTTGTGAAGCTTGTGCAGAAATACGTGGCTGGTCTACTCTGTGCCCACAGATGGGCCACACTCCTAATCCAGTGCCACTGTGCACGTCCCTCAACGGTCCCATGACCCCCACAGTCCTGCTGGCCTCCTTCCCCAGCTCCTGCCCACCCCATTTGTATCTGCAAAGACCCACTAAGCCTTCCAGCTAAAAACAAAACAACCAACCTACACTAGTCTCAGCAATAAATTCCAAGGAGCCTGAGTGTCACCGCCTGGCGGGGGCGGTCACCCGAGTGAAAGGAGGCTGAATACCCTGGGGCCCTCAGCCCCTCATGAGCCACCTGCCACCACCGAGGAAACTTCCAGATCAATACTGGCAGTTAGCTACCATCCCAGCAGGGAAGGGAAGCCAGGGTTGAGTGTGGGACAGTTCATTTAGTATTTCCAGCCACACACAGTCCCTGAAGCTGGCTGACCCTGGCTGTGGGCCTCGGGGGAGGACCGGGCTGAGAGGCATATCAGGTGTGACCCTCTCCATCTGGGAGAAACCAAGCTGGAAATGCAGGGAGAAGGGAACCTGCATTCCACTCGGGCTATGTGAAGGACACCTCTCCCAGCTTCCCTTAGAAGACCCACCAGAGAGGCCCTGTCCTCCCTTGAAAGCCCCATGGTACCAATTCCCTGGGAAAACTCACCAGAGCACTGTCTGGCACTATCCAGAACGGAAGCCAATGTGCATGTCTGTAAGTCTGTCCACAGGAAAACAAATAACAGGATGTCAGCAGGTGTCATACTATGCTGCCATCAAAAAGGAAAACACGAACCAGGGCTCCCTTGGCTCACACCTGTAATCCTAGCTACTCTGGAGGCTGAGACCTAGAGGATCATGGTACATTGCCAGCCTGTGTGAAAAAGTTGTGAGACTGCATCTTGAATTAACTAGCAAAAAAGTCAGGCTGAAAGCATGGTTCGAGTGGTAGACTATCAGCTGTGAGCAAGAAAGCTGAGCAAGACTGTGAGTTCAAGACTGAGTTCAAGACCTAACACACACACACACACACACACACACAAAAACACAATTAGCAGAATGTTTTCTGCAAGGCGTTTCTGTGGGTGTATGTCTCCCCTCTGAAGAAGAGACTTGCTTATTAACAAACCATCAAGGTATCCTCTGAATTTTCAACCTCACCTAGGCAAAGTAATATATGCAATACACTTTAGCACGCACAAACTGGCCTTCGGAGAGGCTTCTGTGGTCTGCTGTGAATCCAAGAGATGATCAGTAGGTGTGTCCCCTTCAGGAAGGGAAATCACACCAAGGACAAAGGCCCCAGCCATGGCCCATTGCCCATTTTACCCCCACCACAGCCCAATCCCACCTGGGAACCTGGTCTGTGTCAGCTGTGGGTGTGACCAACAACTGGACCCAAGCACACCATGTTGGGGACCAGAGCGCACACAAGCGCACGGAAGTCTGTTTTGGAGATGCTCACTCACAGTCAGGAAGTCCCGCCTGCTGAAGCTGAACCCTGAGCCAGATGTTGATGCGCTGGCCCCAGGCCCCCGGAGGCTCCACCTCCCACAGCCGTCCTCGCACCTCTGGACAGGCCAACAGGAACCGCCTACAAACTGGGAGAGGAAGGCAAGCCTGAATCAGGAAGACCTGCCCATGGGTGCTCGACCACTTGAGCCATGCCTCCAGCCCTTTCTGCTTTAGTTATTTTTCCAACAGTGTCTCCACTTCCTGCCCAAGCTGGCCTGCTCCCCATGTTGTTGGAATGGCAGGTGCACACCCCCACGCTCTGCTTTTTATTGGTTGAAAAGGAAGCCTCTCAAACTTTTTGCCTAGGTTAGCCTTGAACCTTGATCCTCTGGATCTCAGCTTCCCAAATAATGAGGATCATGGGCATCAGCCACCACGTCCAGCTCAGAACACATCTATCAGTCTGCAATCTAACCCCTCACCTAACACGAAGCTTAGCTTACAATCAAGTGAGAACCATTTCATGTAATTCATTGAACGTCAGCTTCCAGAACACACTAGTCACAGGCAGAAGGCAGAGTCTCAGTTGTCTGCTCTCCTGTCCCCTGGCTGACAGGGAGCCATTTGGACCCAATAATATCACTAGCCCAGAAAAAAGCTCAAAATGCTAAATTCAAAGTTCAGTTTTGTCTCTGTGTATGACTTTAACACTGTTGTGAAATTGTTCATACTGGAGCTCGAACTCAGGGCGTGGGTGCTGTCCAGTAGCTTTTTCCACTCAAGGCTACCACTGGACCACTGAAGCCACCACAGCTCCACTTCTGGCTTTTTGATGGTTAATTAAAGGTAAGAATCTCTTGGGTTTTCCTGCCTGGGCTGACTTCAAACCTTGATCCTTAGATCTCAGCCTCCTGAGTAGCTAAGATCGCAGGCATGAGCCATGGACACCTGGCTCCATCTACATTTTAAGCCAGTGGTTTCTTGGGTTGGGAAAGATTTTCTTTTTGTGTTTTTGGGTGTTGTTGTTTGGGGAGTGTACTGTTTGTGTGTGTGTTTGTAGCACCAGTGTTTGAACTCAGGGCCTCATGCTTGCTGGGCAGGTCCTCTGCTGCTGAGTCACACCTACAGCCTTTCCTTGCACTGGGCTCCCCCCTCCCTCCCTCCCTCCCTCCCTCCCTCCTTCCTCCCTTCCTTCCTTCCCTCTTTCCCTCCTTCCTTCCTTCCTTCCTTCTTTCCTTCCTTCCTTCCTTCCTTCCTTTTTTAAGACAGGGTCAGCTTCCTGCTCAAAGATGTACCTAGACCACAATCCTCCTATTTTCCGCTTCCCATTGTAGCCGGGACAACAGGTAGACACCACCACGCCCAGCTACTTCCATTGTGATGGAGTCTCACAGACTTTTCTAGTCTAGAAATGCTATACTCCCAGTCTCAGCCTCCCATGTGGCTTGAGAAGACTTGGTGTGTGCTGCCGTGCCCAGCTACAGGTTGAGAAGAGCGCCGTGAGAGCCTTTCTGCCTAAGCTGGCCTCCAACTGCAGCCTCCCCTCCTCAGCCTTCCTGGCGGTGAGGGTGACAGGTGTGAGCCACAGGCACCCAGCTAGGGTCTACATCTTCAGAACCGAAGAGGACGCCTCTGTGCTGGAGGCATGGGGGACATCTCAGGCAGAAGCAGACCAGGTTCTGTCTCTCCGGGAGGGTTCCCAGGACACCACCCACCCTGGGAGCCTCAAGAATTCCTCCCCACGTGTTCCTCGCAGGTGACACGAGGCAGGGGGTTACCTTGGTACATGGCAGGAGAGATGGGGCCACTGACCCCCAAGGCCTCTTCTTCTTGGAAAGTCTCGCAGAAGTCCCGCAGCAGGGCCGTCCCCAGGCCTTGGCGACGATGCTTCCTCCTGATGAACACAGTGTCGAAGACAGGCAGCAGGTAGCCGGCACCTGTGCCAGCAGCGCACAGGCTGCCTGTGGGGAAAGCAAGATGGTCACGCTGTCCCCTGTACAGCCAGTACCACACGGTACCACGCGGAGGTGGGATTCGCTTCACAGGCTCCGTGGTAGCTGCTCAGTCCAGGCCAGCCATCCCTGTTGCTGAAAGGCCTGTGCTATTGGCTGCTGCTGGGGCAGCCGCTGGACAGGTGCACCCTGGGAGACTGCGCAGAGCCAGGGACCCAGCTCTCTCCCTCACAACCCACGAGGTTATCCGAGTGACACCAAGTGCTTCCGGGATGATCCAGGATCCAGGGGACGTGGCTCCCGCACAGGGATAGTGCAATCTGGTAAGAAAAGGGCTACACAGCAGATCTAACCCCAACTAAGAGGTGAACGTGTCCCCAATTCAGAAAGTGAGTGAGTAATCACCCCCCACCAAAATAATAATGGGGGTATGTTCTCATCCCCTATAAACTGAAGTCATGAAGTTCCAAACAAACTGATACTCATATTTCAAGCCCATTGGGGGTAGAATTCTAAATAGTTTGCAATTGCAGTCTTGTCAGGCGAAGATTTTTGGTTGAACGCAGATTATTCACCTATTTGGGCCATTAATGCATTCACTTCATTTAATTAACAAGCCCCTTGATTGGCACCTAAGCTGGGCTCTGCTTGGTAAGTGTCTAGCCATGGGTGGTACTGACATGTGATCACAGTATCCCACCTGTCAGGCTTCCTTTGGGAGGAACTATAAATGCAGATGTAAGCTGGGCGTGGAGGCTCACTCCTATGATCCTACCAATATGAACACCCAATACTGGCAGGACTGTGGTTCAAAGCCAGGCAAAAAGTTCCTAAGACCACCCTTCCCACACACACTCATCTCAAAAATGCACCCATTTTTTTTTGTTGTTATTCAGTCAAAAATATATTCCACTTTGTGATTTCTGTGGGTTTGGGGAAGAGGTCCCTGAGGAATCTGCAGTCTTACACATGCTTTTTGTACAGTGCGACGATTCCAAAGAGAAGTCTGTTCAAGTGGCTACCCCGGACCCTGCACCCCTCTCCCGCTTCAGACCCGTCCATGTTCACTTCTGTACTTTGAAGCTTTGTTATGAGTCCCATCTGTCACCCCAGCTACGTGGGAAGTATTAATCAGAGGATCACAGGCCAGTCTGGACAATAGAAAGTAAGACCTTATTGGGAAAAAAAAAACAAAACATGCAAGCAAGAAAGGACTGGCATTGTAGCTTCAGGGGTATAGTGCCAGCTTGGCAAATCTAAGACCCTGAGTTCAAATCCCAGTACTTAAAAAAAAAAAAGAGGAATGTAACTAAGTTGCGCTTGTTCCACATTTTCCGCTCATCACGGCCCTGAAAATAAGTCGTGGTTGTTTAATGTAACCTTGTCGCGGTGGCTGGCCTGCCGGCTGAGGTAACGTCTGTGAATCTTGGCTCTTGGGTCCCCCCGCCCCACCTGTCAGCTATTAGCCACAGCATTTTGTCTGGCAGTGAACCCGTGACAAGAAAGAAAGAAAGAGACAGGCCTTGTGCTTAAAGAGTCTTTGCACCCGTGGGACTTCACTGTTCCAGAAGATTCTCTCCACACGGCACTCCTTCTAAGGGCAGTTAGAGTCCCCAGAACCATCCAGAGCTGGGATGGCCCAGGCCCCGAGAGGCCGCGCCGCCCTCACCTTTCATCTTGGTTGAGTAGAATCCAATGGCTGCTCCGTCTCGCCACAGGATTTTAGCCTGCTCCCTCGCAGAGTGAGGTAAAAAAAACATGCCATCCTCTTTCACACTTCTCTCCAGTCTTCCAAAAACAATGACGTTTAGAGTGAAAAGCACAATCCTTTCCCCAAAGGAGTGGACCTTGAAAAGAGAGAGAGGGAGGGAAGACAGATGCGGGAAATCTTGTGTCTGGCGTCAGCGTGCGCACGCAGGCCCAGGTGCGCGTGCTTCAGGGCCTAAGTGTGAATCACGGTGTCACCACAACATGGCCTCCGGGGCCAGCCACAGGGTCAGGTGCCCAGGCCTCCCGGGGCGCACAGAGGTGAAACGCAAGTCAGCAGAGCAGAGTCAGCCATGGCTAATGGAACAGGAAGTTGCCTCCAGGGGCAGCCAGGGCAAAACATTCCAGCACATTCCCTGGATGTGTCCTGAAGGAAACTCCATCTGCCATTTTTTTTTGGGGGGGGTCTGGTCATGGGGCCTGAACTCTGGGCTTGGGCACTGTCCCTCAGCTCTTCAGCTCAAGGCTAGCGCTCTACCACTTGAGCCACAGCGCCACTTCCGGCTTTTTTCTTTTTGCTTATGTGGTGCTGAGGAATCGAACCCAGGGCCTCGAGCATGCAAGGCAAGTGCTCTACCACTGAGCCACCTTCCCAGCCCTCCATCTGCCATTTTTAACAGCAGCAGAGTTCTGGCTCTCCGAGAAGACATCATCGAGGAGATGAACTGCCACGTGAAAAATGAGGTTTAGTAGCTTGTGGCAGATTTCAAACACCCGCTGAAATCCCAAACCCAGAGGTTTGACTGGGGTTCGAGACCTGTCCCGTTCTGAGCTGTGACCCAGAGCTCTCTTGCCCACAGCCAAGGTCCCCGTCCTGTGGTCAAAGCCAGGCCTGCAGAGCTGGAAGCTTTCACAGGCCACCAGGGAAAACAACATCACGCTTCTGTCTGTCACCCTGTCTTCTCCATTTGTGCAGCCCATGGGGACCAAGGTGGGGGCTGGGGTCAGGGCCACCTGCTCCCAGGACACCCAGAGAACACGGGAACCCCCAAACACCACAGCAATCACTACAATTTGGCACGGGAGTTGGGAGTCACTGGCTCTTTTTACAGTGACCATGTTGTCCTATCTCATTGCATGGCTGCACACACGTGGGCGTGCGTGAGCGCATGTGTGTGCACGCGCCAGATTGACTTCCCCATTACCTGGGCTAGGACTGCCACCCACATACTGCCAAGTGTTTCTTGCCACCTACCAAGGAGGGCCTGGTACCCAGATGACGAAGTCCCCGTTTGGAGAGGGCACGTGGTCATGTTTATGGACTTCCCTGCCTTTTCCAACGAGGACTGGAGACAGCTAGACAGGGCTCTGACAGCCAGTGCGCCTGACGCCCACCCAGCCGCCATTGCTGAGCTCCCTTCTCCTGAGACGGAGAACAGGAGATTCCCATCCACAGAGGAATGCCTGGCTTTATGTGGAATCACCTGGCCACTCAATCACCATCACCACCATCATCATTTGTAGTTGTGGGAGCTCAGCTTAGATTTCCTGGGAAGTCTCTGGCAACCCATAGTCCTGACCCCCTCTTTCGTCCACAGGTCAAGAGAGAGGACCACTCAGGTGATCTCTCAGACTGTTTTTCCAATGCTCCAGTAATAAAAACAAAGCTGTTTGCAGCAGCCTAGCAAATGATACCCAAGTGGTCTCTGTCAATAAATTAATTGGCCCAGAGGGTAAAACTCATCACCTTCACCCACAGTCAAATCTTCGAGCAGGAAAGGATCTGTGAACATTAAACCAGATCAGCTCTGAGAGGCCCTCACATTTGGTGTCTCAGACAGTGGCAGTCAAATGATGTTTAGACTCTCAGCAGAACTGGCTACTCCCAAGAATCAATCATGATGTGGGATGTTAAATTTTTCAACTTCTACAACCCAAACAGCTTCAGAGGAAAGCCAAAAGAAAATAAAAAAGAAGACTGCATCTGCTAGAAAGGAAATATCCAATCTAAAGCTGGCAGGAAAGAAAAGGAGTCAATGCACTTATTTCTCCAAATTTACAACAGAAGGGGGTAAAGAATTAAAAAGATATGTAACATGTGATTTTTTGACTTAAGAAACATTTCCAAAAACATAAAACTAAGATCTAGTCTAATCCTTCATAAGGACCACTAATCTTATATTAGCAGAGAGAACATGAAGTTGTTGTTGTTGTTGTTGTTGGAGGAGGAGGAGGAGGAAGAGGAGGAGGAGGAACAAGAAGAGGAGGAAGAGGAAGAAAAAGAGAAGGAAGAGGAAGAACAAGAAGAAGAAGAAAGAGGATTCAGAAGAAGAGGAAAAGAAGGAAGAGGAGGAAGAATGGGAAGAAAGGGTAGGGGAAGAGGCAGAGGAAGAGGATGAGGAGGAAGAAATGGAGGAAGAGGAAGAAAGAGAAGGGGAAAAGGAGGAGGAAGAGGGAGAAGGAGAAAAAAGAGGAAGAAGACAAAGAGGAGGGAAAAAGGAGGAGGGGAAGGAGGAGAGGAAGAGAAGGAAAAGAAAGAGGAAGAGAGGAAGGAGGAAGAGGAACAGGAGGCAGAATGAGGGGAAGAAGATGAGGAGGAAGAGAAGGAGAATGAAAAAGAGGAAAAAGAAGAGGAAGGAGGAAGGAAGGAAGGAGGAGGAAGAGAAGGAGGAGGAGAGGGGAGGAGGAGGAGGAGAAGACCACATTCTACAAGGGAAGAAATAGGGGTGGGCTGGATCTTCACACTATCACTCTGTTGGTGGAAAGCACACCCCCACCATACTCCTACATCAGCCATAGTCGTGGAAAACTGGAATATTCAGAACAGGCACATCTACAGACCAAAAGTGGACTCAGGGTCACCTGGGTCCATAAAGAGAGAAACAAAGGGTGACTGACAGCGAGTACAGAGCTTCTTGTTGGATGTCTCTTCTGGGGAACACAAAGGTCCAAGCAAGTAGAGAGTTCTTAACTCTGGACCTCCAGCCCCCCTGGAAAGGAGAAATGGCTGTCGCCACCTGACGGCTATGGCCGGGGCCAGGGGCAGCCCTAGGGGGCAGTCACGATGGAGAAGACAGCTTCTAAGTCATTCACACCAGAATGACTACAGTGCCTGAAAACCTAGCATGCAAATGCTCATTTAAAAATCCAGTCACCCGGGGCTGGGAAGGTGGCTCAGTGGTAGAGTGCTTACCTTGCATGCATGAAACCCTGGGTTTGATTCCTCAGTACCACATAAACAGAAAAGGCCAGCAGTGGTGCTATGGCTCAAGTGGTAGCCTGCTAGCCTTGACCACAGAGAAACTCAGAGATAGGGTCCAGGTCCTGAGTTCAAGCCCCAGGACTGGCAAAAAAAAAAAAAAATCCAGTCACCCGCTATGTTAAACATGAGACACACAACCCATGGGTGGGGATGGGAGGGAAAAGCTGGCAGAGCATAGGGGTGACATGGTCCAAAAAGAACCCCATTCTCTACCTGACCTGTGTGACTGTGATCCTCCTGCATGCCACCTTTATGATAACAATCTAAAAACACACTCCAGTCCCCTCACCTGCAGGAGACCCTCCCTGGCAGGCTCAGAAGTTCTCAGAATGTCTTCAACAGACCACCAGGATTCCTTCAAGTAAACAGCCACAACTGGAAGAGAAAACCAGGGGCAGTCGGTGAGCTCCACACTGGAAATCAGCCACGTGGGACATCACGGAGCTACCAAGGTGGATACACACACACACACACACACACACACACACACACACACGCATGCAATAATACATACATACACATATATACACATATATACTCTATAGTAGAGGATATATAACACATAATGTGTATATAGATACTGTGTGTAGATATGTACATCTATATCTATATCTCTATATAAATAATGAGAATCACACCCAGGATGGTCACATATGCCAGGGAAGCCTACCACTGAAATATATCCCCAGCTCTGGAGGGATCTTTTCAGAGCACAAGTTCCTGAGAGTACTAGACAGGACAGTCACTGGAAGATGATATCATAGTTGTTCATAAGAGACCCAGGGGTCATTTCTCAATAAGATATATCCTAACACTATTGGGCAAAAACAACAGCTCCCCCAGTGGCTTGGACAAATTATCAAGTCACTGGATCAGCCCAAGCAAGGAACACCTTTGTCGTAGTGGTGTTTTAGAAAGACAAGCGTTGGTTGTAACCAGACTAGAGAAACTAGTGCTTGCACAATGAAAGAAAATGCTATGGGAGGGGGTTGTCACTCAGGTGTGGTATGCTTTTTAGCACATATGAGATCCTGAGTTCAATTCCTAACACACACACACAGAAGATTTGAATGACCAGACTCTGCGTATTAAAATGATAGGTATGTAGCCTTATACAGTTGTGCAAACCCACAGAATATCCCATGTCAAGAGTGAATCTAATGTAAGCCGGGCTCTGGGTAGTTAGTGTTTGTGTTGGTGTGAACTCTGCTGTGCTTGAATCCAGGCAGGGTGTGAATGGGAAGTCCCTGCCCCTCCGACACCCAAAGCCATGAGACCTAAACTGTGAATCTAAAAATGCTCATTTGTTGAGCCTGGTGTCGGTGGCTCACACCTAGAAGCTGAGGTACTCAGAAGGCTAAGGTCTGGAGAATCACAGTTCAGTGCCAGGCTGGGCAGACAAGCACTCCAAAATAACCAGCCAAAATCTGGACTGGAGGTGTAGCTCAAGTGGTAGGCCCTCATCGAAGCAAGCAAGCTGAGCAAGTGTGAATCCCTGAGTTGTTTTTTTTTTTTAAATCCTCTTTTTTAAGTGCCACTGTGAATGTGATAATAGATTGGGATTCGAGTAAGAGTGGAGGCAGGGAAGACCAAAGGAGACTGTAGAGGAGGGCAGAAAGGACCCAAGGGGAAGCAGATTGGCCCTAAGCAGGAAGAACAGGAAGGACAGCCTGGTGTCAAGTCTGAGCAGAAGGACACAGATGGACCCATGTCCTGTCTTCTGACAGCACAAGGACCAGGAGGACCGGAGGATGACAAGGCAGCAGGGAGAGGCCGGCCAGCAAGCAGATGGACACACACAGAGCTGAAGGGACACTCCGCCTCCCCTCGCTCACCACCCTCGCTCCTGTTCCCCCTTGATAAAAACCAAGGCAGAACAAGTTCCCCACACACATCTTACCCCACTAAACTAGCTACAAGTGGTTCCTGACTGCTCCAGGACTTGGGACTTCCTCATCAAAGCTAAAAGGCCCTCAAGTCCCTTCCCCCATCCCCTTTCTCCTCTCCTTATTGCTCCCCTGGAGTGTAGGCCACCACTGCCCCGTTACAAATCTAAGAAATATGTAGTTCCACAAACAAAATACGAAAAAAAAAAAAAAGCACAGTTAAACCAAACTGACAGGCCATCTTCCCAAAAGCAAAATAAAATACATGCAGGGGTAGGAGGGGCATGAGGGGGGGTGGGGGGAACACTGAGAAGTTCTGGCAAAGCCTAGCACATAAACACATTCCAAGACATTGCCTGACTTTTATGCAACATTGACTGAACTGGTCAATAACTTACAGGGAGGGGAAAAAATACGCTGGTTGACATAGCAACTGTCACATTGCATTAGGGAGACTAGCACTCCATACAGATGTCTTCCTTAAAGGAAAACACTTCCCCCCAGATGCCCGTGAACTTGGTGCCTTTCTGTTATGGAGAAGGAAACATCTGGTCAACAGCACAGTTGCCTCAGCCTCCGTGTGTTTCTCATGACTTTCTTGCCTGGAGCAATTTTGTTTCCCACCCCCCCCCATCTAGATTTTTCTTTTTTCCTTAACTCTAGGAAAACGGAGTGAGGGTAAAGAGGGTGCCTCTTTAAACTCTAAGCTGTTGGGGGAGACAACAACAAAAAAAAAATCCACAGTAAAGCCAGCCCCTCTAAGGGAAGCATTCAAAATTGCTAAGCAGGCACAAAATCGAGGCGAGCTTTGACCAAGCATCTCTCGGGTGTAGCCATCTACCTACCAGGCTGTCGTGGGAGACCCACGGCAGGGAAACCCACACAGGTAGATTCGTGGCAGGTAGACCTACAGTGGGTAGATCCACCACAGGTAGACACAAGGCAGGCAGATTCATGGCCAATAGATTCGTGGCAGGTACATCTACAGCAGGTAGATCCAGTGCAGATAGATCTACAGCAGGTAGATACAGGGCAGGTAGATCCCGTGCAGGTAGATCTATCCAGGGCAGGTAGGCCCATGGCAGGTAGGCCCATGGCAGGTAGACCCAGGGCAGGTAGATCCAGGGCAGGTAGATCTATCCAGTGCAAGTAGATCTATCCAGGACAGGTAGGCCCATGGCAGGTAGATCCAGTGCAGGTAGATCCAGGGCAGGTAGATCCAGTGCAGGTAGATCTATCCAGGGCAGGTAGATCTATCCAGGGCAGGTAGATCGACAGCAGGTAGATCCAGGGCAGGTAGATCTATCCAGGGCAGGTAGATCGACAGCAGGTAGATCCAGGTAGATCTATCCAGGGCAGGTAGATCTATCCAGGGCAGGTAGATCTATCCAGGGCAGGTAGATCTATCCAGGGCAGGTAGGCCCATGGCCGGTAGACCCGCCATAGGCCTCCAGGAAGCGGCCTCGCCTGCCCTCGGACACTGAGGCATTTTCCTGGACGGTCCCTGCTGTCCTATGGTGTTGTTTGGACTCAGGGCCCGGGCACCGTCCCGGGCCTCCTGCGCTCCAGGCTGGCCTCTACGAGTCCCCGGGAAGAGCGCGGCGTCCTCGCGGGGTCACGCCCGAGGTCCAGCCGAGGCCTGGCACACGTCCCAGCGGCCAACAGGGAAGGGAGGAGGCGTCCCTGCGCCCCACGGCCCCTCCTGCCCCCTCGGGGGCCCGCCGGCCGCGAACCCAGGGCTGAACCCGAGACTGCCAGGCGCCCGGACGGCCGGAAGCGCTGCTGGTGCGGGAACAGAGGCAGCTTCCGGCCGGAACTGTCCATCTTCCCAGGCTCTTCAGTGAGCCTTCCTTCTGCAGTTCACTTCCGGTGAGAGGTCTTTCTATGGGGCACTTCCGGTGAGCCCTCCTTCTGCAGGGCATTTCTGGTGAACCTTCCTCCAGGGAGGCACTTCCGGGTCATGAGGGGGGATGATTGACAACTCCCCAGGCTGAGCTTTCCATTGGCAGTATCTGAAGAGTTGCCTGGGTTGAAATCACAAGTTGCCCTTCCCTTAGGGTCATGGGAGGCCAGCACGGTGTCTGCGAACCAAGGGGGCCCAGAAGAGGGCAGGGGGACACATCCTCTATCTATGAGTCTGTGGGATCTCAGACGTCAAAGCCAGGAAATGGCATCTCTTCTTCAGTGCTGAAAGCAGGCCTCCTCTGGTGGGCAAGCCTCTCCCGTGCGCCCCCCACATTGGCTTGTGGACCTCAAGTTTACAGGCTCAGCCAGCTCTTAGACAGATCCTACTGGTGAACCCTGCCTGTCTGTCTTGCCCACCTCCCTCAAGGCCACAGCAGGGGCTGGAGGGGGAGGAGGATTCCAAGGTTGAGAATCCACAGCCTCTCTGCCTCCAGCCTCCATTGCCCGAACCATTCCCAAAGTCTGGGCAGCCTGTACAGAGGTGAGGAGACACCCCAAAAAGGACCTCCTGGTTCTGAGAAAAGTTCTCCCAGGCTCTTTGGACATGCAGTTCCAGCCCTGCGAGATTCCCACCACCTGCCCTCAACACACAGCCCTGCGGGGGCCTGGCCTGAGGTCTGCCCTGGGTATCTCATCCAGGCTGGGTTCATGCCCCCTCGGAAGGCAGGCTCCAGGGCTGCTCTGGTTTCATTTGAATGTTTAACTTGGCGCTTGCTGTGGCTGCAGGCTATAATGGACATGTTTTTCCAGGAAAGAAATCTTTAAAAAAAAAAAAAAAAGCCTACTTGTTTTTCTCAGGATGCACAAGATGTGTGCAATCACCAAAAACTGTAAATAAATTAGCAGCAATTTGAAGGGTGAGTGTTACAAGACTGGTCACAAAATGTCCTGGGAGCTGGCTAGAAAGACAGACGTTCGAAACAGGGAGATGAACACAGGGTCCGACCGTGTTCACACGAGACCCTCCATTCCCCTGCTATTCGACTGTCACCTGGTCTGCTTGCCAGATACCCAGCAGAGTTCGGTAGGGGCATGCCTTTACCTTCAGGGAATTTATCATCTACCCACGATTGGCCACAGGAAATGATCAGGCCCATGAATAAGGACCTGACCCCTACAGCCCAGATCCTCCTAAATTACCAAGCACAATTAGCAACTGCACGGGGCCAGGCCAAAACCCTTCCACGCACCCTGTGTCCTATCTTTCCCCACTGTTTGTCTGCCAAGCACGCCCACGGCATCGCTGAGGATGAGTGGGTCCGCCCAGCTCCTACCGGCCTTCCTTCCCCTCCACCAAGCAAAGACGACTCAGAGATTGAAGCTCAGCCCCCAGCCCCATCCCGCCCATCACTCAGCATCTGGTGAATGCTGTGCTCGCTTCCACCTGCCTGTTAGCATAGCCTCTGGTGCAGGCAAGCATGGGAATGTGATGGGGAGATTGAACAGAAACCTGGGAACACACAAAGGGGCCTGGTGTGGTTCATACCCAGACTGTGCTTGGGAGGGAGGGAGGCCCTGTTGCTACCTCTAACCCCACAGGACAGAGGATCGTGAGGGGCAGATAGCACCCCGGAGTCAGGAGCCAGATCTGGGCCCTGAGGCAATGGGAGATCCATATCCTTCCAGACCTCACATCCCAATATTTCCGTCCACCTGCCGCCATCTTGCCAGGAGAGGCTCCTCGTTCTGGAAACTTCCAGAGACTGGTGCCCCCTCCATGGGACTCTCAGGGGAGTCAACTACAATTTTCCATCTCTCATCCGCCCTGAAGACACTACCAACTCTTCTCGCTGGGGTTTCAGAAAGAATGAAAGGCCAGCTCTCTCGTGCCCAGGGGGCCATTTTCGCTAGGAAGGCAAGTGACTCCAAATTAGAAGCGAGGCGGGGTAGGTGGGGACAGGAGGACAGGATGGTGCCGACTCAGAGGACTGACAGCCCAGCAGCTTTAGCCTCGGATTCTGAACCTGAAGGTGAAGCCCAAACTTCCTGAGACATACCACACCAAGCATAGGCCAACAAGCCCAGCTATGAACCAATGGGTGAGGGGGAAATGTTGGCTTCAGACCAATGCCTGGTTCACCAAACATCCCCTCCTACATGAAGAGGGTTTCAGGTGAGCTTGTAAAGAAAGGTTCCATTGGCCAACTCAAGAATGATTGGATTTGAAATGAGTGTGAATTAGCTGGGCACCGGTAGCTTTGCCTGTAACCCTAGCTACTCAGGAGGGTGAGATCTGAGGATCTCAGTCAGAGCCAACCAGGAAAGAACAGTGGAAGAGGCTCTTATCTCCAATTAACTAACAAAAAGCCAAAGGGAAGGTGTGGCTCAGGTGGTCAAGTGCTAGCTGTGAGTAAAATAAGCTATGAGAGAGCTCAAGGCCCTGAGTTCAAGCCAGAATACCAGCATGCACACACACATACACACACACAGAGAGCTACCATACTTGTGGGCAATATAAAAGGATACATGGTAGAACCCAGCATGGTGGCTCCTAGCTATGATCCCAGCTACTACGGAGATGGAGAGCAGAAGGATCACAATCAAAGCCATCCTGGACAAAAAGTTAGCCAACCAACAAGCAACACAGTACACACACACAGGAATGTATGCACACACATATGCACAATAACTCCCACCTGTCTTTGTGTCCTGTGGATGAACCCAAACCAGGATCTTCTGCTGGGGTTCATCTCGGTACAAAGCGCAGAAGCACACAGATGAAGCTTCGAGTTGAACCTGAAGAAAAACAACAAACCCACCGCCTGGTTCTTTCATCACAGCAAGGGCACAGGAAATGGCTGAGCAATTAGTTAGTACGGTGATTCACTGTAAGAACACGGGGATTAATTTAATGGGATGCCAGTGAGACCCAAGTGGAACCCTTCCCCGGCCTGAGCTCAGCACAGGAGAATTTGGCAAACGCCTCTCCCATAGTGCCAGCCCGCACTGCCCACCTCCACCTGTTTGCCTATCTAAGCATTGATGAAACACCTCCTTTGCTGCCAATGCCCTGGGACCTCTCCTTCTAATCCCTTCCCCCCCCCCTCCCGCCTTCCCCAGCTTGGGGCCTCCAAACTCAGGCCTCACGCCCACTTCAGAGCCACATCTGTCCAGTCAGCCTCCACCCTCCTCCCTGAGACCCGGTGGTGGTGTGGCCTCCACCTCTGCCTGCAAAGCAGTCGGGAGAAATGCACGCCTTGTCTGCACACCCCTGGCCTCAGTCCTGACCCTTGCCTCCCATATAGAGAAGCTCAATTTGGGGTGCCTGTGTGCTTGCTAGGGTCTCCCACACTGGGATGGTCCCCTTGGCTCAAGGACCCCAGAGCCCTAGGCCTCTGTGAAGCCACCAAGCCAGCTCCCAGCTGCCCAGACCGAAGATCAACACATTCCATTAGCAAGACTGCTTTGGACACCAAGGGGAGCATAAGAAAGGCAAAAAAGAAGGCGTGGTCCAGGCACAACTGACTTTGCTGGAAGCCTCCAACTTCCAGGGATCTGTTTCTCAGCAAGTCCTGGGGCGCATACACATCTCAGTACCTCCTCATTTGGAGAGCCACTTTCCTGAAGAATCCTGGAGATGATTGCCCAACCCCCCGCACTCCTAAGGTTATATCAAGAATAGTGCATCAAAGAAATGGACTCTTACCAAGCCATGAAACACCACAGCCGATCAACCTGGGAAGAATCTTATTGTATAGACCATGTTCCATTCAGAGAGTCGTCAAGCTTATATATAATTTTTTTTGGCAGTCATGGGGCTTGAACTCAGGGCCTGAGCAATGTCCCTGAACCTTTGTGCTCAAGGCTAGCGCTCTACCACTTTGAGCCATAGCTCCACTTTGGTTTTCTAGTGGTTAATTAGAGATAAGTGTTGCATAGACTTTCCTGCCTGGGCTACCTTCGAACCAAGATCCTCAGATCTCAGCCTCCCGAGTAGCTAGGGAGATATGAGCCACCAGTGTGCAGCTAAGTTTATATTTTTAAAAATATATATATTAAAAATGCAAAAAGCCAAGCAGGGTGCTGTGTGCCTGTAATACCATCATTTGGGAAGCTAAGACTAGAGAATGTCCAATTGGGGCTCTATAGTGAGACCTTATGTCCAAAAAACAAAAACAAAACAAAAAATCTAAATTTAAACATATCAAAATGTTTACAGTAGTTAACCACGATGCTTGTATTTTCTCTATCTGTTGTCATAGTTCCCAAATAAATCCACAATGAATAATACTGCCTTACAACGGGGGTGAGGGGTGGGGGGTGGGAATCAGTAAATAACAATTGTATTTTAAATGGGTCAGACCGATTTGGAAAAGAGTTAATTATGGGAGAGAAAGATAACTATGCTACACCCCAAGCTTTCTGGGTTGGAGAAAAACCCCTCTGGGTACAAAGAGCCAAGTTAAACCTGCTAAAAGCAATGAACAGACCCAAACCCCATTCCTAATGAGATTACCCCCCACCCCCACCAAACAGCCCCTAGATCTCTAGCTCACTGAAACAATTGTAGTAAGAGTCTCATTTGAGGTTTTCATTAATGATACTACGATCGCTCGCTTGTGAAGTGTACTCTTGCTATTAGGGTTGGTTGGTGGTTTTGAAGTAAAGCAACCTGCAAATACAGGGGCAATAAAAGCAGATTTCACCGGCCTCTGGTTACCTTCCACATTCAACTCCTGGGCAAGTCGAGACCCAGACTTGGTGCATGTCTGCTCATGGCCACTGGGAGGCGCCAGAGTATGCCAGGCCAGCATCCTTCCCCCTGCACTCCAGCTCTACAACCCTACAAATCAGGGTGCTTTGGGGGAGGGAGTCACACCTTCAAAATCTCAGGGAAGCCACTGCTTATAATCTGTGCAAGCCACGGTCTTCATTCACTCTGGAAACGTCACCACAGCGAAGCAAGACCCAGTGCCCTCTCTACCAACTCGGGCGGGGGAGGCAGGGGGAGACAAATTCTAGCAGGAATGAAATCTTCCAGGTGTAAAACGAGGAGTCTGTGTCTCCTTCCACAGATCAGCTGTGAATCTGAAAGAGGTGATGGCCCACCATTGCTGTGTTATTTTCACTTGCTGGAGAGAGAGAGAGAGAGAGAGAGAGAGAGAGAGAGAGAGCATCCTAAAGGAAAAAAAAAGACTGGAATTTTGCACTCACAACAAACACTTTCAAAGTGTCTGTCTCCCCTTCTCTCCATTCCCTCAGGTCCTGCTTCACAAGGTACACAACTTTAATTCAAAATTTGAATTAAATTTACAAATTCAATTCAAAAATCTTCATCGTGCCAACTGCCATTGGCTCATAGCTGTCATCCTAACTCCTCAGGAGGCTGAGATCTGAGGATCACAGTTTGAAGCCAGCCCAGGCAGGAAAAGTCCACGAGACTCTTATCTCTAGTGGACCACCAAATAAGCCAGAAGTGGAACTGTGGCTCAAGTGGTAGAGTTCCAGCCTTGAATGTAAAAGCTTAGGGACTGTGTCCAAGCCCTGAGTTCAAGTCCCAGTATTAACACACACACACACACACACACACACAAATCATAATTGGCACAGCATAGTTCCAAATTACAAAACCATTAGCACTCTATCAAATCTGATAGACCCAAAATGAAGCACTCTCCTGAGTTTACAAATGGGTAAACTGAGGCATGGCTAGGCATTACACATGGAGTCTCACTTAATACTCACCCACCACCATGAAATAAGTGCTGTTATTATTGCCTTGGTTTTAGACATGAGCATACCAAGACCTTTGGTGTTAAGACAATTGCTCAAAGCCACACAGCAGACTCGAATCCTGAGGGCTAGATAGCTTTTTGCCTGGCCTGGCTCAACTCACATTCAGGATTCCAGAATCCCCACCAAGGCCTCTACCTGCTTCTCAGATGTGTTAGTTCACACATGTTATGGGGGGCTGTTTAAGTTTCATTGTTGTTGGGGTCTTTTGTTTGTTTTAATCTAGGATATTCTTTCTGGTGCAGTCTATGATCCAAATGACATTTGAGGGAGTGCTTCATGGAGAAAACATCCATACCTGCTCCCCCGTGGGAAGGGAGAAAACTGGCGTGGCCCCAGTCCCGTGTCTGAGCGAGGCGAGGTAAGCTGCGGTCGCTTCCTGGTATCCCCCAGGATCATCTTCTAGAAAATCCACCGGGTAGCTGCCTGCCGGGAAAAACCAGGCCGGGATGATCTTAGCCCGAGTCTTTTCATGAAGAAAAAGTCACTTCTTGAAGATGAAAACAAAACAATTGGAATCTTCGGATTGGGTAGCGTGACTCTCACCTGCCATCTTGGAAGCTGCTTGGAAGGCTGCGATCAGGAGGATGGAGATGGGAAAGCCAGTTGAGACTTGGGGGGGTGTGGGGGGAACAGGAGAGGTGTTCTAGAGACCCGATCCCAACCAGTAAAAAGCTGGGATGCTGGACAGTCGTCATCCCAGCTCCGCAGGAACTATCCAACAGGAAAAGACCACGATGCAGACTGACCCAGGCAAGAGAATGAGATTTTGTTGGGGAAAAAAACAAAAAGGGGGACCAGACGCCGGTGGCTCACGCCTGTCATCTTAAGTGTTCAGGAGGCTGAGATCTAAGGATGGCGATTCAAAGCCAGCCTGGGCAGGGAAGTCCCCATGAGACTCTTATCTCCAATGAACCACCAGAAAACCAGAAGTGGTGCTGTGGCTCAAGTGGTAGAGCACTGGCCTTGAGCAGAAGAGCTCAAAGACAGCACACAGGTCCTGAGTTCAAGTCCCCACACCTCAGGACTGACCCCACACACACACACACACAAACACAAAAGCTAGTGGCCCACAGCTACTAGCATGAGGCTAGAGAGATTTGGGAAGGAAGGGTCAGGACTTGGGCCAAGAATCTGCATTCAGTTTCCTACACAAAGAACATTCTGGAAACTTGGGGTGGAGGGTGGATGATAAATCAGTAGGAGAGAGTCAGGGCATCTGAGGCAAAGCCCTCTCCCCACACCCAGAGCCCCCTCCCCATCCTCCATCCCAGGAGAAAGAAACTTCCTCCCCTTTCTGAGACCCCCAACTCGGGTCCGCCCCGGTAGCAGACGCCTCTGGAGCAGTTTGAGCCTGTTCAGGGTTTTAATGGCTTGAAGTGAACATGACATTTTGGTTTTCTTTTCCTTTTCTTTTCTTTTTTTTGCGAAGCCATAAAAAATGTAATCTTTTCAGTGCAATGCAAAATGGTTTTTTATTAGAAAGGGGCGCACAGCTGAAACGGAAAATTTGCTGTCAAGAAGTGGAAATCCCTCACTCAACAAAACCTGCACTTAAGAATTCACTTTGGAGTGCACATTGGCATGTAATCATCCAAAAAAAAAAAAGGAATAGTGGTATATCCAAAAGTCTTTCCAGGCAAAATACTTGAATTATTCAGGATTATTGTAGCAGAGCTCAGGTTCCCAAGGCTATATTAACAGATGCTACAGTCAGTCATTCCTTTACCAACCATCCCCCTCACCCCCGATGCAGCTGCTCAGCCCCTGCTGGCCGGTCAAGCCAGGCGTCCTGTTTGAAGAAGCCTTTACCAACACTTCTTTTTCTTTTCCTTTTTGGTCCTCCCAATGTAAACAGCAATACCAATTAATGAAAGCTCTTGAGAGGGACTGGAGATTCTCATGTAGTCATACGTAGCTAGTCTTTTGCCTGACATCCTTTTCAAATGCTAATTTACCACCAAGATTGAGGAACATACTTCCATTTTTTAGTTTTTGGAAAGCATAGCTTTTCTCAGACGGGATTGCTATTACAAGGAATATTAAGAAGGTGTTTTTAAGTTTTACTAGCCGTACCCTTCACCAACTATGCTGTTTTGAAAAGCTCATCTCCAACAGAATTCCAAGGCGTCATGTCATTGGAAAAACTGGCTGTAAGCATGTGGAGATTTGTTTGTTTGTTTGCTTTTTCAGTGTGGGTTATCTTTCTTTGGTTGTAGTAAGAATAATTTTTTGTTTGGAGAATGTCGGTGGGGAGGGGGAGAGATAGGAGGCAAAACTGAAGCAGTAATATTCAACTCTTACTTTTTATAAGTGTTCAAATTAGCTATGACTACTACATAACCATTTTTTGTGTTTTTACTTCCCTGTTGTGGTTAGGTTCTTTTTTTTTCCTAGTTGACCATTCCCCCTCCCCCTTCACAAAGGGGTACAAATAAAATGGGTTTCTTAGGGGGAGCGTCAGAGGGTATTGAGAGAACACAGGTGCTCGGCTTCACACTTTGTGTGGATTCAGTTGTTGCCTCCAAGTAATTAAACTTAGGCTCCCCACTCAGACATGCTGCATTCAAGGAATGGATAAGGGACTGTACAGCGGCTCACAACTACTTGGGAAGTAGAGGTTGGGAAGATCTAGGTTTGAAGTCAGCCTGGGCAAAAAGAAATACATAAATAAAAAGAGATACTTCCATCTGAATCAATCAGTTAGGAGTGGTATAAAGCCCTTTTCATCACAGCTACAAGGGAGGAAGAAGTCAAAGAAAACTACCTAAAGCAAGTTGTCCCAGGGTCATGGTTCAATTGGTAGAGCACCTTCTTAGCAAGTACAAAGTACCTCAGTTCAACTCCTAGGACAGACAGCAAAATGGATCTGTGGAGTTCAATGAGATTATCTGAGACAGAGGTGAGGTTTGAGAGAAGAATGGATTTGCATCTAAATAACTGGAAGTACAATGTGATAACTTCTTTTCTTATTCTTTCTTCTCTTCCTTCCTTCCCTTCTTTCCTTCCTTTTCCTTCCTTCCTTCCTTCCTTCCCATCCTTCTTTCTTTTCTTTCTTTTTGGTACCAATAACAATGCTTGTACTCAGGGTCTTATGCTGTCATTTAGCATTCTTTGCTCAAGGCTGGCACTTTACCACTTGGTCCACACCTCCATGTCTGGTTTTTTACTGGCTTATTAGAGGCTAAGAGCCTTAGGGACTTTTCTGCTCAGGATGGCTTTGAATTGTGACCTTACATCTCAGCCTCCTGAGAAGGTAGGATGACAGATGTGAATTACAGTACCTGGTATATCATAACTGGACCTGTTTGTGTAAGATTGAAAAATAAATGGTGAATCTAGTATTCGTACCAAATACTTGGTGGACCTTGAAGAAATAGAGAAGAAAAATAATAGTCTACCTATTGCAGGTAGAAGAATTAGAAAAATAGCACATTATTGTACTTGTCTTCTATTTATTCCTTACCTTTGCAGCATTTTCGAGTTTACAAAGGGCTTTCACGCAGCTTGTTTGAAACTTTCCTCAACCCTCATAAAGCCAAGAAAGCATAATGCATTAACCCTGTCTTTCAAATATGTAAACAGAGGCTGAAAAAATGAAGTTCATAGAATAATGAAACCCATTAAAAAGGGGGGGGGGAGTTAAAGAAATCTCCCGCAAGAGAATAGCAAGGCGATTGACAACTACTTTCTCACTCACAACTATGGAAGCCAAGTGACAATGGTATTCTATTTTCATTGCACTAAAGAAAAATAGTTTTCATCCTCCATCTAGCAAAATATCTGAGGATTGTGGTTCGAGGCCAGCCCAGGCAGGAAATTCTGTGGGTCTTTTTTTATCTCCAGTAAGCCAGAAGTGAAATTATAGCTCAAGTGGTATAGCACCAGCCTTGAGATAGTAACCAGTCCCTGAGTTCAAGCTCAGGACCAGCACACAGACACAGACACATGCATCACAGTAGAACTGGGAACTACGTAACACTGGCATGTAAGCTAGAAAGAGAAAGTCAAGTGAAGGTATTTTAAAGCCCTTAAATGATCCCAGAAAAAAGTAAACTTTTTGACTAATTTCAGAAAGAGCTAAATACACACACACACACACACACACACACACACACACACACACACACACACATCACTTGCAGAATTAGCCCATAAAAGAAAAATGGCACAAATATTAAACTGCAAAACAGGAGATGGAAAAATAGGATTTGAGCCAGGATGGAGGAAACCTTAATTAGTATAAAAGAAGACACAATGAAAAGATGATCCGTCAATAACCAGGTTTCATTGTTACTTAAAAACAGATATTCACCACAAATAACTAGTCTTTTCAGAAAGACATATTTTGTTTTGTTTGTGCCTTTACACCAAATGCTTTTAAATATTTAAACATTTTATTTAATATTCATGTTTTCTGAGCAAAGCATAAATAAAGGAAGACCTTTCCTTCTGTATAGTTTTTTAAAGATGTTCCCTCTAAGAGCTCAGATGTGGGTAAATACACATTGCACAAATCAGCTCTCTCTCTCTCTCTCTCTCTCTCTCTCACACACACACACACACACACACACACACCCCAAAAACAGTCCACAAAGGCACAGGGTCATATAGAGTCATACTTGGACTGGAGGCCATTATTGTAAGAAGTTGTATTTTTGTTTGTTGTGCCAGTATTGGGATTTGAACTCGGAGTCTGGGCATTGTTTCTTAGTTGTTTTTTTTTTTCACTCAAGGTTTGCCTTCTATCATTTGAAAAACAGCTCAACTTTGCAGCTTCTTTGTTAGTTAATTGGAGACGAAGGGTCCCATGGACTTACCTACCTGAGCTGGCTTTGAACCAAAAGCCTCAGATCTCAGCCTTCTGAGTAGCTAGGATTACAGGTGTGAACCACCAGTGCCCACCTTTGCCCTGAAATTTCTATGTCACAAAACCCACACAATTTCCTACAATCCTCTCTTTAGAACTTCCCAGGGATAAACCATAAATAATATCAGAGAAATGAGAAGTAGGAAAAAGGCAGCCAGCCAATCACCAAACTAATGATTCACCGGTCAGAGGGACAGACCTGAGCACCCACCGTCCTGGAGAAGTTCTGGTCATTCACCCTACCCTGCCACGCCACCCCTGGACCCTGGGAGAAAGGTCAGGACACCAGCACCTCCAGCCCCACGCCGTGCTGTGTGATCCACACAGAAGTCTAGATGGTACATTGTGTTGGTGTCACGATGGAGCAAGGAATCACAAGAGAAGGTGCAAAGACCCTGGGGTCATTAAACCTGAGTACACTGTGTTCCCTCTGTGCACAGCAATCTCTCACTGAAGGTCCCATTCCTTTATGGCTCTTCCTGGCCCAAAAACCTCAATATTAAAAAAAAAAAAATCAGTCAGGCGCCAGTGGCTCATGCCTATAATCCAAGCTACTCAAGAGGCTGAGATCTGAGGGTTGTGGTTCAAAACCAGCCTAGGCAGAAAACTGTGCAACTCTTATCTCCAATCAACCAATGAAGAGCCAGATGTGGAACTATGGCTCAAGTGGTAGGGCACTGGCCTTGAGCGAGAAAGCTAAGGGACAGAGACCCAGGACTGGTACAGAAAAGAAAAGAAAAGAACAGAAAGAAAAGAAAAGGCTGAGGGCTGTAACAGAACTGGGCTGTTTGTGCCTTTTCTCTTTCTTTCTACTATAAACTGAAATGACAGCAGCAGATGGTCTTGGGAAACCTCAGATGAGTTTCGGTCTCAGGGAAATGAAAAACATGTAGACACTCTGGAGAGAGGGGAGGGAGGGAAAGAGATAAGAGAGAGAGAGAGAATCACAATGATTACAGGGCATATCAGAATGATCTGAATCACTATAAGGCACCTCTAAATCCTGTCTGGCTAGGACCCCCTCCACCGAGCCAGAGATGCTGAAAAAAAGGAGGCTTCCACCGATGCAGGCCTTTTCCCCTTTGTTTCCACACGAGAGCGAAGTAGGGGCTTGATACAACCTTACCTGAAAGCCTAATTTTTCATTTCATGCTTCTTTGCTAAAAAAGCAATTGGTCAGATTCCCTGTTGATCTGTTCAAGCTTGGTTGTTTTCGTGTTTTGGAAATGGGCTATCAAAATTCAGGCAATGGTTCAACTATGCAAAACTCCGATCTAGGAAGATCTAACACATATGGAAGCCAGCCATGTGTCACTGCTGTGTGTCATGTGAGCCACCAAAACCCCAGCAAAACCAGGTGCTAGTGGCTCCCCACCCCCATAATCCCAGCTCCTGAGGCAGCTGAGATCCGAGGATCAAGATTCAAAGCCAGCCAAGGCAGGAAAAGTCCGTGACACTCTTCTCGCCAATGAACTACCCAAAAGTCGGAAGTGGAGCTGTGGCTCAGGTGTAGAGCACCGACCTTGAGAAACAACAAAAGACAACTACAAGCTATTTTCTTCCCTGGTCCCAATTCTCTACCTTACAGAGGAGGAAAAGCACCCATGACGCAAGCCATTTGCACGCGCTTTCAAGGGAGAGAGAAAAAAAAATTGAAAGTACAAACGAAAGAGGAAGCATCACTTGCTGCTCCGCATATAAAATGAAGTAAGCTATGCTTTTCTGGTCTGGAGATGGAGCAAACGGTCCGTGGGGAAGCCCAGCTAAAGGCAGGTAGATGGTGGCCACCTCCTCTCCTCAGGCTGCCTGGAGGGGGAGAGAGCTTATCCCCCGGACAGGGCCCCTGGGTTTGCTGTTGGCTTGTTTTGTGGCTTACAGAGACCAGGGACAGAGATGGTGGCTGGCGTGAGGTCTGAACTCCTGGGGTACAGGCGTGGCCACCTGTGCCCCAACCTACAGGGCACAGCGGAGCCCTCCAACCTGCCTGGCCTGGCTGGAGACCCTGCGCCCCACAGGAGGAAAGGGGGGCGGAGGGAGGAAGAGGGCATCTTCCTGGCCATCAAAGCCCCACCTGCCCCTTGGGCTTCTGTCCCGCTGGGCTTTGGGAATGGGAAATGGCACCTGCTGGGGGAGGGGGCTGCAACCCAAGGGGGGAGGGCAAGGGGGACCCACCAAGGATGCGTCAGGGCAGGGGGCTGTCAGGGGCGCAGGCCCTGTGTCCCCCACCGGGTCCCCCGGGGTACCAGCTGTGATCTGAGCTTGGGGACAGGGGTTCGAGTCCAGGTCCGGGCCATTCCCCCCCACACACTCCCCGGGCTCCCAGGATCTGGGTGGCAGGGGTAAGGGCGGGGGTGACAGGTGCGCGGCCGCCCCCCTCCTGCTCCCCTCCCGCCCTCCCGGCTCCAGCTCCGTGGCTGTTTACCGGCTCGGTTTACACCCGGCCATTGAAACCCAAGACGTGGGGCGGGACTGGGGGGGGCGCAGACAGTGGGGGGACAGCGGAGGGGGGGAGTCGGGAAGGGGACAGGTGGGGGACAGGTGGCCCCGGCCCAAGCCACGGATCCGCTTACCTGACTCCATGCTCTCCGCAGCCACACCCGGCCCTGGGGCCCTCCCTGTCCCCAGGGGCTCCCCCCCCCTCCCCTGTGCCCTTCCCCTCCCCCCATCCCCGCTGCCCCGCCTCCACCCCAAGGCCACCAGACCAGGCCCTGCCCACCCTCCCTGCAAATACAAATTATTCCAAATATTAGGGGGTTTACAGACTCCAGCCAGCCCGCAGCCCTGACCTTCTGCTCCTCCTGTTTCTATTTTTCCTATGGATCAATTATCTATCAGTCTCTCTCTCTGTCTATTTGCCTATCATCTATTTGTCTGTCATCTAGCAGATAGCCTTCATCTTCTTATCCCCACCGGTCCATCTATTTATCTTCCTGTCTTATCTGTCATCTGTTCATCTGTCAGTTTTATCCATCCATCCTCTACCCATCACCTGTCTACAATCACCCATCTATCTACCTGTTTATCTATGTGTTTGTTTTTGCAGTACTCCTATTTTCTTTCACTTTCATTTCTTGTGTTTTATCTTTTTTTGGGGGGGTGGGAATCAGTGGGGTTTGATCTCAGGGCCTCAGGCCTGCTGAATGGGTGCTGTGTGTCTCTTGGGCTACCCCTCCAGCCCCTTTTGGCTTTAGTTTTGTTTTCTTAGGTAGGATTTCAGGCTTCTGTTCCGGGCCAGGCTTAGACCCAGATCCTCTTTTACCTCCTCCTCCTTGTGCAGCTAAGATGACTAACCCTTGCCGTGTCTCTTTGTTCCTATAAACAAACAAACAAACAATATTTGCAACAAGTCTTCTGGAAAATGTAAAGGCAAAGCACACAGAACAACAGGAACCACTAGTGACATTATAGTAACAAGATGCCCTGAGAAACTTGGGAGCTTCATTCCTCCTGGTCGGTATTAAATACAATCAGCAGCGGGGACGCCGCCACCTGCCACCTCTCTGGCAGCCAGCCAGCATGGGGCCGGACAGCCCAGGATTCCATTCCCCTGCTGGGAACAACGTACCATTTAAAACTCCTGAGTTGTTGAGCTCTAAAGTTTTCCATCTCCTGTTTTCAGCTCATCATGGACCTTGGGTAACTGAAACCAAGGGCTGAAAAACCACCAGTGAGGTGGGACTAATAAAACCTGTTTACGCCACTAACTGAAATGAATCCCAGAACCTGGTCCCGTGGAATCACTACCAGCATCATCTTATAAGTAAAGTAGTATGGGCTGGGAAGGTGGCTCAGTGGTAGAGCGCTTGCCTTGCATGCATGAGCCCTTGGGTTCAATTCCTCAGCAACACATAAGCAAAAAGAAAAAAGCCGAAGTGGCACTGTGGCTCAAGTGGTAGAGCTTTAGCCTTGAGCTGAAGAGCTAAGGGACAGCACCCAGGCCCAGAGTTCAAGACCCATGACCAGCAAAAAGAAGAAAAAGAAAAAAGGAAAATAGTATATGCCAATACAAGATTTAGCAACTGACAACCAGCATACCGGACAACCCATTTTTTTTCTATTTTTCCACAGTTTGGGAATTAAAAAAAAAAAAGTTCTTATACCTGCCAATAGTTGAGAGAAGAATCAAAAGCACATTGGATCATGCCATTATGATATGGAGTTCTGAATTCTGCCATCATAAATGAGGATGGAAACACAGCCACGCCCACTCATTTGCATACTGCCTGTCACCTGTGGCTGCTCCTTGCTTGGTCTTTTCTTTCTTAATTGTCTGGTCTGGAAATCCAGGGACAGGTTAGATCATCAGTGCTTTAACAAGAAGCAATTTGTCTATGGGTGATGGCTCTGATCTTAGGGATAAACCTGGGGAGCCAAAACCAAAGTTGGTTGGTACACACACACAAATTGAATTACATTACCATTATCTTTCTATTACATTACTATTATCTTTATATATAGATTCTATTACTATTATCTTTATATATTGTATTATATTACCATTATCTTTGAAACCACAAGTGGCTGGGGTTTTATATTTGGGGGCAGGGAGATGATTGATTTCTTCCCCCCCCCCACCTCCCAAAGGAATTTGAATGGTTTGATTCACTTTCCTCCAGGTCAACTATATCAAAATAGGTCACATTTTAAGAGCTGTTTGTGTTAGAGACAATAAACAAACCCTTTAATCCCTCGGCCGGCTTTCAGCAGGAGGTCCACACTTGCCAGTAAGGAATTTCAAACAAATCCTCCAATGGTTTATGACTGGTTCAACACATGAACTATTTGAGGGCTTCAGATCTCGCATTCTTGGCAGCGAGCATTTGCCATCCCTGGTGAGAATATGTGGGGTTCTCTGGTTTGCTTTCCTGTTCACGAAGGCAGCTGGTGTGTGTGCGTGCGTGTGTGTGTGTGTGTGTGTGTGTGTGTGTGTCTGTGTGACACCTTGACCTCCTAATCCTGGAGTCAAATATGATTCCAAATATTTTCCTCCGTGGAACTTAACTTGTAAGGAAGGTCACGGTGTTTTCTGTGAAATCAAACGTCTCCCTCCAGTGGTCTTCTTCGTTCTCAGGCTTACTGTATTTCAACAGCCTGAAGATCGTGTTTGACATCAGCAATTGTTAGAGACCATTTGTTTTTACAGCGGAAAAAAAAAAGAAAGAAAGAAAAATACAGATGGCAGGCCTCAAAAATCCATCCTTCTCTGAGCTGTTTTCATTTTACAGAGTGAGAATGTGGTGGAGAATTTTTTTTTCCAAGTGGGGGAAAAACACAATAGTAGACATATCATAATGACTAAGTAAAAATATTTTGTATTTTTGGGTTTTTTTTTGTCAATTCAAAATTAAAGAACCGATCAGAGAAGAAGGAAAGTGTCAATGAATTACAGAAAAGTGGCAACTCCAGGACATGCTCTAGTTTCAGTTAAAATAAGAATAGTTCATGTCAAATTAAAAAACAGAAAAACAAAACAAGTAAGACCTGGGTACTATAGTACATGCCTGTAGTCTCAGCTTCTCAGGAGGCTGAGGTAGGAGAATCACTTGAACCCAGGAATTTGGAGCCAGCAGAACAGCACTGTCTAATAAAAAAAAAACAGCAACAACGATAATAAACATTGCAAGAGCATCATCAGAAAAGTAGCATTATTCAAAATGCACACTCTTAAAGAACGCTGCTTATAAACACACTGGTTAATACCGAAGTACCCAAGTTTGTGGCCACTTTACCCGGGCATTTCCAAATGGCCCGATTTTATTCATAATGGCCCTTGAAGTGAATGCTGCCGACCCACGGAACCCCTCCAACACCCTCCACCCGTACCTAAGGGAACGGGAGAAAGTGATAGCATAGTAACACGCTGGCCCAGCCCCGGGCGGTCCTCTCCTCCTGGAGGTGGGCCTCGGTCTCCCAGGGGAGGACAGAGCCGGCCGGCAGGGGGGGCACAGGGCCATTTCCCTCCAGATCTCCACCACCCAGGAACATGAGCCCACCCTACCTCAGGATCAACAAAAGGGAGAGGAGACCGAAGTGTGGAGCCCCCAGGTTCTAGACCCGTGGAATCTAGTTCTTAGCAGTGAACCAAGTAAGAGGGCCCTGTGTCTCAGAGAGATAGATTGATAGACAGACAGACAGATAGATTGACAGATAGAGATAAGAGATAGATGATAAACAGATGATAGAGATAAATATACAGAGATGATAGATTAGATAGATGGTAGAGATGGGTTGATAGATGATAGAGATTGATGTATAGATGATATAGAGAGATAACTATACAGATGATAGATTAGATAGATAGATGATAAATAGATAAACAGGGCTAATTAAGTACATCTCTGATAGAGAGCTTACAGAACTTTCTAAAAGACTGGTTGGCCATGCTTGAACCATTGGGTGAACTCCCTTGAGGGATTCTTACATCCTTGCTTGGCTGAGCAAAAAGGATTCTGAGTTCTGTTCCTCTTACTTCTCAGCGTTGGAAAGCCAGGCACCCGCAGTGCACACCTGTCACTCTAGAGATACGGATCGAGGTTCCAGGTTGAGGAAGAAAAACAAAAACAAAAACCCTCTGGGAGAACCCATCTCAACCGAAAACGCAGAGCACACTGGCACAAGCCTGTCATCCCTGCAGTGCCGGAAAGTGAACAATAGAAGATCACGGTGCAGGCAGGTGCTGGGCTGGGACGCAGCCAGCACAGAAGGGACTGGAGGCCTGGCTCAGTGGTACGGCGCCTACCTAGCAAGCTCAGAGTTCAAACTCCAACATCACCAAGGATTCTCTTCATTTATTTATTTCTCTTGGCCAGTCCTGGGGCTTCAACTCACGCAGGGCCTAGACACTGTCTCTGAGCTTCTGTCAGCTCAAGGCTAGCACTCTACCACTTGAGCCACAGCGCCACTTCTGGCTTTTTCTCTGTGTGTGGTACTGAGGAATCGAACCTGGGGCTTTGTGTATGTGAGGCAAGCACTCTACCACTGAGCCACCTTCCCAGCCCATTTTTTTTCAAAGGTTATTTGATAGAATTCGCAGAAGACTGATGGGCTTCTCAGACGCACGGAAAGCTGGGGCCTCTCCTGCCCTGGGTGGGGTGGGGGTGGGGCTGGCAAGCAGTGGCCTATGGAGAGAGCGGAAGAAGAACTTTCCAGAGGTCAGAGGTGGGTGTGGAGAGGTCTCCAGGGACGCCAGCAGACCCTGCGCTAGCCCAGCTGGTGAGCCCCAGCTTTTCAGGGTTGTTCTTTGGGTGGCACGTTAGAAACGGGCTTACCAGGCACCCCAAACTCCCACCTGTCATCCCAGCTCCTCAGGAGGCTGAGATCTGAGGATTGAGATTGAAAGCCAGCCTGAACGGGAAAGTTCATGAGACCCTTATCTCTGACCCACCACCCCCAAAGCCGGAAGTGGCACTGTGGCTCAAGTGGTAAAATGCTCACCTTGAGCACAAAAACTCAGGGATAGCACCCAGGCCCTGAGTTTAAATCCCAGTACCCGCAAAGCAGGGAGTCATTATCATCCTTGCTGTGTGGGGGGGAGGGGCTCTTGTTCTCTTGCTCCCTCTCCCACCCACCCTTTCTTTAGCCTTCTCCATCTTTCTGTCCTCCTCCCTCATCCCCCCTTGCTCTTCTCCAACTCCTTCTTCACATATTTCCCAGAGTCCACTTCTAAAGCAACCAAGCTGGTGGTTAGACACGACTAGGAACTAGCACATGGGAAGAGATGGGCTTGCAGAAGCAAAGAATTCATTTCCCACCGCCCAGGGTGGGACAGAGGCATGGATGGCAGTTCTAGATGTCCTGGCAAACAAGCACATGGTCTTTGTCCCCTGCCCCAACCCCCATCCCATGGGGCTCATCATTGAACAACCCTAAGCAGCAAAGCACCCCACACCCCAGTGTGGCACCCAGTGAGTCCCCCATAGCACCCTGGCCCCTGCGTCCTGGCCAGGCTATTTCTGTTCTCAGAGGGCATCTCCTTACCACCCTACCCGCCTAAGCCTGGGCCTTGGCTGGCCTGGGAATGCAGCCTGGTGGAGAGGCTGGGCCAAACACCTCCAATGAGGCCAGAGAGGAAGGGGGGGGTCAGAGGGCTGGCCTGGGACCTGCTGTGCACCCGGCCCCCCCGGGCACCAGGGCTTCATGGAGCCGCCGTCCAGCTGCGTGGTGGTGACCGGTAAGGCTGTGCTTTCCCCGCGTGCCTGTTTTTAGACTGAACTGGAATGCGCATTTGCCAGAGTTATACGTGGCTCCCCGGTGGGGGGGGGCGGGGGAGAGGAATCGTGGCAGCTGCTGGAGCCACAACTCCAGAGGGGCCCCGGGGGGGGGTGCAGCTCCCTCTGAAAGCCCCTTGGGGAGAGCAGGCCTGCGTGCCTCCCTCCGTGGCTCATTCCTGGCACATCACTTGAGTGCACGCGCCGTGGCCTCCGTGCGTGTCCCCCAGCCCCTCGGGGAGGAGGCCAAGCAGGTACCTGCTGGCCCCGAGATGACTTACTTGGGGGCGCTGCAGAAAATTCAGGGCCCTCAACAGCCCATCTCCAATGGCCACACCTGAGAGAGCACGCAGCCTCCCCTCCCCCTGTGGCCCCTTATCCCGAGGGGGACCCCAGAGGTCATCCTGGAAGGGGCAATGGCTGCTGGGTGTGGAGTCCACCAGCTCAAGGGAAGTGGCTCAGGCCGCCGCCCTGCCCTCGCAGCCCGGCCACAGCCGCTCCCCCGGGGCTCGATCTCTCTTCACAAAGCTCTTTATTTTTAGTTAACTGCCAAAGCGTGCTGTTTATTTTTAGCGAGACACATTTAGCACATTTAAAGTTGTTTTTTTTTTCTTTTCTTTCTTTCTCCAAATTGTGTTGAATGAAGGACACAAAAGATGAAGATTCTCGCATTGGGGTAAAGTCAGTTCTCTTCGTTGGAAGTTATGGGTCTTCAGGTTATCCAGAATGCACTGAGTACTGCTGATGGCAGAAAGAAAAGAAAAGGAAAGAAAGAGAGAATGAGAGAGAAAGAAAGAAAGAGAGAGAGAATGAGAGAGAAAGAAAGAAAGAAAGAGAGAGAATGAGAGAGAAAGAGAGAAGGAAAGGAAGAAAGAGGAAGAGAAAGAACAAAAAGGAAGGGAAGGGAGAGAATGAAAGAATGAGAGAGAACAAGAAAGAAAGAGAGAAAGAGAAAAAGAGAAAGAAAGAGAGGAGAGGGGAAGGAAGGAAGGAAGAAGGAAGGCAGGAAGGCAGGCAGGAAGGAAGGCAGGAAGGCAGGAAGGCAGGAAGGCAGGAAGGCAGGAAGGCAGGCAGGAAGGCAGGAAGGCAGGAAGGCAGGAAGGCAGGAAGGAAATTGTTTGAATTGCTCTTATGTCTCCTGTTCTCACATGTGCTCTTTTGCATCTAGAGAGATTCTGTGGTTCGAAAGGACCCTTGAATTCCTAAACACACCTCATCTCTGTGCATCCGGTGCTGGTCAGGCACACTAGAATGTGCGGGGTCCTCTCTGCCCCCTACTCTCACCTGGCCCGGCACGTTTGCTGTGGCAGCCTGCGGCTTTCTGGCAAACCCCAGATGGTCTGATGGGGCAGCGGATGACCTGCAGCCTTGATCTGGGATGATTTGGGGATGGCCACCCGTTCCCGAGTGTAACCTGGCTTCCTTAGGAGCACATCAGGCCGCCAGGGCAGGCTCCTGCTCCCATTGGCTTTGCCGAATGTGTGAGTCCAGCCAGGACAATGGGCATGGGGACCAAAGTAGTGTTCTGGACACCAACAGTAGCAGAGAGAGAAAGGGGAACAGACCCGCCCCCTCCCCCAGAGCCTCCAGGTTCTAGAGATGCTTCCAGCCTCTTCCCCAGGTCCTCACCAGGGCCTGCAGATGGACAGCTATCCTACCTCAGCTGGAAGAACAGCTTCACACCTTGGCTTGGTGCATTGTTTCTTTCCTAATTGAAAACAGATAAGAGATGAGACTTCTGCTGATCTGACTGTGATTCAGGATTGGCTTCTTTCCCTTGCCATGTTTTTCTTCTGTATTTCGGTACTGAGGCTTGAGCTCAGGACTGGCGCTCTACCACTTGAGCCACACACTTCCACGCCTGGCTTGTTGCTGCTTCCTTGGGTTTAAAAGACTTCTCTGCCTGGGCTGACTCTGAACCATGATTCTCAGATCGCACACTCCTGAGTAACTAGGATTACAGGCGGGCACCACCATGGCCGGCATCGTTGTACTTTTACAGTTGAGCCCCCCCAGCCCGTTTTTAGTTCATTATTGTACCCAGTGTCCACTTGAGGTAGAGGGTCAGGGTTTCGCCTGTCCACGCCCCCGTCTGGGAACCACCTTTGCAGTCTCTCCTCTTCCACATGGGGGTTCGTTTGCAGGTTTTGGACCTTTCCGGCAGCACCTGGTGAATTCTAGCTGGGAGGCAGTGAAGGTAAGTCCTCGGCCGGGCCCAGCAGGAAAAGGCTTTAGTCCCTGCCCTGGGCTCTGCTGCTTTTGCCCAGGGAGGCCGAGCAGCCCCTTCTCTCAGGGCCTCTGGGAGACCAGGTCGCTTGGGTGCGTGGGTTGGTGATCTTCCTAAAGCAGGCTCCGCTTCTCCTGGGCTCAGAGGGTCCCCTTCCGGTTGTGGGGGCTTTGGGGCGGGTCTTTCCATCATCCAGCCTCCGATTCCTCATTCGTGAATGGGAGAATGGTCATTCAGATCCTGCACCAGTGCCCTGCGTGTTGACCACTGTGCTCTTGAACTTGGAGTCGGTGAGATCTACCCATCCTTGGTGGGCACACACTCTGTTCAACCTGCTCCTCTCGCCTTGTGGAGGTCAGGCCAGATCTTGTTTGTAACAAACAAATAAACAGGTAGCTCTGGGTACTGGTGGCTCACACCTGTCATCCTAGCTACTCGGGAGGCTGAGTGAGGTCTGAGGATCGTAGTACAAAGTCAGCTTGGGCGGGGAAAGTCCATGAGTCTCTTATCTCCAATAAACTACTCAGAAAAGGCTGGAAGTGGAGCGGTGGCTCAAGTGGTAGAGTGCCAGCCTTGAGCAAAAGAAGCTCAGGGACAATGCCTAGGCCCCGAATTCCAGCTCCAGGACCAGCATGCATGACAAAACCAAACGCGCAGGGCTGTAGGTCAGGTGTACCTCCTTAGGCTCCCCTTTAGGTGCCACTGTGCGGGGCATTGCCCGGGGCACGCGAGCCATGTTTCCTTGCTGGTATCTCACGTGGCAGCTCTCTGACGGCAAAGGCCAGGCCACAGGAGAGCTTCCGGGGTGGGAGCAGCTTGCAGCAGCGTTTGGACTTCCCTTGTCTCTTCCTCATCCTGCAGGAGCTCTCCAAGCTGGGCCTAGGGATGCACCCACAGTTGAAGCTCCTCATTTTCCAGCTGCCCGTGGATTACAGGGAGGCAGCGAGGAGGGTCGCCAGCATCTGGGAAGATTTTCACCCACAGGTGAGTGAGGGCTGACGAGGGGGTGGGCGCAGGAGGCTGGTGGAAGAGAGCCCAGGACCCGTGGGTTTGCCCAAACTCACTCCAGGGCCAAGGGCTGGAGTGAGCGAGCCTTGTCCCACCAAGATGAGGTCCCAACGGCTGGCCAAAGGCCTGAGTTGGTTCATAAAGGTTTAAGCTGAAACATGGAGTAGACCTCAAAAGCAAGTCCGGAGAGAGAGGAGCAGGAGAGCAAGCGGAAAGTGTCGTTCCCAGCCAGGATTGAAGGTAGTTTCTGCACAGTGGAGGTGTCCTGGGTTAGGCCCCAGCTGTGCAGGTGTGGGGCTGGCTGATCCTCAGGTCAGACAGGGGACAAATATGTCCTGAGTTGGGAAGAGTTGTTGATAGGATGGTCTAGCCACTGGGATGGGACTTCAAAGCATTATCTGAACATAATTAACTATGTGTGTGTGTGTGTGTGTGTATGAAATATATATATATGAAATACCTGGCTGGGTTTTGGTAGCTCACAACCCTGTAATCCTAGCTACTCAGGATTCTGACATCTGAGGTTTGAGGTTCCAAGCCAGCATCAAGGAAGAAAAATCCATGAGGTTGTTATCTCAAATTAACAAGCAGAAAGCCAGAAGTGGAGCTGTGGCTCAAGTGGTAGAATGTTAGTCTTGAGCGTGTGTGTGTGTGTGTGTGTGTGTGTGTGTGTGTATACGCACATGCACGCGTGCATCCCCCAACCAAAAATCTGATCAGACTTTTCTTAATCTCCGGCTCAAAAGATCACATGGCAATCACCCAATGTGGAAGAAATAACTGCGCCGCAAAGCTCATAGAACCCATACATGTGATAGACCATGAGAGACAAGTTGCCCCATGAAAGTTAGAATGTGTTTGTGACTTGTAACCACGCATCACTATCCCACAATACTGTGAACTTTGGGGAATTATGTAACCACTGAACCACAATAAAAACTTGAAAAAAAAAAGATCACATGGCAAAGTTAATAAAACACCTACAACCTAGATTAAAAAATCTAGCTAAAACACTCCGCAGCTGTTAAAACAAAGAAGACAAATTACCTCAAATAAATCCTAATGAGACTTTATCGAACTGTTATGAACTTCCTTTACACAAGTTTTATTAAAGAGATGCCACTAAAATGCTAAGCTTGTCCCCTGGTGGCCTTCCTGACTCCTTCACAAGGAGACCATGTGGAAATACACATGCATTTAAATGTGCGTGCAGTGTGGTTTCGGTTTCGCTCGAAAGCAGCCCTGCTGCTTTGGCTCTACTTACGTTAATTAGGGCGCACAGGCAGGGGACGGGGTTATGGGGGTTCATGGTCAATTCATGGCTGGCTTCAGTGACCTCCTTTCCTCTACAGCTTGCCGTGCACGTGGGTGTGGACAGCTCAGCCAAGGTGATCTTTCTGGAACAATGTGGAAAGAACCGAGGCTACAGAGACGCCGACATCCGGGGCTTCCGGCCGGAAGCTGGTGTGTGCCTCACAGGTGGCCCGGATGTGATCACGTCGGTGGTCAGCATGAAGGCGCTTTGCAAGCGCGTGATGGCTGAGGGCATGGAGGTGGCGTTTTCTGGAGATGCGGGAAGGTGGGGACCGGGCAGGCATCAGGGTGCTGAGCAGGCAGGACCCAGGGAAGGGCCTCAGAGCCCCTCTCCTGACCACGAGGTGTCCCCAACGGCCACCCTTCTTTGTCCCTAACCTGGATTGGGGAATATCTACTGTCATAGGAGGAGAGGTCTTCAGAACATGGATGGTGTGGAGGAACCAAAGTTAGGAGTTAGCAACGCAGCTTTAATCCCAGGTGAAGACTCGTTTAATCCGAGTCTCTGCAGTCTAGCCTCCCCCCCACCCAAGTAGGCATTTTCTTTATGCATTTCTTCAAGAAATGCATGAACAAATGACCCAATGAAGACACGAACTTCAAAGCATTATCTGAACATAATTAACTATATGTATATAGTTATATATAGCCAGTTATATGTATAACTGGTTGGGCATTGGAGGGCAGATGTATTTGGCCATTTGCTGATTGTAAGACCCCAAGACCAAGAGCCAGTGTGTGTGTGTGTGTGTGTGTGTGTTGTGTTTGTCTGTGTCTAGTCCTCTCCCTGGCCTTTCTGAGCAGAAGCAAATGTAATTCTCCCTGAGGGATGGGCCTTTCTCTTCATGGCCTTGGGAACATGGCAGTGCCAGGTTGGCCTCCGTGGCCTGCATGGTCTGGAGAGTCACGTGGCCTTTCGTGTGGTTGCAGATATGTCTGCGATTACATCTACTACTTGTCCCTCCTCCACGGAAATGGGCACGCAGCCCTTGTCCACGTCCCTCCACTGTCCCGTGGGCTCCCAGCCAGCCTGCTGGGAAAAGCCTTGCAAGTGATTCTCCAGAAAATGCTGGAAGAGAATGAGGAAAGCCCGAGCTTCAAGCCCGGTCCGCAGAAAAGTAGAAGCACGCTGATCGCAGCCAAAGGGAACCCATTGTGAGGAAAGTCTCCTTTGGAGGAAGTTAAGTGATTGCATCCTGTGTGTGGAGTTTGGGATGTCAGGTGCTTTGGAAGAATTGCTTATAACACAGCTTACGTGGAGGGGACATTTTTTGTTTTGTTTTTTTTCCTTTCTGAATTAGCCCAAGAAAAACCACAAAGAGTTATTTTATGGAAAGAAGAACCCCTCAAAAGGCAGATAGGTAAGCCAGGCGCCAGTGGCTCATGCCTGTCATCCTAGCTACTCAGGAGGCTGAGATCTGAGGATCGAGGTTCAAAGCCAGCCCAGGAAGGAAAGGCCATGAGACTCTTATCTCCAATGCACTACCAGAAAACAGGAAGTTGTGCTGTGGCTCAAAGTGGTAGAGCCCTAGCTTTGAGGAAAAGAGCTCAGGGATAGTGATCAGGCCCTGAGTTCAAGCCCCACAGCTGACAACACTAACTTCAGTTATGTTGTGACCCAAACCTATTGTTACAGAGGCTGAAAACAAAACAAAACAAAAGCCCCACAAAAAAAATCAAAAAGCAGACATGGTATTGCAACAGGAACGTCCATTCCTGGAGCCCAGCTTGCCATCTGGACATTGAGTCCCAAGGGTTTGGCTTTCCTCTCTCTTTTTGCTACTTATTTTAAGCATTGGAGTGTATAGTACTGTCATGTTAGTAGGAAGGCCTTGTCTCAACCTGTCTCTAGAACTTTCTCCTCCCCCCACATGGAAACTATACTGTACTAAACCATACTCTCCCCTGGCTTCTATCCCAATGCTGTGACTCTACTTATCTAATGTAGCGATCATCTTGTGTCTTTTCACTTAGCATTGTGTTCTAAAGCTTCATCCATGCTGCGGCATGCAATGGGATTTTGCTGCTTCTTCCACTGAGTAATATTCCAGGCCCCGTATGATTTCTCTGTCTTCGTCTGCAGATGGGACAGTGGCTCTGGTTAGTAAAGGCCGCAGGGAACACCGGTGCTCACACGTCTGTTCCAGTCCCTGATTTCAGTTCTTTCGTCTGGATGGCGCGCGCACCGGGCTGCAGGAAGATTCTGGTGGATGTTCTGAGGGTCTGCTCTCTCTCCTGTTTGCGGCGGTTTTCCATCGCCCCTGATACTGTCTGGTCTGAGAACAAACTTAAGGACTGGGCTTGGCTTCCCTCCATTATCACTCTGACCCCTGAATTTGAAAATCACAGTCTCCCATTTCAACTTCTTGTGTTGACCTGTGACACACTGCCCACAGCCACGTGCTCCGTGTTCAGCGTGTTGTGGGGGGCATTTTCACTATGAACCCATGGATTCCTTTGGAATGAATAGGGACTTGAATTCAGGACCTTGAGCCCTTGCTCGACATTTTCCACTCCTGGCTGGCACTCTACCACTTGAGCCACACCTCCACTTCTGACTTATTTGTCAGTCATGAGACCTGAACTCCGGGCCTGGACACTGTCCTTCAGCTCTTCAGCTCAAGGCGTGCGCTGTACCACTTGACCCACAGCACCACTTCCACATTTTTCTGCTTATATGGTGCTGTGGAATCGAACCCAGGGCCTCATGCATGCAAGGCAAGCAATCAACCACTGAGACACCTTCCCAGCCACTTCTGACTTCTTAACTGATTATGTTTGGAAATAAAGAGCATCGTGGATGTATCTGAAGCATGATTCTCAAATCTCAGCTTCTAGAAGCAGCCAGGTTTTCAGGCATGAGCCACCAACCGCAGGCAGGAATTCCTTGTCATGTTGGTGTGTGCTCACCACTACCATTTTCCACGTGATCATTTAGTGGGCTGGATTCATTTACTGTTTAAAAAAAAAAAAGAGGAACAGACAAATTGCAACCTAATAACATAGGAACTAGGACTAGCGAGAACATTCAGGAAAGTACTTGCCTGGAATGCACAAATGCCCGGGTGCAATTCCCCAGTGCCCAACAAATCGAACCCCAAACCAACCACAGGACTGGACAGGCCTTGCCTGTCTTGCTGCTAGGCCTCCTGCACACTTGTGCATTTGCCACAGATGTCACAACTCCCCCCCCTTCCCCTTTGTGAATAAACCTGGATTGTGTGACGTGCAACAGGTGTGGGCAGATGTCAGGAGATGGGGGGGATGGTTTGGGGCACGTGGATGCCCTCGTTCATGGTTGCTTATGAGTAAACTCTTCTGTTCTTAGGGGCAAACAGCTGCTGCAAGAGGCCTCAAACTTCTCCACCTCCAGTCGTGGGACCCAGGAAAACCGGGAGACTCCAGAGCCTGACTTCAGTGTTGTGTTTTTTTCAGATCATATGACACACACATCATACACATTAAAACAGATTTAGATATTCAGTTGGCAGGCACAGAGCTCCCCCAGGGTAGATTTGTTTAGTATCTGCTCTCCCCCTGTCCTGCTTTGATGTTTTCTAAGAACGCATTAGCGTCTGGTCTGTGTCAATGGCCTGGATTCCTGGTGGTATGTGTGAGGCTGTTACGGTGGATACAGGGTTGGTCTGAGTCTATGGACTGGTAGCTGCCTGTGGTGTAGTCGTGATTTGTCTCCCAGAGGGTGTGTGTGTTGGGAGTTTGGTGCCCCGTCTGATATTGGGGGATAGAAGTGGGGCCTGCAGGGGCCCGTAGGCGGTGGGAGGCTCTGCCCTGGGAAGCGGTCGTAGCCTCCTGTGTGACTCGGGAGCTGCTGCTGCTGCTAAGGCTGTGGTGGCCCCAGAATTGCTCTCCGCTTCCAGATTTGCAACGTGGTATGGTCTTGCCTCACACACTCTGTGGTCAGCCACGGGGTCCTCAGAACAACGCTGGCGTGGGACCATGTTCTAGGAATCTCTGGATGCAGAGAGCAAAATGTCTTATGTCAGCCTCAGGCATTTTGTGACAAAATGCAAAGGAAATACATACCGGGATCTGTGGCCCTCCACACAGAAACCCCCTAAGAAGTGCCATGGAGGGGAGAGGTTCTCACGCTGAAAGGCCCAGGGCTTTCATCCTAATGAAACTGCTCTCTGTTGGTGGGCAGGCCGAGTGGAGAACGTACCAGCACGGCCTGCAGGCCTGGTATCAGCCTAAACTTGGAAACCAGACTTCCCCGTCATCTAGCGAAGGCCCCTGGACCCTCGGTGGTGGCAGAGAATGGAAACCCTGGGACTCAAATGTGTTTTCAGAAAGACCAGCTGGCCCGGCATTGGTGGCTCACACCTGTCATCCTAACTACTCAGGAGGCTGAGACCCAGGGATCACAGTTCAAAGCCAGCCTGGGCAAGAAAGTCCGTGAGGCTCTTATCTCCAGTGAACCACAAGTGGTGCTGTGGCTCAAAGTAGCACAGCCTTGAGCGAAAAGAGCTCAGGGACAGTGCCGAGGCCCTGAGTTCAAGCCCCAGGACTGACAAAAGAAAAACAAAAAAGGCCTTCTGTTGGCACACTACCTACCTGTGAGACTCGGCAGGACTTCAGTAACCTTGGCCTCTGATTTATGTCTACTGCTTACAGCTTGCTAATTAGCACTTCATCTGGAGGCTCTGATCATTGGAGTAGAAGTTCCCTCGGTCAATGTTGAGTGAGACAGCCAGTGTGGTCCTCCTGGCCTCCTCTAAGACATCTTCGGTCTGATTCTAGAACATGCGTAGCTCGTTTTCTTTTCCTACCATAACCCATTTCCCCGATCCCGGAATAAAGATGCTGATGTGTAGATGATTGATTTCTGGGAGCTGGACAAGGATCGTGGATCACTGGCTAGACAGGGACTAACCCACTGGAACACCCAAAACAACCACATCCTGTGTGCAGCATTTCTGGTTCTTCCTGGCACCCTATATGTTAGCCAAGGAAGTACCAATAAGGACCCGGAGTCACAATTACATAGACCCTGGACTAAAGAGTCATATAGATCACACACCTGCTGGGCCTGAGTTTTGTCACCTGAAGTTATGGGGAGGAGGAGGCAGTCAGTCAAAACAGAAGCACCAGACTCTGTACATCATGCATTCAAGTTGATTTAAGAGGGAGATGAGCTCCCCAAGTCTCCCCAGCATTTGCCTGCCGGAGCCCCAGCTGTCAGCAGTTCAGATTGGGCCTTGGCAGGAACAGACGACGCTTCTAAGTGACACATGTACAGAGGCCGGACTCTGCCACAGAAGCACAGCGAAGATTCCAGAGAAGAAAAGGAGACAGAACGGGAGACCAAAGTGCATACAGAATTCATTTATTTAACTTAAACCATGTAGTACTTGAACTAACTAGAAAAAGCAGAGTAAGAGAAACTAAAATCACCTTAGCTCCAGCCATTCAAAATAGACAAAAGTTTTTTCTTCTTCTTCTTCTTAATGTAAAGAACCCAGAGTATATCGCAGTAACAGGAATACATTCTTACAACAGAATATACAAAAAAACATTTTGAAAATTTTTTTATCTACTGATTTTTTTTAATATAAACAGAATTTTTTAGGAATAATTTATACACAGAAAAGTCATTTTATGTAACAAATTGGCCATGTTATTACCTTTTTCTTTTTTTTTCTTTTTTAACTTTTTTTTAAAAAAACCTTTTTTTAAAACAAGAAAACTCAGAAAATGAATTATATGCGATGCATCTGTTCCATCGCACGTTCTAGCTTGATTTTTTCTTTAATTTTTTTTTTTTAATCCCAGAGGTAGACAAACTCTGGCAAAACTTTCCTTCCAACCTCACTGGAGTAGGAAGCAGACCGGAGGGTTCGCCAGGTATCAGCCACCTTGGCTCCCTCTACACAATGCCAAACGTCCAGATGAGAACGTTCCAAACCAGAATCACATAGTTTCTGGACCATTCTCATATGGATTGCAAAAAGTTCCAGATTCTTGGAACTGGAAGCATAGCTCAAGCTGTAGAATACCAGCCTTGAGGCCTCCCCCAACCCCCCCAAAAAGTTCCAGATGTTTCCAATAAGAAGTATCCTGTGGAGGTGTACAGACACAGCCCACAGCCCACAGCCCACCGCCATGGGAGCCCAAGGGCACAAGATTAAACTTAAAAAATAAAAAAGTGAATTATGTTGTAAATTGGTTTTTTATTAAAAGGAAATTTGTTCTGTACTGGAAAGAATAATCATATATCCTCAGTGTTGTACCTTAAATAAAAAGTAAATAAGGTCTCTTCCTTGTTAGAATAGGGCAGTCACATGATAGGAGATCTTTAAATGGATGGCCCATGTGTCCTAGAATGTTCTGGGTGGTCATTGTAAAACCATCCACTGGACCCTGAAGTCCTTCCATCTCCATGGCATTGTAGAACAAGGATCATAATCAAGCCAGATGCCAACAGTATGGTCCCCTGCTAGGCGACCACACCTCTGCTACCTTCAGTGAGGTTGTTCCTTCTATTTGTTGAAAGTTGCTACACTCCAAAGGGAAATGACTGGGAAAAAAAGAACTCCTTCCCAACCAGAAGGTTCTAGAAGACCAAGATACTGAAAATACAGAACTATTTTTGAAGTTTCATCATTCCTTTTGTTATAAACTAGGGTAACAAAGCATGGCAGGGGGCGGGGTGGTAAAAGAGGGTGAACCACATCTTGGGTCCTGGGGGGGGGGAATCTTTTTTTTTGTTTTTTTGTTTTGTTTTGTGTTTATTTTTGGCATATTGTAAAGCTCGCTAGTAAACAGGTGTCCTAAAAGAAAATAACAAAATGGATCACAAACACACACTTGCACACAGAGGGAAAAAAAAGTGTCTTTAAATTATTTTCGGCAATTATAAACTACAAATATTTTATAAAATTATTCTATGTTCTTACAAAAACAAATGCAATGAAACATTTAATTAGTTCTTGTAAACCAGATCTTCGTCAACTGACTACCCGTAATCTACTGGACTTAAGAGCCCTATTGGAAATACTAATGAATGACTAATTAAAAAAAATGTTTACCAGAAAGATGAGGACACATAAACTCAGACATACAAATGATTAATTATGTTCTTGAGGAAACAAAATAAAAACAAAACCTTAACGTCATGCCCCAGAACTGACAAACTCAACTGGTGAGTGTGACCCAGTCTTGTGTTCTTGAACAACGTCACGACAACTCCGTGTGAAGTTTCCAGAGCGAGAGGTTAGGTTGAAACCAAATACCCATGATGGCTGCTGAGCCTTCATGTGATCCGATAACCTTCAGAAATGATCACGTCCAAAGCGTGGAGTACATTTCCTCCAATCCCAGTGACCCCCCCCACCCCCCCTGCCACCCCGTCTTCCCGTAACGCTTCTCTTCATGCCACGATTCCTGGTACCATCAATAAGGAATCTTCATTTTCTTTACAAGACTCACTAGTCATCCAAGATGGTGGCCAAACATGAAACCCTCTGGCCCAGTCCAAGGCTAGGATCTTCAGCGTCTCTGACAACAGATGTCCAGTCTCAACCATGGCCTCTCTTCCAAGCTCTCATTTTGTTGCCCCTAGGAGAGTGACTGTCATCACTCGCTCGCTCTCAAGGAGTGGATCTTGGGTCTGGGTTTCCCAATGCTGCTTAGCCCAGAGGGAAAAAAAAAATAAAAAGCTGACACCCATGTTACATGAAGGTAACAATAACAGAAGAACAAGCCCCGAACTGTGAACGCGGTTGCTGGAGTGGGCTATGTCCTGGACAGCCCCAGCCGCACGAAGGGTGTGTTCGTATTGTGGAAAGGAGTTGCCTTCGGCATGCTCTGGCCAATCTGGGAGCCCCCTGGTTAGTGTCAGGTGAGGGGCTGTGGTGAATGCTGCCACCTTCTCACCCACCTAAATTCAGGGGGACGTCGGCCACCTGCCCACAGAGATGGGCGGCTGAGAAGGAAAAACCCAGAGGCTTCCGTAGGTCAGACTGGCCTTAAATTTGGCATCAGGCACACAAGCAGGATGCATGGCTTCCTCCTACCGCACATTTTGCCGTCTGGTATGGTTTCACCATCACCACCTTTCTGTCTGACGAAGCCACGCTTTCTATCATCAAAAGGTACCAATAGTGTTCTGAGTCTCCAAACAGGTTGAGGGGAGAGGCTGGCCGCAGCCATGAACGCACACGGTGTTCTGTGCTCCTGGGAGTTCATTCAGACTGGGTATCCAATGCCAGGGCTGGGGGACTGCCTTCATGCCCACATCAACTCATGTGCCTCAGTGGTTCACGTGAACGTCAAGCAACGTGAGCTGTTGCCAGAAAAGGAGAGTGCACGGAAGATGCCACAACGCGGCAAACAGAAGAGAAAAACCAAGAAGAGGTGGGGAAAAAAAGCAGCATACAGTGTGGGGATGTGAGCGATGCCTTGGTTATCATGGAGGTGGAAGTGAAAGGGACTGTACCATCCCACGGGCACAATTTCCGCTTTTGATTGAAGTGCCTCGGAGGCTTTTAGGAGGGACACTACTGGCAGGTATTTTCTCTCCACTTAAAAGCTATTCTATAAGAAAACACACATCGAGACAAAACCAAAAAGAAAAAAAAAAAGACAACAACTTGGACAGCTGAAACAAAACCCTATCACCAGCTGAATGACCTGTAGAAATCCAGTTGTGGAAAGCGGTAGGTTTGTGCAAAGAGAGGAGAGGCCATGATTCCAAAGGGGTCACGTACAGTGCTGAAGAAAGAAACCCTGATCAGATAGGACGTGTCTCGGTGACCTGAAGATCCCACAGACCAGAAGGAGGCGGCTAGCATTCTTTCAGGAGGACGGAGGCTCCCGAGCTGAACTCTTGAGGACTGAGCTGTCTAGTGCTCACCAATACTCGAGGAAGAACCGCCTACCAAGTTGCCATGCTGCCATCCTCAAAGGCCTGTGACCACAGTCTCTCATCCACTCCTCTAAGCAGCAGGGTAACAGGGCGATGGAGGCCCAGCTCTGGAGGAAGGCTGGGCACTGACCTCTGGCCTAGCCGGCCCTCAGGTTTGGCCCGTCCTTGTTTACCCCTAGGGGACGAGGCAGTGTGGGTAAGATGGGTCACGTGCCACTGTCTGGGGATGCCACTGGCCGTCCCGCGAGAGCCTCTGTGCTCCTGAGTAGGGTGTAGGGGGATCAAGGTCTCTGACTGTTGATTAGTCTTGCCTGGGTCTGTCTCGGCACAGGAAGCTAGGGGAGCCACCCGGATGTCCCCAATATAAGACACATGTGGGGCTCCTTCCAGACAAGACTATAGGTGTGGGCATCTTCTGTCCCTCAAACTCGAGGAACACCTGCTCTCTCAGGGACCAAACATATTGGCCATTCAATCTGTCTAAAGCAGTGGTTCCAGAGGTGGAGGCGACAGGTGACCCCCACTCTATGTTCTCGTGAACCACCCCTCCTCCCCCCCCACCCAGCGGTCATAGAGGCTGCTGAATGAAGGAGCGCGGGAAATCCTAAGACCTTGCAATCACGGAGGAGGAGAGGAAAAGAACTAGCTCAAAACAGAAAAGCAAAGGCAAGCCACTGGAAATAGGTGCAGAAGCGAGTTAGTGTTGTTTGGACCCCGGAATGCAGCCTGACCTCTCCCTGTGTCACCTGTGTGTGTGTGTGTGTGTGTGTGTGTGTGTGTGTGTGTGTGGTCTGTGGTATGAATGAGGTTAGCAGTATCAATGGCCTATTGTCAGGTGAAGTGTGAGATGGTTTCTTGTTTTTTTTTTTCTTTTTTTTCCCTATATACACATATAAAAAAATAAGAGTGAGGTAGATAAATGTTTGAAAAGCAATAACCAAAACACCCCCAAAACTATCCTGTCCTGCACACACACACACACACACATACACACATTCTAACCTTTGCCTTTAAGTTCATAATGGGGGATTCTCTACTGGTATCACAAAATAAATTAAAAGAAAACTACTCATAATACGTTCTTATTTAGCGTTTTCTTTTTTTTTTCTTTTTAAGGGGAAACACTGACTGAGGCTAGTAAGAAAGCTGAGACTGAATCTACTCACAAGCAGAAAAGCTTGGCACCTTTGCTTTTCTGGATTTAATCTCCAGCCACGACTAGCAGTCATCATCTTTGAGCTTTGTGCTCACTCATTTTTTTTTTTTTAACATTTCATCCCAGAAGCAATGCGTGTGCTGTGAAAAACAAAACGTAATCGAGCAAGACTCTGTCCTTCCTGCACCCCAGGACCGAGATTCCCAGCCAAGGAAGGCCCGCCAAGGCCAGGCTCCCATCTCCTAGGAGAGAATGAAGGAATCCGGGGCTGCTGTGCAGCTAGCACTGCCCTGTTCGCACTCAGGCTGGCAGGCCCCGTGCGCAGCACCCTCCCCCACCACCGGCCTGCTGTGGCTGTAAGGCACAGGTAGGTCCGATGAAGATGGCCAAGCCACATTCTGCTTGCTGTACAGGTGTTTCAGGGGATGGAAGGATTAAATAGTCATGAAATAAAAATGATCAAAAAAAATCAGCATTCCAAATGCCTAAGTGTCTGCAGTTGAATACTGCTGTTGTACCCAAGAATCTCTCTCTCTCTCTAAATACAGATAGATGCATGTTACCACCAAAAGAGCGGCAAGGGAAAGTGACAGATAAGACAATGAGGAGGACAAATACCCAACAAGGACATGTGAGCTATTCTGTTTTGTTTTCTGACCTGAGTTTGTATCACGTCTGGTCTGGGACAGAAGGGGCACCTGACCACAGAGGGGAACGAGGTCCTGTGGCCTCCACCCCAGCCCCATCTGCTCATGCCCTAACCTTGTGTCCACAGAACCTACAGGTTAGAATACAACGAATGGGACTGGGGACAGCAGGAAAGGGAGAGATGTATTTACATTAAAAAAAAACCCTCCAAAAAACAAAAGAAAAACCAAAATAAAAAGAGAAAAAAAATCCACAAAAAGATAAAAACAAACAACAACAACAAAAAACCACCAGGCATCAAAGAGTTAATGGCAAATTATGGTCCAGAAGTATCCATTGCTGGGAGAAGAGCAAAAGGGGGTGGGGGGAGGCGGAAATCACACACTCTAGTACAAAGCATTAAGAAGTTTTCTTGGAGTGAGCAGAAGAGAAGAAAAAGGAGACCTGTAACTTTTCATAGATTAAATCCACAAAGATAAAGAACAATAACCAAAAAAAAATAGCAGCTTTTTTTTCTGTACAGACATATAGATGAATATCTGAATCATAAAAAAGTTATAAAAGTGACATTAAAGACGACGTGTATGCAAATGTTTTCCTGGTCTAACATAGAACTGTAAGACCGTGAGGAAGTCCTAGTCACAGAGCTTAGAATGCTTGAATCTGTCGCCTGCTATTCTTCCCGCTACTGTGTGTCTGAATGCCCGCCTGCAGCCCCGGCCCGTCTGTGTCCCTTGGGGTGGGGTGGTGGAGGTCAGTAGGGAGGAGGCTGGGGAAGAGAATGGCACAATGTCCACAGAAGAGAACCCCGTTTTCTCATCAGCCCCGTAACAGCCTGGTTGTCATAATCAAGGAGAGCTGAGTGGATGTGGGGGGTCGGAGGAGGGGGGTCATGGGGCCCATCACCCACCCATCCCTTAAACCGGAGGTGAACAAGGGCCTGCTGGATGTACCCCCCCCCCCCGTGCCTCAGAGCGGCGTGGCCACGGCGGGGGGAGGGGAGGAAACACAAATCCAGGATTTTGGCAAAAATTTGGCAGCATAAAAATGGTTAACAAACATGGATGAACAATGACCCTTTAAGTTTTTGGAAGGCCCTATGAAAAGGCTAAAGATTGTTAAAAAAAAAAAAAGTTGTTCTCTATGTGCGTGTGTGTGCGTGTTCTATGTTTGTGTAAAGACATATATGGTGTCGGGCGGGTGGGTGCGGGGAGCGTAGACACGGGGGGGTGGGGGGGGACACTTCTTGGTTGGGCTTGCTGCAGAGGTTTGTTGTTTGTTTTTTCCATTATGAAGCAGAAAAGGGAGAGAGAGAAAGAGAGAGAGAGAGAGAGAGAGAGAGAGGAGAGAGAGAGGCAGAGCGGCTGTGTTGCTATTGTTATCATTCAGGTGTGTAGAGGCCCTTGCCCAGTAGTGTTTTGGGGAGGGAAATAAAAAGGCTGCTTGCATATTGAAAAAGGAACACCCCAAATGCGTTTACTGCGGAGAAGCTGTCCCCCGTTGGGTAGCCATGGTTGCTCTGAAGATCCACTGAGGTGCAGGAGGCTTGTGACTCCATGGTGGGCCCCACTCTCCCGGCCCGCCCCTGCGTCCACGTTACTGTCAGCGGCTCCGAGCATCAGCAGGTGGACGACTGGGGCAGCGGCAGCGGGCGCTCGTTGGCGCGGCCGCCGTTCATGTGCGCGTACGGCTGTCTCTCGTCGAAGCTGGCTCGCAGGACCAGCACTCCAGGGCCCGGGCCATTCTCGGCCTTGTGTCCTGAGTGTCTGTCGGGCAGAGGCAGGGAGGAGGAGGAGGCCGAGGGGTCCAGGGGCACGCTCTCCATGTTCTCGGGCTCCAGGTCCAGCTCCTCGGATTCGGGGGGCTTGTTCTCCTCGCTGTAGTAGAAGGAGACCTCGCGGAAGCCCGGCTCCATCTCATCCTTGATGCTGCCGATGATCTCCAGGAAGGAGGGCCGCATCTTGGGGTTGTACTGCCAGCACATCCGCATCAGCTCGAACCTGAGGAGGGAAGGGCGGAGGGTGGATGGACCGGTCTGAGAGGGGGCCCCACGGCCAAGTAGCTAACCCTAAGGGCTTCTTTCTGTGCTTCCCTATCTCATATAGGTTAAATGGTTCTACCATCACCCTACCCACCCGGGTGGCTCTCATCAGCACAGAACCCAGGCACAACCAAGGTACAAGAACCCCAATTCTCATCTCCTGAGAAGGCTCTGACTTCCTTCACACCGTCCACCCTGGGGGTCTGATCAACAGAGGCAAGGGGTAAGAAATGAAGCTGGGTGCCAATGGCTCATGCCTGTAATCTTAGCTGCTTAGATCCCGGGCTGAAGCCAGTATCAGGCAGGAAAGTCCATGGGATTCTTATCTTCCACTAATCACCAGAAAGTTCGAAGTGGCGCTGTGACTCAAGTGGTAGAGTGCTAGCCTTCAGCCTAAGGTATAATTCCTAGACCCTGAGTTCAAGCCTGAGTATTGGCATAAAAAACAAATCTCTCTCTCTCTCTCTTACACACACACACACACACACACACACACACACCCTGGCTTTCTGCCAGAAGCATCTCTTAAAGGTACTGACTCAACTTCAACCAGAATCAGAAAACAGGAAAGCTCCATTTTCCCACTAATAAGGCTGAAGAAGAGCTACAGCTTCCCAGGTCCAGAGGAAGGGGACTATGGGACGACAGACAGAAAGAACACAGGCCCCTGCTGGCTGGACACCATCCATAGGCAGAGCTCTGACCCTGGGGGTTCACGCCTCACCTCGTCAAGTCTCAGTGGAGACCGGAAGCAGGAAGCCAACAAGCCTGCAAGAAGACGGCCTCCCCCTCCGCCATGCACCGGGGCCGTCAGATGTCCTGGGAAGGTTTGGTTTACAAACTGGCAGCTAGTGTGGTGTCCTGTGCTCTGGTCAGGTGCAAACACTCCAGAGTTCCCATACTCCCAGCATTTCCCAAAAAAAGACACCCCCACCCGGCCCCACACCACCCCGGTGCGAGGCCCTAAACACGTGGAACTCATCTCTATGGCTGGGCTGCGATTTCCTCTCTGGCAAACCAACTAACTTATCCCCGAATAGAAGTTCGGCGGAGCCAAGAACACGAGATGCATCTGGCTCTGTGCCCCGTGGCCGGGGGGGGGGGGCTGAGAAGGTGCCACCGGCCGGGCAGTGATGTGGTAACATCAGCACAAACAAACCATGTGATGACTCTTTGAAATCACTCCAGCCCTGGCCTGTCCAGCACTGCCCATAAAAGGAAGTCTTTTTTACACTGTGGAATCCCAGACCTTGTTTACACTCTTTAACACAAGAGAACTCTCCAATAGATTCTAGAAGGATTTATGAGCTGATAAAAATCCTTCCTTTAAAAAAGGCATTTAAACAAAACAAAACACGCTGGCCAGCCCTGGTGATCGCACAACTGTCCTTATATTTGTGTGTATGTGTGTGTGTGTGTGTCCTAAGGCTTGAACTCAGGGCTTGGAAGCTGTCCCTTAGCTTTTTTTTGCCCAAAGCTGGCATTCCACTACATGAACCACATCTCTACTTCCGATTTTTAGGTGGTTAAATGGAAATGAGAGTCTCATGAATTCGCCTGCTTGGGCTGGCTTCACTCAGCCTCCTGAGTGGCACCCGGTGTCCCCTGGGTGTTGATGGTGGAACTCACACCACTGTCCTAGCCTTTATTCTGCTGTATGAAAGCCAGATTCATCCAGGTCTCCAGGTTTCATGAGACCCAGGACTAAGTCTGCCCTCATTTTTGGTGACTTAGCAGCCAGTGTGCACCCAGAGGGTTCAATGGCCTTTGCAGGCTAAGCGCACAGACAGACCTGGGTATGAAAGAGAGCTGAGGACTGGCTGCCTCATTCATTTAAATGTGGGTGCAGCAGAGACCCACAATCCAAATGCAGTCTTGTGGTAGTTGCTCAATCCATTTCAACTGAGTGGAGGCACTGAGATTCGCAGACCTAAACACCCCGGGGTTCAGATGATGACATCCTTCTTCTAAAGCTGGATCACACCGCGACACTGACAAGATTTGGGGGGGGTGTTCCTGGCTAGTCCTCAGGACACCTGCTGCTCATACAGACACTGCGGAGTAGCCAAGGGGTCTTCCTGAGCCTGAGCTGAACCCCCCCCCCCGTCCTGTGGTTACCGCGCTGCCAAGGAGGCCCGTTCCCCTCAAAGCACACAACCCAGCACTGTCTCTTTGCATGAGCCCAGCAGGTTTCATGCAACTCCAGAGGGCTTGAAGACTCCCCTCTTCCCTTCCTTTCCTATCTGTGAGCCCCTCTTGAAGAACACGTAAGAAGGCCGCCACAGACTCCCCTTTCCACGAAACCAGCTTGCCTCTCCCTCACGCTGTTCTGTTCTTGGAAAGGAGGCAGATTTGCCAAGGGTGGGGTGGGGGTGGGGCCATTCTGGATGGTGAAGCAGAAATGCCTCCTGAATGAAGCTTTTCAGATCCAGGAGTGACCTCTGTGTGTCAACTTCCTCCTCACTGCCCTGGGAACAGGAAGTGCACAGCCTTTCCCATGGCAGGTGGCTGCTTCCCAGGCAGATTAAATTCCTATGAAAATTCTGCTTGTCTGGAGGTGGATCCAAAAACTCAAGAGGCCCATGCGTGTCTCAGGGACAACTGTTTCACCAACGTTTGAGGGGGAAAAAAATACAAAGACAATACATACCGCTCCAACGGCCAACCCCAAACCACAGGAACAAAAGTCATACACCTGCGGGAGGCTCTGGAACTACTTGTGAGCCGGCAAGCCACTGCTGATCCCAGTAGGCCAACTCTATTCCTGTACTGTGTGCCACTGTGCAAATGCAGTGGGCATCACTGCCCAGCCTTGTAATGGGCTGGCACGAACACAGGAGCCGCCCTGCTAGAGGTGGAGAAGACGCTGCAAGTGGGGGAAGGGGGGAGGCTAGCCTCAGGGCATCTCCTCCCCCCTCCCCTGCCAGCTTCTCTGGGTAACCCCCTCCCCCTCTGGAATTTGGCTTATGTGTTGCGTTCTTACTCTCTGTTACTCTGTTGATCCGGGATTGCTTTGGTCACATATTTCACAGACCCTGGGCCCAAGAAATCCCAGGGAAAGCCATGAATCCAAACAGAATGATGAAGCTGGGTGCTGGTGGCTCATGATAGTCATCCTAGCTACTCAGGAGGCTGAGATCTGAGGATCACGGTTCAAAACCAGCCTGGGCAGGAAAGTTTGTGATACTCCTACCTCTAATTAACTGCCAAAAAAGACAGAAGTGGAACTGTGGCTCAAATGGTAGAGTGCTAACGTTGAGCAAAAAAAAAAAAAAAAACAGTTAAAGGATAGTACTAAGGCGTCCAAGTTCAAGCTCCAGGTCTGGCACAAAAAAACAAAACAAAAACTGAAGGACTAAGGAATTAAGGTGCTTGTGTACAACGACTCTGGCCTTCTGTGAGGCTAAAGGATTCCTCTTGTAATCCTTTCCCGATGATGGCTATACCCACAGGACCAGAGAGAATGACTCCTGTACTTCCTAAGTTTTAGGTCATGTGACCCAGGGAAATAGTCATTTGAGGGATAAAGATCCAAGGAGTGGGGAAAAGGGCTCAGGGAATACATACAGCATGTCGGGGCAGTTGTCTGGTTTGTCTAGAAGCCCGCCTTCCATGACGAAGCGAAGGACTTGCTCGTTGGACAAGCCTTGGTATGGCTGCTCAGCCAGTGTGGCGATCTCCCAGAGGACCACCCCGAAGGACCTGCAGGAGAAGAGAAGCGTGAGTGGCGTGGAAGGACACTAGCAGGACCTCACACCTCCTTCCTTCCTTCCTTCCTTCCTTCCTTCCTTCCTTCCTTCCTTCCTTCCTTCCTTCCTTCCTCCCTCCCTCCCTCCCATGGTTCCTGAACCGTTTGGAAGCACTTGATGTTCACCACACACATTTCCCGTCCCAACCACGTATTCATCTCGCAGGGTGATGCGTGCAGACCACAGCGTTCTAGCCTGGCCATAGATTTGGGGCGATCCAGTATCTCAGGCTCCTCGGAGGCATTCCAAGCCAAGAGTTAGGAGACCTATATCCCATAATGCCCCATATGGACCCTCTGTGTAGGCTCTGATTTGATAGGTATGGGACGGGAACCTGGGCCTTTATATGAAGCTTTTAGAGGGATCTTGCTTTGAGCCAAGGGAGAAGAGACCACAGAACTCAAGACCTGCTGGCCAGGGGGGAGGGGAAGGGGGAGCTCTGTCACAGGTGGAGGTACTGGGGTGGGATGTGCTGGTTTATGGAGTATGTTATACCCGAAGACCCTTCTGTACAGAGTCTGGCTGAGAAATATACTCAGCTAGGAGAGCCATGGGCAGCCCTGCCACCAAGGCAGTTTGGCCCATTAGTTCAGAAGAGCAAACCACAGCAGGTGCATCACACACACAGACAATTCATAGAGCTACCGGCTCATGAGGAATGTTATCATCTGCCAAGTGAACGTGCACATCTTTACCCTTGACAAATCCTATTTGCCATCATGCTGTCAGTGGAATAAAGCAGGCTGCCCACGAGGCCTGCTGGTGGAACCTGAGCGGGACTGGCCGAGCCTGAAGGAAGAGGCTCTGCCGGGGTAATTTTCCATCCTGGGGCAGGGGCAGAGGTCTCTGTCTCTGACTCAGAATGATTGGTCTGCTGTGTTAAGTCCTTCCTATGAACAAAAGGTTTCTGTGCATATTGGTACTCAAAGCTGATGTCAGACATAAATAGAATCTTAGCAATCAGGAGACTTGACCACACTGAGGTCCTTTTCTAACTGCCGGGGATTAAAGACATCATCTTCATGTTGTGCAAGAGACTGAGAAAAGCCAGACCCGAAGGCCAGAGCACAGCTTGAAACATCTGAGGGCCAACGGAAGCGGTTTTCTGTTGTCTTCACTCGTGGAAATCCTGCCTTCTAAAACCTTTCCAGTCCTATCTGTGGCATGCCTTGGCATCCACCCGCATCCAAAACATGGCCGGGGCTCACAATGATCAGACTTCCATGATTCCTGACTCCAGCCTGGTCTGGCCCTCTTCTCCTGCCCCATGTGCCCTCTCTGGCCTGTGTTGCGGCTTGTAGGCATCTAACTCTTGCTGGGTGGTTCCCACACTGGCCCTTGCAGCCCTGGCAGCTCTCCTCCAGCTTTGTCACTTAGCTATCCACAAACTCAGCGCGCCTCCAGCTGAACTCTGTCCTGCACCCTCTTCATTTCCTGTCTTACCTGCAGCCAACGCCTCATTCCACTGGAGCAGCCCTACCTGGGGTAACCTGGTTTCCTCAGTCCCACTGCCAACAGAGGCTAAGGTGTGTCCAGAGATCTGGTCCCTTCTGCTATGGGTCTGCTGCACCCTTTCTAGAGGGTTCTAGCAACTTCTAGCTCTTTACCTTCCTCCCCCCCCCTTTTTTTTTCATTCTGTGCCAGTCCTGGGGTTTAAATTCAAGGCCTTTTGTTCTCACTTGCCTATTTCCATTCAAGGCTGGCATTCTTGAGCCACAACTCTACTTCTAGCTTTTCACTTTAATTGGAGGTAAGCGCCTCAGGGACTTTTCTGCTCAGGCTGGCTTCAAACCATGATCTTTCGATCTCAGCCTCCTAAGTGTTAGGATTAGAGGTGTGAGCCACGGGTGCCCAGTTCCCAACTCTAGCACCAGGCTGCCCTGTCCTGTCCAACTACCTTCATAATTCACTACAGAGCCTGTAGACGTAGCCCTCCATCCCTAGCAAGCTCAGTAAGCCAAGAAAGAAAGGCCGGGTGGGGAGCGATGCATATTCTTGGGCAGGGAATACAACCAGGCTTTGTGTCCCCATCTGCAGTCGTTTGGACCCATCTTCCTCCAGGCCCAGGGGTGTGCCATGTCCTCTAAGCCAGATGGGCCATGTGAGGGGAAATAGGAGCTGAAGGAGAAGCTGCCATGATTTATAAAACCCGGTAACAAAGTCTTAGATGACAGAGGAGACTGGAGGGCAGGAGACAGCCCACAGGGAGTCACACAGAGAATGACTGGAGCCACACGCTCCTCCCTCAAGTCTGGTGGCCCCCATCCTGGCCTGGGGACCAACACAGCCTTGCCACTTGCCACTTGAGTGACAGCTGTGAAAAGTGCTGTGGACAGGATTCAGGGCTGGGCCTAGTCTCAGAGATGCTTTCCCCAGCCCTCTGATTCTGGAACTTCCTACCAAGTCAAACTCAGTTCTTCAGACTTCGTTTAAGAATGACTGTCCTGTGCTACAAAATACATTCTAAACATGCCCCATATTCTTCTCTGTGTGTGTGTGTGTGTGTGTGTGGCGGCGGGCGGGGTGGGTGTGGGGAGCAGAACCCAGGCACAGCTGAGAAACCCACATAACCCAACATCCTGGCCTCCCCCCCCGCCCCCGCTGTATCCTCAAAGGCTGGGGTGAGAAAACAAAAATACTGCAGCACTGTCAGAGCCTGGCCATTTGATGGAATGAATCCCAGAGGCCTGCTCTCCTTGGTGCCTGTTTTTCTCTTGTTGGTTCACAGCAGTTATGTAGTTCAAGGGCAGGGATCAGCATGGAGCACCACGTGGTCCCTTTGCTGCTGCTGCTGGTGACGGCTGCTAACCAGAATCTGGGTAGAGTCATTCGGTGAGAAGTTAACAGCTCTGGTTTCATCCGCCCACCCTGCCTACGCTTCCATCCTGCAAACTGACCTCAAAGCTTCCTGAAGCACGAAGCCTAGAGCGAACCCATGAAAGAGAACACCCAGGTGTGCTTTCTGCCCCTCCGCTCTCAGAAGTGGTGCATCCACTTTGTTGATTTGACAGAAAAGAAGTAACCATCTTGGACAGGCTCACTGCCCAACAGATCTCATCTCTGAGGTTCAAGAAGCAATGGGGCTCTGCTGGGTCCTATATCCATGCTATTTCCAATTTGCACCTGTCCTCCAAATGAGACTCAGAACTGTTGATGACACAGGGTTCATGAAGTTTAAAAATGATGTCGGTCACTACTGAAATAGTTCCTCTCTGCGGTCATCCACAGTTGGGAGTAAACAACTACCATTTCCGTAACATAACAGCAACGGGATCTCCCGAGAGGAAAGCCAAGACACTTGCTGAAATTCTAGAAGGTGGATGTGCCAGGTCTCTTGCCTGCCAAGAAGCTCAGTTGTATTTCAGAACCTGATGGCCTCTCCACAGTGTTTCCAAGGAACAGTGGTAAACAATGCTGCAGGGAAATCTTCCTACTCCCTGGCCAGTGTCCTTTCACCACAAGACATTCGCACTACTACTAAGGGAGACATCTGGTTTTCCAAAACCACTCGTGGGTCTACAGGGATGGGTGCCTCCAGAGAGAAGGCAAGCCGCAGATGAGACCAGGAGGAAAATATGTAAGAGTCACAAGCTTTAAAGGGGGAAGATCCCAATAGCACAGCTCCTTCCAACAACCAACCCACACAGTTTAACAAAATGAATACCAGCCCAAACACATTTTGTCAGAGGAAGGTGAAGCTCAAGGGGGAGGGGTGGATGAATGGAGAGAGAAAGGGTGGACAAATACAGCCATGCTTTTCCACGTACATGTGTGCAAGCGACTTGAACGGATGGGTGGGGTTGGGAGAGATGGGGGGAAACAATGCGAGGGGTGACATTGCCTAAGATGCACGGTGCTCATAAACTGATATGCGCAACTGCAATCTCTGAGCAACGACTTCACGTTAACAAATAATCAAATAAAATACAGAAGCGGCTCCGCTCTGAAGGTGCCGCTAGGGGAGACAGGTGCATCAGCACAGTAGCTATCTACTGAGAAAGAGGAAGAGAGGGGGAAGGCAGGCAGGGGAGAAGCATGGCTCTAACTTCTGGGAACGTAATTGAAAGCCGCTACAAATGGATGAAAATGTTTGGGAGTTCCCACCATGCCCTTCTCTCTTTAGCGGCCCCCCACCAACAGCAGGAGCACCTCCAAGACGAAGGTGTGAGGCCCACCCAGCATTGAGCTCAGGATGGAAATTAGGGGGGAACCAACAGAGACCCAGAAGAAAAGAAAGCCCTGGACTTTGAGCGATGGCATACACAGAGGCCAGAGGGACCCGGCCGGCCTTGCATCAATACTTGTCCTACCAGACATCCGAATGGGTGGTGAAGACGCCGTCCTTAAGTGACTCCGGGGACATCCAGCGCACGGGCAGCAGGCCCTTGCCTCCTTTCCGGTAGTAGTCTGTCTCATAGATATCTCGAGTCATACCAAAATCTGGAGGGTGTGGAGAAGGGGTGGTTACACGGTGCGGGGGAAGCAGCCCGTGGGAAGAAGCAGAGGCACGGCTGCCGTAAGCACTGACCCAGTGCCTGGCTCTCTCCACGTTCAAGGTCAGACACAGCCAGTCCACTCCACTCTCGGGAGGCCCAAAGAAAGGTTTGCAACTTATGAGGGACAGACTGTAAGGGGGAGATTAGGCCCATGACAAGTGACTACCAAGAAAGCTCCGGGTTTGAACACAGCCATTTGGTCTGGTTCACTTAAGAAGTTAACTCTCTTCTTACATTGAAAAGGATGGGCCATTTACAAAGTATGGAGTTCCTTAATTTATCAGGAAAACTATACCCCCCACAGACCAAGGATCGGTGACATGTTGCCTAAATGGGAGAAAGTACACTTGTCTTCTTGGCAGTGTGGGCTTATGGCCAAAGAAAAGGACTCCAAGTTTAGTAAGGGGGAAATCACTCAGGCTAACCAGCCAATCAAAGAACACGGTGAGACACGCGAGAGATGCTGTTTACTAGGCTCCTGAAGCAATTACCCAGCGCTGTTTTTCAACATAATATACCCAATTGTTTCTAAAAACTTCCTCAATTTTCCAGGACAGCAGGAGATGTCATATAATTATGTCTGATGGCAGGCTTGCTTTATAATCCCAAATTATTTGTTGCCAGTCAGATTCTAACTTTCCATTCAATCATGTGACCTTTACTCCCGTGGACTCTTCATTCTCAGTCACAGAAGAAAAGGACTGCTCTATTCTGCCCATCTCTAATGCCTGCCACCAAGAGGAAAGGCTACAAAACGCAAAGCAAACTCGCAAAAGACAGAGTTTCGTGGACATTGACCAAGGTAAGTCACTCTTGTCCAATACGAAAGGCCAAGCAACTCCTTCCGGGGAGGTGGTTTGTCAGGCGTTGCATTTGTAACTGGGAAAACACTAACCAACCCTGACCAAAAAAAAATCAACACGAAGTGCTAAGATCAGATCTGACTTAATCCAGCAGCAAGTAAAGGAGAGAGCCTCCCTCTACCTGCGCATGATGGGAAAGACAAAATTAGAGGGGGGAAACAAACAAACAAACACCTCTCATCTTAAACACAAAAGAAAAAAAAAATCCTGAACTCTTGAAAGAAAAACATGCCATGCTAAAGAAAGGATCACTATAAATATGTCACATGGTTGGATAGCAAATCTCGGTCCCCTACAGGAAAGCAGAAAGAGTACTAAGGAAGCTCCACCAGTAAGGGGAGTGGCTTTTCCCCAGGATATCCCAGAACAGTCTTGTGGGATATCTCTACTTCTCTAAGAGCTGCTCAGTCAAGCTGGGCATCACAGGATCCTACATGTAAAAATGCCTGACACCCTAGCCCAGGGCCTCTCTGGGGGATCCTGAGCCCCTCTAGCCCCTCTGAAGACATGCAAAGTGAATGCAGTGAACCTCCACTCTAGAAAAAGGAAAAGAAAGGGAAAAAAAAGCATTGCTAATGCAGAACATGTGATTCAAGAGCCAGACAAAGAGCTTAACTGTAAATAGGTTTCCTTGCCTGCTAAGGTGTCTCTGCACTTACTTTCTCAGGCTGAAAGTTTGGTCGTTTTCTGAACTATCCTCCTATTCTAGTCGGAAGATATAGGTCGTAGTCCAAGCAGGTGGTGACCTGAGCTCCCCTGATGCTCTGTGTTTTTTGTCAGGTGGATGAAAAGACCAAAGCAAAACCCCACACTGAAAGGCTGAAAGGAGTTGTCAGCTAGTGATCAGCAATCCAACTCAACCCTTTTTTTTTTTGGTGTAACAGTAGGAGGGGTGGCAATGAGAGGGCCAGTCAGCTAAGATCATAAAAGTACAATGACAAAGGGGTCAAAAGCATGGAGGCTGACCAGCCTCGGGTGCGAAATGCCTAAGCAGAGATCTTCCATCCTCTGAGGGACTGCCATGTCTTTGTCACGGCTCCTTCACTCTTTATGGCTGTCCACGGGAGACAACACGCCCTAGAACCTAGAGAATTTGCAGGAAGATTGGACCATGGCTGTTATTCTCATCTGAGGACACTGTCCTGATCATCCCGGGAGCCAGTGCTCTGAGAGATGTCTACCTAGGTGACCTCAGGGGCCATGGACACTTCCTGGACCACCGTGTCAACGCTCTCACAGGAAGAGAGCCAGACCGGGCAGGATGACGAGCAACTAGAACTCGGCCGTACATCTTTGTACTCAAGAGTAGGTTCTGGCACTTTAGGAATACATTGGGCAAACTCCCCCCGGGGCAGGCTAACTGCCACCAGATTCCTAAAACAACCTGCCAGTTTAGTTCTTGTCTGGGACCGGAAAGCGAAGGACGCACCTCCGATTTTGACTGTGAAATCCTCGGCCACCATGCAATTGCGGGCCGCGAGGTCTCTGTGGACAAACTTGTTGGCGTTGAGGTATGCCATGCCGTCGGCAATCTCGCCAGCCATCTGGATCATCTTGCTCAGACTGGGAGGTTCCAGGACTACGTTCTTCTGCTGCAGACGAAAAAGAAAAATTCGTGTGAATACTTAGGGGAGAAAAAGATTTGATTGTGTGCTTTCAGTTCCTGAAGGAGGCTTTGCAAATCCATCTGAGAGCATCACAGGTGCTTCTGCTCAGAAACCAGGATTTGCTCTGAAGGAACCTATTATTTTTGGAGCCCACAGTGTCGGCTTGGTGATTGGCTCTGTTCTCGACCACTGAGCATACACACAGGCCTCTCAAGAAAGCACCAATGAGCACCAGTTGGAACTGACATTTTCCAAGAATCACTGTACATGAAGTAAGCAATAGTTTTTTTTTTTTTTGGACGTGAAGGATTCTCATTAAGATTACAATCAGTTGGTATTTTTCCTTTGATTTCCATAATCAAAGTTGAGGAAAAGGGAGAAGACACGTGATAGAGGCCCCACAAAACAGGCAAGTGTGTGCCCCAAATGGACCATGCCTGCTTTACTTCCCAGGGAGGCACCCTAAGAATGATTTCATCTTCCCCTTCCCCGCCTGCTTTCTTTTTTTTTTTTTTTTTTGGTTCCGGTCGTGGGGCCTGAAATCTGGGCCTGGGCACTGTCCCTCAGCTCTTCAGCTCAAGGTTAGCGCTCTACCACTTGAGCCACAGCGCCACTTCTGGCTTTTTTTCTTTTTGCTTATGTGGTGCTGAGGAATCGAACCCACGGCCTCATGGATGCAATGCAAGCACTCTACCACTGAGCCACCTCCCCAGTCCCCACCTGCTTTCTTCTAATGTACGAAGCCACTAAAGATCAGCATCTTCATCTTGGATTATTGCTTTCTGTGGACATGAGGGCAACAGAGGATCAGCCCTAAACTCACTTCAAAGGTAAATGTGTGATCAGTGGCATGGACAAGTAGCCCTTTTTCAGAAGATAGCAACATACTGGTTTTGAATTTAAAAATGACCCCTAAGTTGGTGGGTGCCAGTGGCTCACACCTGTAATCCTAGCCATTCAGGAAGCTGAAATCTGAGGGTCCATTATAGTCTTATCTAAAAACCAACTAGTAAAAAGCTAGAAGTGGGGCTGGGAAGGTGGCTCAGTGGTAGAGTGCTTGTCTTGCATGCATGAGGCCTGGGTTCGATTCCTCAGCACCACATAAGCAAAAAGAAAAAAGCCAGAAGTGGTGCTCTGGCTCAAGTGGTAGAGCGCTAGCTTTGAGCTGAAGAGCTAAGGGACAGCGCCCAGGCCCAGAGTTCAGGCCCCACGACCGGACCCCCCCCAAAAAAAGCTAGAAGTGACTCAAGTGGTAGAGCACCCCCAGCTTTGAGAGAAAAAGCCAATGGACAGTTCTTCTGAGTTCAAGCCCCAGTACCCCCAATCCCCCCCCTCAACCCCCCGTAATCTGACAAATTCAGAGGAGGATTTCAGATCTGAAAAGGACTTGAGCGAACACTTCATCTACCTTCTTCTATTATGCAGTGAGGAAACTGAGACCCAGAAACCTGGATTGGCTAGCTGAGGACTCTAGGTAAGACCACCGCTAAGACCTGAGTTCTTATTCTGTGCCTAGATTGGGGACAAAGGGGTGAGCACATCCTGCTTTTCCAAAGTGCCACAGATGAGGCAGGCGGTTCATTTGGCCACACCTTGGGTCACCTTCCTGCCAGCTTGTGGATTAGAGAGGACCAGGCAGGAAAAGGCAATGCCATGCAGGGGTCCTAGGGACCAAGGCTGGGAGAAGCAGAGGTTAGGAGACTGACTTGTCAATTACCTGGCTCAGACCCTTGGGGCTCTCACAAAACCCCAAATACCATGTGTTATAAATAAATGAGATCATTTGTGCTTGGAGCTAAAGGGAAGGGACTGTCACTTGGGAGATGATTAGGTTGTAGGTTAAAAGAAGAAAACAAGAAGTTCAACAGAATGACAAGAGAAACATAAAAGGGGTCAGAGGGACTCTTTCTAGGGAAGGCAGGCAGATAGATGAACTCTAGCCCTGTGAGTAGCAAAGTCAGGGTCTCAGGAGACTTGAGACCTAGTGAGGTGGCCCGATGCAAGGCAGCTGCTTTTGGCATTCTTTCTCATGTACCTCCTGACTTAAGAGTTCATGATGTATAAAAGCCAGTCTTCCACATGTTAAGAAGCTGGCTTGTGGGATGACAGGAGGGAACTGGGGGTCCCACAAGGACTCATGGGAACTCACACAGGACTTGAGCAGGATTTGAATTAGAAGTTTTTACAGGCTGAGGTGACTACTATTCAAAAACACAGGATCCTGCCTGATCTGTGGATGGAGAATATGAGAAAACTTGCCTCCTGGTTGTGAAGGCACAGCCCCTTGGCAGGGCTGGGAAAGTCTGTGTGGCAGGAAATCACTCCTGCAACTTCCCAGGAGTACAGTGAAGGATCTAGCCAGCCAAACACCGAACTGTCCAAACTATTTATGGGGTAGGCACTAGCCTGGCCTGGCTAGGGACTATGAGATGCCAGAGAGGATGGAGTACTCCAGAACCCCAAGTCCCTGTCAGGAAATCTAGGTCTGCCTGCACTTGGGAAATCCTTAACAGCAGAGAGTGTTCACAAACACTCAACATCCAAAGAGTGAAGCGATTTAAAGATACAACATGTTGTCTCCTCCCTCCCCTCCACCCCCCGCCCCCACCTGCCGACAGGTGGTGGTAAAGGAAAACAGAACAGAACAGGTGAGGTCATATGGTGAAAAGTGAAGACTGACCTCTGTTTCCGGCCTCAGAGACCTGAGGTAACTTTTGAGATCGCCCCGGGTCATCAGTTCCATGATGACCAGCGTTGGCTGGCCTTGGGACACCACGCCCAGCAACCGTACCTGGGAAAAGTAAAAAACGAGAAGGTTGGACATTGCTTTGCAGTGTGGTGCTGGGGTCTGGTGGCTGGGTCCAGGGCTAAGTAGGGGAGTTGGCAACAGGGTAGCTATCTAGAAGGCAGAGGGCGAGACATCAATCCCCACAGGCTGGGCCGTGGGGGGAGGAGGAGGGGGGAGGGGAACACATGAGGGAATCTCTACAGGATTCTGGCTTTCCGAAGACCTTCTCTTACCACGTGGTGACAATTGAACTCCTTCATCACTGAAGCCTCATTGAGAAACTCAATCCTTTCCCGCATGCTGGCTGCCTCGTTCACCGTCTTAATGGCCACTCTGGTTTCAGGCTCATCTTTAACCACACCCTTAGCCACACCTTCATAGACCATCCCAAAGGACCCCTGCCCAAGCTCCCGGTTCATGGTGATCTTCTCCCGGGCTACCTCCCACTCATCAGGAATGTACACTGGAGAAGAAGAAACAGGATTGAAACAGGTCCAGGAATAAACACTGGGGCCCATCCCATGTAGCCTTGGGAAGGGTGGGGAGGGGACACTGCAGGCTGGAGAAGATGAGATGGCATTTCCTAAAACCCACAAAAGAAAAGATCAGGAGGACTGTGATCTGGCTTGTTCCCCACATGCTATGGATTTTGGTAAAACTGTGGGTGGTTAGGTATGGGTTCTCTTAAATCTTGGGAGAATTCTAGGATAATTCCCGGAACACAAAGACAGGTTATCAAAGATACAGCCCGGGCCAAAGGTCTCTCAAAATCATGCAAATTGCTTCCCCAAAGAGCACCCTCCATGACCTTGGCAGTGACCTTGGCTGGCACCCTTACCATCTGCTGCACTGAAGTACTCTGGGTTCACAGAGGCATAGAGCACTCCGTTGCCCAGCCTACTGTTATTCCTGTTTAAAAAAAAGAAAAAGAAAAAGAAGAATTTCAAATTAAAAGACTTCATCTCTATATATTTCTAGAAATACTTTCATATTCTCTGTCTCTGTCGCCCCCCCCCTCTTTGGACTGGTCTTGGGACTTGAACTCAAGGCCTTGCACACTCATTTGGCTTTTTAGCTCAAAGCTGGTGCTCTACCAACTGAGCCACAGCTTCACTTCTAGTTGTTTTTTTTTGGGGGGGGGTTAAGTGGAGATAAGAATCTCACAAACTTTCTTGCCTAGGCTGGCTTTCAACTAAGATCCTCATTCAGATCTCAGCCTCCTGGGTAGCTGGGATTACAGGAGTGAGCCACTGGCACCTGGCTTAATTCTTACATTTTTGCTATATCCATTTTATATGTTCTGCCTCATAAACTATCCTGAGGGACAGTACAGAGGGTAGACTGGTAGTGGGTTTTCCCATTCACCCTCTCAACTTGGTTCCTACTGGGCCAGCAGACATTTGAAGATAATGTTCACTGAGCTCAGGAGAGCACAGAACCATTTGTTTCTTGGCTTCATTGGAAATTACAAGGCTTACTTGATGAGGAGGACTTAGCTAGCACACTTGGAAAAGTTCTCTATAAGCCAGAAGTCTCGGTATGTGCCCGAACTACCAGTGAGGTGAAGATGGGCACTCAGTGTGTGTGTGGGGTGGGGTGGGGTGGAGAAGACATCCCACCACAGAACAGTCTGATGGTTCTGTTTTCCCGTGAAGGACACTGGACTGGAAATCAGGTTTTCCAATCTGTACATGGTCTCCAAAAGATAACCTTTGCTCAAGTTCAAATTATAAAACCACCTGGCCACCAAAGTTACCTGCACCTGGCTGAGACCCTCACCTCTTTCTGTGGAAGACGTACAGCATGATCACCAGACCCCCCACGATCAGGACGATGGCCACGGGCAGAGCGATGATCAGGTGCATGAAATTTTCATAGGTGGCTGCAGGAGGAAGGGGAAACCGATACAATGTCACTAGGAGAACCATCTGCTATGTGCTACACTTAACAATGTGTGTGTGCGTGCGTGCGTGCGTGCGTGCGTGCGTGTGTGTGTGTGTGTGTGTGTGTACTAGGGCTTGTACTCAGGGATTCATGCTCTCTCCTGTTTTTTGTGTGTTTTTCTTTTTTTGTTTTTGTTCAAGGCTAGTACTTGACCACTGAGCTAAGCTCCACTTCCAACTCCTCTTTGGTTAGAACTATGCAAACAACAACAACAACAACAAAAATCCCTGAAAATTCCTTTACTAAGTAAATGGTATCAGAAACACACTAAACCAACAGTTATATGAGGGAAGGGGAGTGAAGAAGGTTAAGTAAGTACAGACTGAATAGGAACTCATTTTTTAAAGTGCAGGCTATTCTGATAACTCAAATGATAGACTGAAGGAAAATAATCTTTGAATGCCACTAAATGGCTCAGTGGAAATGCATACATTTGCTGAAATAAAAAGGACAGAGAGACTCAGCTCTAGAGTGTTCACACCACATTGACCTTTATCTGTCTCAAGATAGTTCCACAATGTACACACACACAGACCCAAGCGTGTGCATGCATGCACACGCCATCCCTTGCCAACTCTGCTCTGAATTTTCCACAAACATTTGAAATCACAGAACTTGTCACAGCCCTTGTTCCCACATGTATACAACAGATGAAAGACCAGGATGGACACTGGGGATTCAGGTCCTCACCCCTGAAGGTTCTGCTAGATGCAGGAATCGGCATGTCAACAGGTAGAAGAAAGTGAACCACCAAAGGATGCAGAGAGAGGAGGAGGGAAGACACAAGAGACAAGGGGTGCTAAGGGAAGTTCCTTCAGCCCAAGTCTTGGAAAAAAAGAAAGATGGACTTTTCCTGGGGTACATGGATTTTTTTCCCCCCAAGCAGAGGGATGGTTTGGAGATAACAATGGGGCATGGACAGGGAGAGTCAAACTAAGTGTACAAACTAAGTGAGTTCAATACCATTCTGTAGATTAAAAGGAGTCAGTGTTTTTAAAATCAGCAGTGAACTGATCATCATACTCATACCCTGGACAGAGAGGGGCTCTTGGCCACTGCCAAGTCTTGGAGAGTTGGGGAGAACATGTCACATCGCCTGGGCATGTCTCATGAAATCTCTGTTCCTTTTCCTTTGTTCCTGTAGATGGGGTTTAACTATGTAGTCCAAGCTGGCCTTGAAGTCACTGTGTACTCCAGGCTGGCTTCAATCTCACAATCCTCCTGCCTTAAAATCCTGGTGCCAGGATGGCTCGGTAGACATGCCCTACCAAACCCAGAGCACTGCTTATTTTCCACAAACAAGCAAGCCCACAGAGATGACTTGACTTTTTCACAATCACATAGGCAGCTGACAAGTCATGGGCCCTATATGGAAGTCCCACCTTACTGAAGTCACAGCTTATAATAATCCCATGACACAAAGTAACCCAGTGGCTCTGAGCTACAGTGCTGGTGGTAGCAATGGAGAGGCTGCAGAGAAGGAAGGGGGAGGGACATGATGAGATTGCTTATTTGGGTGGCTAATGGGTAATACCACCATAGAACAAGTTAAAGAATGGAGGAGGGCAGGGGAGTTCTAAGGTAGTATTTGATTTTTGAAGTACCTGTTGGATACACATCTGGAAATATCTACTTGGAAATACTTGGACTAAGGTACAAGGATTATAAGTCACTTACCAATATTTTTTTTTCACTACAAACTAGTATTATTCTTAACTTTTTCAATACTATTGAAGTTTCATTTAAGATTAATGTTTTAATCAAGTAGATTTCAAGTGGAATAGTTTTATGAGTCTTGTAATTCCTGAAAATCCTCACCTCAGATATCAATGCCAATTTGAAAAAGGTGGAGGTTTTTCCATTTTTTCTCCCCATCCGTCCCTCAAGAACTGTTTCTTATGCTTGTACCACTTACTCTACTTGGTCAGACTGTACCGTGTTCTCATTGAGTTTCACATTTCAACAAGGACATGGAGAAACTGGAACACATCCAGAAGAGCAAAGTGACTAAATGGCTAGAAAATTGGTTGGAGCGACTGGGCTCTAAGAAAAGACCAAAAGACCTGAGAAAATTCAATCTGTAGATGAGAAGTCTGAAGGATAATTTAATAGACTTGAAGCATACAAAGAGTTCCTAAAAAGACAGCAGGTTCCAGAAAGCTCTCAAACCCTCTGTCTCCTCAGAGATGTAAACATGAGGAAATGTACCTAAACTGTCACAGGAAAGCCTTGCCCCACACCAGGAAGCAAAGCCAGCACACGCTTTGCATCTCCCTGCTGTACAGCCAGCTTCCACGGCAGAACTCCAGGGGCTCACGGTCACAAGGCATCAGAAAAGGCTGTCAGGGAACAGGTCCTCTCTCAGGAAGAGACAAGCTCACTAATGGCCAGAAAACAAGGCTGCAGACCACAGACCAGCGCCAGACCTCCACATCTAGGCTCAGTTCCTAAGGGACCGATGTGGAGGTAGAGGGTGAAAAGGGTGAAAGAGAAAAGCACTACTCTGGAGAGGGTGCTAGATAGGTCTTCCCAAAGCTCTATGTGTCAAAGGCTTGGTGGCCAGCCTGTGGTGTGGTGGTTTGGGAGGTGGGGCTTAGTGGGAGGGAGTTAGGCCATTGGCCAGGAGGTGAAAGTGAGGGTCCTGACAGGGGACTTGGTGGGAGTCTGATCATGAATTGAACCGCTAGAGTCCCTGAGCAAAAACTTCCTTGTATGTTAATTATCTCTGGTATTTTATCACAGTAATAGAAAGCTGATGAATACAATGGTTAGCTAACCAGTAAGACTAGTTAAGGGGACTACTCGGGAGAACTTGGGTTATTTCAAGGAACAAAATTACCTGCCTAAGCAGCTGCTTATCCCTAAAACCTGAATCCAGGCATAGGCCGGTGAGCACCAGGTACATGAAATGCTGACTTCCATTTTGCAATGCTATCCAAGCCATCCTTCTGCTATCCGTCTCTAGGAGGATTTTCAGCTCTCAAGCATCTCTTTGAGCACCTGGTGCTAACTAGGTAGACTAGAAGAACATTTTTTTTTCTTTAAACTCTTACTTATTCTGATACATGAAAATTTTATACACAGCATCCATTAATCACATATGGCATGTTTTGAAAATATATGTTGAATAACATAAGCACTACTTCATATTCTTATGTGGGGAGAGGAAACACCAAGCACTGTTCTCAATATTCAAGACTCTGTTGATATGAATGGCAGCCTGTCACACAATTGAACTAACTTTAAGTTTTGTGTCCTTGACTAGCATCTCCTCAAATCCCCTCTTCTAATCACCCCAACTTTTTTTGACCATCCATATTTCAAAAATAGTATACAGTTCTGTTTGCAATGTTACAAAATTTGGTTTGGAATCTGATGATGTCCCACAGAATGTCTTCCAAGAACCCTGTCCTAGGGTCTGAACAAAGCTTGTAGCACTCCCCATTAGACTCGGTGCAGAACCATGAGCACAATGTAGATTCAACGCAAACTAGTGCTTTCTGTGATTCTATATTTTACCAACTGGCAGGCAAGCTTGGGGGAGTGGGGAGACCAAATGACAGCCCTGGTTCCAGTCACCTCTTAGGATCCAGGCCCTTTAAATGTGTGCCTAGTGAAAGGCAGGGGGTGGAATGGTCCATGGAATGCTTGGTAAATGCTTGGGAAAAATGCTTGGGAAAGTCGGAGTCAAAGCAAAAGTTATCGTCTGGCTCTCCAGTGCTTAGTCCATGCCCCAAAGAAGGGCTCTTCAACTCTGTCACGTGAGGTAAGACCCAATGGCTCAGTGTGTCCCAAGTGTGTTATAAGGCCCTGTTCCTAGCACACAGTTTTTTGAGTCCCTGCCCAGCCAGCGTTGAGTTTTACCATACCACTCCCTTCACAGGCCTTACTTTTGGCTGGGACATAGAAGAACACAGGATCTGTCCACGACCCATTTCCAGAGAGAGAGGTAGCCTGAATTCGGGCGGTGTAGTTCCCTGGGTTTAGCCGGTTAAGCCTGGCCCCTCCGTACTTCCTGTATTCCTGTCTGGACACACATTCCCGCTGGTCCTGGGGAAGTAAGACATTGGTGTCATGTTCCTACGGTCATGGAGCGATCTGGCACCTGCCAGTTCAGCTTGCCACACTGTTCAACATCTGACTACCCACTGAACAAAGATCTTCATTATCAATAATATGAGAGAAGCCAAGACATAAAAAAGGTAGCCCTCACTAGGCACTGGCGGCTCATGCGTGTAATCCTAGCTATTTAGGAGGTTGAGATCTGAGAGATAGTGCCTAAGCCCTGAGTTCAAGCCCCACAACCACAAGAAGAAAATAAAAGGCAGCCCTCATGGGAAGCTAAATCACACTCAGAAATTGTAACCAAACATTGTTTGGAACTAAAAAAGAACTCAGGAAAATCGAAAGTTATTAAGACTGCCAGGCCCTAGTGGCTCATGCCTGTAATCCTACGTAGGAGGCTGAGATCTGAGGATCTGAGTTCAAAGCCAGCCTGGAAAGTCCCTGAGACTCTCCTATCTCCAATTAACCAGCAAAAAGCCAGAAGTGGAGCTGTGGCTGAAATGGTAGAGTGCCATTCTTGAGGGGGGGAAAAAAAGTAGAGCACACCTAGAAATTATAACCAAACTTTGTAACTAAAAAGAACTCCAGAAGAATTAGAAGTTTTTTTTAAGACTGATCTAGACTATGGCATACAGTCATTCTCTACAATAAAAACTGTAGGAATGTAGCCTGGCTACTTGTAGGTCTTGGGCCGTTGGAAAGACAAAAATCCTCACAGACTGAGCTAACAAACAGGTAACAGGTAACTTGTGGTATACCCAACACATGCTATCAACTGACACAGGTACAGCCCCAGCCCCTCTTACCTCCACCTGGGAACCGTATTTGATCTCATACATCAGAATGAGTCCATTTGGGTTCTCAGGTTCTGGCCACTTTAAAAAGATGGAGTTCTCTGGCCTTGGTTCCCAGGTGACCGGTCCAGGAATGTCATCTGCTCCTTCTGCATGGAAGTGTAAAGAAGTGATAACGTTGGGTTCGGGTCCTCAGGCAGGGAGACCACACCTGAGCTAAATGGAATATAACCCTCCCAGTCGTCATACACAGGACTGTGTGCTGTCACCAAGTGGCCTCTCCTCCAGAAAGGACCACTCACACACCGGTGACCCGAACCCCTCTCATGCTATTTTCCCTTCTAAGACTGTGATCTGTACAAGAGGAAATCCCTGGCCATCTAGTAACTTTTTTTCTTTGATTCTGCTTCTAAGACTTGAAGAAAGCATCTGTCAGGGGATGGGTGGCAGTGGCTCACACCTATAATCCCAGCTAGCTAGGAGGTTTGTATTTTGAGGCCAACCTGGTCAAAATCACATTATCTGAAAACTATAATAAAGTAGGGGAGGGCCTGAGGGCAGGGCTCTAGCAGTAGAGCAGCTGCCTAGCAAATGTGAAGACCTAAAACCCCATGGCCACATATACTATCCTGCCCCCTACCCCCACCCCACCCCCCCAAAAAAAATAGGAAAGAAAGATTCCATCTAACACAGCAACAGCACCACTGAAAGCACTGAACTGAAGCGGCCGTGGAGCCTATAGGATCCATTACAGGGTTCACTCAGGTTCACATCATACATGGCAGCCATAGCTTCCCAGTGGGCTAGCCACCAAGCCAACCTGGGGGAAGCAGAAAGCAAGGGAGCCACCTCTGCCATTGTCACCTCCTTCAGCTACTGCTGACCTTACAAGGTGGTGAGCCAAAGTCACAGACAGTTACAGCTGAGAAGGGCATCTCTTCTCCTAGGTGGGCTGGGAAAAATGACCCTCACAGAAGGTGAGAGGGTTACCCTAAGAGATGTAGTAGTGTGTGAGTGTCAGAACCACACTCAGGAGGGCTCTCTGCCCATACTCTTCTCACCTCCACACTTTCTCCTGACGCCTCTTGTGAGAATGAAGACTGGGTAGTTCAGTTCTCTTTTAAGGAGGCGGAGTGGCTGCCTGAGCCCCAGACAGTGTCCAATTTACAGTGGACAAACAAGATAAAATAAACAGGGCTACAGGCTACTCCAGGAGCTGACCTTAAGGCATGACGGTCTTGGATCAAGTCAGCTGCTAACTGATTGTTGCCCAAAAGTCCATGTGTTGAAGACTTGGTCTCCAGCCTGTGATACTTTTAGGCAATTTAGAACCTTTAGGAGGTGGGGTCCAGTGAAAGGAACATAATGGGGGACATTAGGATCCTCTGGTTTTTCCTTCATGGCTGCCATGAGGTGTCAGAGTTTCCTCTACCATGTTGTGCTGTCGCCTAGCCACAGTCCCCAAAGCCAACAAGGAACCAAGCAACCATGGATTAAAACTTCTGAAACTGTGAACCAAAAGAATCCTTTCTGGTTTGTGAGTTGATTATCTCAGATATTCTGTCACAGTGATGGAAAGCTAACTCATACAGTAGCTAAGTGAGGATGGCCCTGAATCTGGATAAATGCGGGAGGGAACGGACTCATCAATCACAACAGAAATGGGCAAAGGGTTTATAGGTACAAATGGGCTGTGCAAAATCAACCAAATACATAACCCAAGTTGAGAGGAAGGAACCCTAGGGAGAGATAGAGAGTGTGTTCAATAAGGAGAATAAGGAGGGAAGGAAACCAATGTAAATATAAGTGTTCCTTTCCCCAGGCAACTGGTCGACCCATGCTGACTATAAGTGATCACAGGTTCATCAGCAGAACTGGGTCTAAGGGTTGTTAAGTTGGGGCTATGACTACTGGATCACTCCATACCTGCAGGCATGGTTCTTGCAAAGACAAAGTTGGAGGCGCTGCAACCTAACTTCTCAGCCTCGTGGTTACAGCTGTGAATATCGATGCGGTACAAAGTGAAAGGCTGGAGGTTCGAAATGACAGTTCTCTCTTTGTTATCCACTCTGCTCTCAAAGAAAGGGTATTCTGTCTCCACCTCTTCTGGGTCTGTGATATTGTAGACGTCCACCACTGTGGCATTCCTGCTCCGGCTGGACATGGTGGTGTTGGCCACCTGCATGATGTCTCTCCGCTTCCTTTCAGGTCTGCAAAGGAAGAGAGAAGCTTGGCTCATAATACGGTTTCCTCTGAATCTTTTTGTCTTTAACTTAGGGTAACAGAAATAGAAAAGAAAATTCTCGACCTTGGAATAAGAGGAACTATTCAGGGCTCCTTGGAGGAGAACCAGCAAGGAACAAGGGGATTTCCTTCTTCATTATTTACCTGTCTTTCTTTACACCCAGAGAATCAGCACACATCCTCTCTCCTTGGCTCCCCGAGTGATTTCTCAATGATACCAGGAGGCAAAGAATGCCTCGGATACTGTTAGCTGGGCTGTGTACTGTTTCATTAGCATGCTGCGCCACATGGCCACAGACATTATGGTTGAGCATTAAAAAGATAATCCAACTAGCTGTACTAAGATTCATTAGAGGCCAAGGGAGAGTTTGTTAGGGAAGACATCAGACAAAAAGGTTTCATTCAAAGGCCTGTTACAGTGGCTCCCTTGATCCTCTTTGAAATTAAGTAAAGAAGTCCTAGCACGAGCAGCAAAGCAAATGCCTGAACCCCAAGGTCTTTCTGTTATTCCAACATGTCCCTGGTGTGCACTTCAGTCAGGATCTTGAGCTCCACCACTTGAGCCAGGCCCTCAGCCCTTTTTTGTTTTCTGTTCACTCTTTCTGATGGTACCTTGTGCTTTTGCCCTTGTTGGCCTTGGACTGCTCTCCTCCCATCTCTGTCTTCTACGCAGCAAGGGATTGGAGGTAGGCATCACTAGTCCTAGCCCATCCTGTAGGTCTTCTGAGCCTAGCTTTGTCTCCTACTCAGCAACAGGTGCCTGTGGCTTCCCCCAGGTCCCACCAATGAGAGGGGTAAAGTCCTTGTCCTTGAACTTAAGGAGGACCGAGAAACAGCAGTCACAACAGAGAAACAGAAGGGAACATATGCAGTCCCCATGGAAGGGTACTGCCATCCACCAGGGCAGATGAAGACATCATCTTCCAATTGCTGACTTACTGTCGAATACAGAAAATAGGCTTTGGAGCTCTTCCAGAAACATCTGAAACAGGATCTTAGCATTACAGGAATGAAAGAAATAAAACAGAACATGGAAGAGGTGCCTAGACAGGGGAATGGCAACTTTGGGGCCAGCCATGGATGGATGGAGGGAAAATAGGCTGCTGGCAGGTGTGCTTCATGTTGTAAATGGGCAAAGAGAGGTGGGTAGAGAGAGAGAAGGGGATAAACTTTCTCTCTAGCAATCTAAGAAAATGAAGAAGCCTAGCCAGGAGAAGGTTCATGAGTCTCCAGTATTAGAGGAGAAACACAGTATGGAGCCAAAGGCACCTAAGGAGGAGTACCCCGGAAACCATGTAGAGGCTGAGGTACTTTGCCAAAATCTAAAAAAGGAAGTTGGGACAGGGCTAGTGATTCCTCAGTCTGCTGGATCCCTGGAATCACCTGCAAAAGTATGGCCCTTCACTGGATGGGGCTCTACTCACCTCCAGTAAAGGCTGAAACTGGCCAACACAGCTGGGTACTACGGCTCACACTGTCATCCAAGCTACTCAGGAGGCTAAGATTAGGAGGATCAAGGTTCCAAGGCAGACCATACAAGAAGTCTGCAAGACCCCGGGCCAACCAATAAAATCTGGACATGACATGCACCCCTGTTATCCCACCTTCAGGACTTTTGCCCAGGGGAAACACATGGGGAAAAAGCAAGAACCTATCTCAAACATAATCAGGGCCAAATGGTAGAGAACCTGCCCATCAAATGCAAGGCCTTGAGTTCAAATCTTAGTAATGGCAAGACCAAACAAAAGCCACCTGACACAGATAGGTTTGTCCCAAGTGAGGAAACAACAAGGTCAGGGGCAAATGCATCTGTTTTCACAATGCTGGGGAAGAAAGGGTTGGGAAATGAGACCTCTCATCTGCCATCCTCACACCCTGCAAACTGACCAGTTAGGAAGGAGGAAAAAACAACAAAACCACATCTGTTGCTAGGGATATCCTTTCAACACATTACCAATAAGTTTCCTGCCTTTCTTTCAAGAGCAACGGAACACAAACTCGCGCCTACAAATCAGAAGTTGCCTGGGCTTGGTCTGCTGCAAAGTAATAAGCCTGCGTGTCCACCACTCATTCACTACGACACACCCTCATGCTGTCTACTTGACTGTCAGTACTCATTGTGGAGACTGCTCAGCAGTCAGAGCTGACACCAAGTTGGAGATTATGAGAAGGCATCCACACTGAAGTTTAATAGGAAAGCAGGGGTGGTGTAAGCAGAGTGGTCTGTATGTAACTCTGTGCCAATGGCTATGTTCCAAATGGTAGGACTAACCCTTACTGCCAACTTTCCTCATTCTCCTCTGACACAACCCACTTGCATTGGAAAACCTGCTACTTCTCAACACCTGTCAACATCTTAGTTAAACCAAACTACTTGATTTGGCAAACAATGGTGGTTGCCGCTGAAAGGTATTTACTACCAAGCATCCATCACAAAGAACAACTCTAGCATCCATTCTGCTTCCAATATGCCCGACATGTTGGACAAATGGAGGAAACTACATCTGACTTATTTGAATTCAGCCCCCCAAATAATTTGTTCTTTGAAAGGATTGAAATCAATATAGGATTTGGTAATTTAGTTGTAAAACAACCACAAAAAACCATGAAACAACTATAACAACACACACACACACACACACAAGGCAAAATGAAAAAAAAAAAGCAACCAGACTTGATGATTCATTCCTTCTGTCATCTGGACAACTCTTTTACGGGAATCTTGTCAAAGCTTGTACAAAGGTCGATTTATGCCTTGGTCGGAGGCAAACAAACAAACATTAAGTTCTCATAAATAGTGATGACTCACACGGACGAAACCTGGTATCTCTTTTCATGCATGTGAAATCTGCTTTATGGGGGAGGGGGGGCTCAGGCTGAGAGGATGGATGGGTACATGCATTCACCACATTGGGTACGGTAAAGAGAAAACACATTTGAACAACAGGAACACTGTGCATTAGCAACATCTGGTCCACACACATCTGTGTTGCCACTGTCACTGGGACTCCATGTCCACTGACAAAGGTACCATCCACTAGCAGTTCCTGTGTGCGATCCACAGGGCAAGAGGAAGCAGTGGTGGAACCTTTAAGATATGGGGGACTTGGAGGAACACTGAGGATACCACTCTCAGAAAAGATTAACACTGGCCTTGAGGAGAGTCAGTGGCTCTCAGGAGAAATTGTTGCTATAAAAGAAGGTCACAACTACCCATCTCTTGCTTCCTACCTGCTCTGAATGCTCTCCCTCTCATGAGGGCTGTGCGTAGGATCTCGTGAACAGAGGTGATGCTCCTAAACCTCCACAAGTGTGAGCTTGACATACTGCCCAGCTTCTGGTATTTTGTTACAACAGAAAACTGATGACTAGTGCCTTCTAAATCTTTCACCCAGTAATCTGGACCTCTGATAGGCTAGGTCATGAACCAATCACCAGTCACCTTGGATGGAGAACTAACAGACAACTTCAGAGGGCCATTCTACACTCATCTGTTCCCATAGCAATGGGAACTGTTTTGTTGCTGAGCCTCTGCTGGCCTGGATGGAATGGACTACAGGAAGATTACAACCAAGAGAAAGAACTTCAGTGTGTGGGAATGTGGGATTGAGACCCACAGAGAGGTTATCAGTCCCACTGAGTTATGGCCGTCAAATACCTTTGAGCTCTTTCAGACTGTAGGAAAAACACGTGATCTGTAGGTAGCATGGAAAAGAAAACAGTGGTGCACAGTAACCTACAGCTAACACCTGAACAGTAGGCCAACAGGCCCACAGGCCCACAGGAACAGCCCTAGGGAAGCAAGAGGGAGAGCCTGCCACCAACTTAAGTCATCTTTTGTGGCTCCTTCTGCATGGCTGTGTTGTGGCCCACAGTACTTGGTGGAGTTTACCTGCCCAAGGAGCATCACCCGCACATGTTTTGCAAGGACAGACGTACCTGGGCACAAAGATTGAGTTGTGCAGGAAATTCTCAAAGACTTTGCGGTACTCGGCCTCCTCCTTCTCAGCTTGCTTCTCAGCTTCCGTTTTGGGGCAAGTGCAGCAGGGTCCTTTCTCCCCGCCACACACCTCTGTGTTGGGATTCTCTGTCACCTCCTCCACGTCGATGGTGCCATCGGCATATTTCCTAATGGGGATTTTGTCTTTCGGGAAAAGATAAGCCGAGAGGAGAATGAGGAATGAGAGCTGGGTGTAACACAGCTTGGGAGGAAATGAATAACTGTCTGGTTCCCCTAAAGTCAAGGTGTGGACTGGAGCCAGGTGCTGTAATGCACACCTGTAATCCTAGCTACTCAGGAGGCTGATATCTGAGGGTCATGGTTCGAAGTTAGTGTGAGCAAGAAAAGTCTATAGGAAACTTATTTCCAATTAGCGAGCCAAAAGCTTCAAGTGAAGGTGTGGTTCAAGTGGTAGAGCACCAGCCTTGAGTAAAAAAAACCAAAAAACCAAAAAACAAGAGAAGCTTTAATTTCAAGCCTCAGCATTAGCACAAAAGAAAAGGAAGGGGAGGGAAATAAAGAGTGGGGGACTGATTTCTAGGACAAGGAACTAGACTGTCACTGGACGGGTATGACCCGGAGGTCCGGCCAGGTGTGCCTCCCCTTGGAGGTCGGCACTCCCTTACCTTTGGAGCAGTAGTTGTGCCGGTACAGATAGCCGTCCTGAGGCTGTCGCTGCCACCTCACGATGTAGTAACTCAGGTTGCCATTGGGCAGGGATGGTGGATTCCACTTCACGATCAGCTGAGAGGAGGAGTTCGAAGCCGAGAGGACATCCAGTGGAATGGAAGGAACTGGAAAGGCAAAGGAGGCCCATTTCAGAAGCTGGAAGGAGCCTAAGGTTGGGGCAAACCAACAGGAAGCTGCGAGTCTGGCTGGGATCCACAGACAGACAGCAGTAAGCCCTGGCAGGCAAGGTGAAATCTGAGCCTTCTGTGTCCCCAGAGTATTCCTTTAAGCACCAGTAGGTCTTCATTCCCAGCATCTCTGCTCAGGTTATCCTCTGCAAGCAAACAGTCCGACTCTAAGTGGAAGAGGTTTGTGGGGGAAGGGCATGGCTACAGTTATAACAGGTGACTTCAAGTCTACAGTTCAATCAAACCGTGGATTTTTTTTTCTCATTTACTACATGTGCCAGGCTCCCAAAATATTAAACAACCGCAGCAGGCTTAAGTGATGGTGAATCTGACTGATTTGAACCGCATCTCAAGATTTTTTTTTTCAGTCTGATCAAAATGGCAAGAAGACAACTGAAAAGCAGAAGGAGTAAGAGGGCTGGAGAGCTCGTGTGCATGTGTGTGTGTTGAGTGTGCCAACATGCAGGTGTTCATGGAAATTCACCCATTCTGTAATCTACCCTCAGTGAATGACTGAGATATGGCTGAGAGGCAGCCTTAAAAGCACAAACACATGGGAATACACATTTTAGCAAATGATTTGTCTACCAGCAAAAAAAAAAAAAAAAGAATACTGCTATAAAGGCAAAGCACAATAATCCAACCAAACTGCTGAGTAATAACACCCAAATTCAACCCAGAAAAAGAGCGAAGCACATTTGAAGCCCATATTGAGTTCATCAAAAAAAAAAAAAAAAAAGTAGAAGAGGGGCTGGGAAGGTGGCTCAGTGGTAGAGCGCTTGCCTTGCATGCATGAGGCCCTGGGTTCGATTCCTCAGCACCACATAGCAAAAAGAAAAAAAGCCAGAAGTGGCGCTGTGGCTCAAGTGGTAGAGTGCTAGCCTTGAGCTGAAGAGCTGAGGGACAGCTCCCAGGCCTAGAGTTCAGGCCCCACTACCGGACCCCCCAAAAATAAAACAACAGGCCGGACTAAGTTGCTTTGAAGCGTATAGAGGGCCAGTCAGTATCAGGAGCTACAATATGCACAAGGCTCTGAACACTTCTGAAGGACGATGCTTTGTGGAAAAGGGTTTTTTTGTTGTTGTTGTTTTCTTCACCAGTTGCCGATCCAGAGAAGACAGAATGACTGGATGTTCAACCATTTTAGGGTTTCCAAAAATAAGTATTTCAAAATGAAACAGCTTATCCCTAGATATTGCAATGAAAAGTGTCACCAAAAAGAAAACAACAAAAAGCAGAGGTGGGGGCCCAGTTCTTCTGTGTCTCTAGTGTTAGAAAGGACAGTGGTGGGGCTGGGAAGGTGGCTCAGTGGGGCCCTGGGTTCGATTCCTCAGCACCACATAAGCAAAAAGAAAAAAGCCGGAAGTAGTGCTGTGGCTCAAGTGGTAGAGCGCTAGCCTTGAGCTGAAGAGCTGAGGTACAGCACCCAGGCCCAGAGTTCAGGCCCCATGACCAACCGCCCCCTCCCGCCAAAAAAAGGATAGCAGCCAAAACTGACTCCAGTCCCTGGCTTCATCTTTGGGAAAAAGGAAACAGATTTCTATTTTTCCTCAGATTTGCTGCAATGATTTACCTTTCCAAAGTTAAGATAAAGAAAACTGATTTCTGTAACTTCTGTCACATCTGACCAACCCCTGAGTGTATGACAAACTTATTTCTATAAACACTTCAGGGTTGATGACCTGATAGTGGCCTCTCACCGAGTCACAGAAATGGGCAGAGGAAGGGGAGGGGGAGCGGGGAGAAGCAGACTCCTCACTATTCCGCCCACCCCCCTCTGCCATTCAAACTCACTTGGTGCTAGCATATGAGTATTTAAAGACACTTTTCTCATCGAATATTTAGTCTCAGAGAATATTTATGAGGGCTATAGACTATGCCCATTCCCTGAAAGATTCCAATGTGGAAATTCTAATCTCCAAGGAGGTTAGTTATAGGACTTGAGACGTTTGGAAGGCTTTTAATCATGAAGGTGGGGCCCTCAGAAGTGGAATTTTTGCCTCTAGGAAAAAACACCAGAGGCTTCCTTGTCTGTTCTGCTAGATAAAGATACAACATACAGATGTAGAAACATACAGATCAAATTCTTCACCCCAGCACTTCGCCCACAACTGACACTTCATGTCTGAGCACCTCCGTCTTAGACTTCCCAAACTCTACAACTACAAGAAATAAACTTTTCGTGCTATTAATCCATCCAGGCTATATAGCATTTTCATTGTAGGAACCTAACTGGCTAAAGTATCGAAGTTGTAAAGATAAGATATGGAAGTATATGCTGCCTAAATAATTTTAATATTCTTTGAAACTATACTTTGCAGGTGCTGTTTCTAGAGATCGTGAAGATAATGTGAAAAGGAGAAGTATTTTTCAGGTACCTCAGCTCTTTTCTACATAATGGAAACCCAAATGACTACAGAATAAATACTGGAAAACCACAGAGTCACAAGAAGCAAATGGCACACAGATCAGCAAAGCTTCAGCTCCTAGTAAAACATCACAATAAATACGAGTGGCCAGAGAAGGCTGGATCTTGCTTGGGCCTTCTAAGGACACCAGCCCAGCACCCTGGGCTTCCAAGCAGGAAGATAGCTGAAGAGGAGGGTACCAGGACACAGGACACAGCACAGAAAAACTTCAGGTGTCAGCAGTTAGTAGTACAGTAGAATACAATACAATACTACTGTTAGGTGTTTAGTTAGTAGTATTGCAGAATAATATACAGTATTACCAATAGGTGTTGTTAGTAGTACTGAAAAATACAATACAGTACTGTTAGGTGTTTAATTATTAGTATTACAGAATGATATTCAGTACTACTGCTAATAGTTCATTTGTTAGTACCGCAGAATACTATAGAGTACCCTGGTCAGGTGTTTAGTTGGTAGTACTGCAGAGTACAATATGGTAGTAGAAACACAATAGGCATATCTGATAGCTTACAACCATACCTGTCTACATCATAACATCAAACCCTGAAAGCTGGGCAGGGAGCGGCTCGTGGGCCATGCTGCCGATACCTGAAGCATTGGTGCGAATGTATAAGATTTCACTCTTGGCCCCACGGATGTGGTCATTCTCTACCATGGTGAGGGTCACGGCCTTGACGTAGACGGCATATTGTGTCCAGGGCTTCAGCCCCTGCAGGAGAATGCCGGGCTCCTTGTCTTTATTGTTAGGGAGGTCCACGTCTACCATGTTCCAGCTGTTGGAGCCACAGGCATCCTGTCCATCATATTCTGTGACGTTTTTAAAGGGTCTGAAAGACAACCAATCAAGTACAGAGAATGTGTTTGGGCTCTCACATCAAAACACACTCTCCCCGCCCCCACTCAAGACCCTTTCCCAAGAGCTGAGCATGCCACATTTTCTCTAGTAGGAATTCCAAAGAAAATAATCACGTTAGATTTATATAGAAGAACAAAATTAGACAACTAGACATGGGGGTTCACTGGTCTACAGAAATGAATACTCCAACTCCACAAACACAAATTCTGCGGTTACTGGGATTCAAAATATGGGTCTTTAAATGGACACGCAGAAAGCCGGGCACCAGTGGCTCACGCCTATAATCCTAGCTACTCAGCTGAGATCTGAGGATCTCAGCCAGCCTGGGCAGAAATAATAGTCCATGAGATGCTTATCTCCAGTTAACCACTAAAAGCCAGAATTGGAGCTATTACTCAAGTGGTAGAGTGTCAGCCTTGAGTGAAAAAGCTGAAGGATAACACCACAGGTTCTGAGTTCAAACCCCAATAAAAAAAAAAAAATTAAAAAAAAAGGAAAGACTGAGACAAAGGAGATCTTCAGCCAATAAGAGTATTTCCTGACTGCCAGGCAAGTAAACAGTGTCTGATGGCAGAAGAAAACCTCCCAGCAGCTTTTGGGAGAAGTCACAAGAGGCTGGAGACATGGAGGCTGGTCTGTCTTATTTCCTCTTTTCTTGTTGGAGAGTTCATGACCCAGAGCAGAGATGGAGGAGACTGCCATGCATATAATGACCAGATAAGACAATGGACCAAATCCAGGGTGAGAGCAAAGACAGCAGTGCATTCTGGGAGTGTTTCTGGAGAAGAGCATGGTGGGTACAAACTCTCAAACAGTATTTTAACCAATCCTCAAGTCTCACCTTTGTGACAGTTGGGTGTGACCTAATTCTCAAAAAAAAAAAAGACTCTCAACCTTTCTTCCTTTAGGATGAATGTACTCAGACATTCCTAGTGAGTCACTAAAGAATGAAACACTTCAAGCTAACGGTTTCTTATCAGTTGGGCTGTTGGTCACATGACAGCTAGGGAGGGCACTGAGGAGGAAGCAGGTTCACTTGGCTCAGTCCATGGAGACCATGCTGACTCCCTGTTTGGCCAACACAGGCGCAGACCAAAGGACTGGTTGCCCACACTCCCAGCCCTGCTGAATGGAGCCACAGGGCAGAGAACTCACGCCTCCTTGTAGTACACGGTGAAGCTGATGAGGTCCCTGTAGTCCGGGGGCCGGTACCGGTGCCACGTGATGATGATGTGGTTCTTCCACGTGGTGGTAGAGGTAAAATGCAGGACGTCACTTTCACCTGGGGCACAGAGGCACACCGTGAGTGTGACAGAGTGTGACGGTGTGTGAGTGACGGTCAGTTGGCTTTCTCCACAGCTGGTTGTCATGCTCACTGCTTGTCTGGACTTGGGAGGGAGCTGTCTTGTTTTCTACTAAGCAGTTTCCTGGAGAAACTGGGTCCATCCTAAGCTTTAGTTCAGGCAGATTAGGGGCCTCTTGCTCAGGAAATGAATTGGGACACAACCCTCTGATTGATTCTTAACCTGTGTTGAGTAGGGCCACGTCATGAAAGAAGTGGCCTAACCTTTCTGCCAATCCCTAAGTTGCTGGCAGCCACAGGGGCCTGGCTAAGCCAATCTACAAGCTGGCCTGAGTCTTCTGTGAGAGGCGTGGGCCTGTGCTGCAGGTGTGAGACCCCGGTGAGTTACAGAAAAGAGCTTTTGTCACTCCAACCTGGGTATGAAGCTGCAAGGGCACAGCACTCCTTGGAGTAAATGGAGCAAAGCCCAGGCAAGCCTTCTGTGCTCTATGGCTGGTGTCCCCTATCCAGTGACCTACGGGAGCTACCCCGTGCCCTTCTTGTTTTCTGTTCCAACTACCATGAGAACCCCAGGAAGACAGAGGATGACAGCCCCCAGGGAGACACAAGGCTCTCCAGTGGAAGTGGGATAATGAAGGCAACAAGATATTCAGAAACCTTTTTGGGCATATAAATGTACTTGAGTAAAATCTGGTAACATGCGGAAGTTACACTTCTGTTGTCATTTAGAGAGAAAACTTGGACAGTGCTTCAAAGGGAAGGACATGGCGGCTGCATTCTTAGCCTCCCAGGTCAGGCTGGCTGACTCTTAAGGGCAAAAGCACTCTGAATATGCTCTCACACACCCGCTCCTGCTGTGGTCTGAATGAGAGCAAGCCAGGAATTAGGCAGTAAGGGCAAAGGCCGTGAATGCTCTCCACCTCTAATTCCTCCTGCGGACACTGCCTACCTTAAGCAATTCAGACTTGTGTCATGTGTCTGTGTAAACCACCCTTGATCATATAGGTTACTCTTCTCCCCCTCACCCCCAAACACTATAAAGTGGAAGTTAGTGGGGCAATTTGTTTTTATAATCCTAACCAGCCAAATTGAGCCATAATACACTGTTGTTTTGAGACAGGATCTTTCTAGGTAGCTATTCCTGGCCTACAACTTGCTGTGTCCCCCAGCCTGGCCTCAGATTCATGATCCTCTGCCTTATGGCTGGGTTTATAGCCAGGTACCAACATACCCCAAAGAACCATAACACGTTTAAAGGCAGCTTTCCATACAGGGTGAGAGGAGAGAGATGGAATAGTTAACATCCAGCATGGAATACTCTCGGAGAACGGCTGTTCTAACAGAGGTTGAACTCCAGGTCTGGATGACTTTAAAACTGTATCACCAGAGCCAGGTGACAAATGTACTGCTCATAATTGAAAACAGCTTATGGACTTGAGGATGTAGGCTTACTCCTCCTTCTTTGCATTGGGGATGCAGAGCAAAGGAGAGATCTGGGGAGCATGTGGCACACGGGGGTTCGCCATGGCAGGGTTTCTTCTACCCAGAAGCCTTTGCTCCATTCTAAGGGAGAGCCAGGCAAGGCTGGCTGGGCTGTTCAGGCTTGTCTTTAACTAATACCTGGGGTATTAACTATGAAAGAGAGATGTGAAATGAAGGTGTTAGTGAAGGAGGGGTCCACTGAAGTGACGAGGGGCTCCCCAGGAAAGCTAGCCCCCCCCCACTGGAAGAGTCTGGGGTTATCCCAGCTGGGAAAGGGTTGGGGTGGGGGGAGCACAGTGTCTTGGAGGCGGTCACTCACAGGAGGCTCTTTCCCCATTGTTCCTAGTGTTTATGTCCCCTTTGCTCTGGCGTCCTTTCGTCCCCGTCACTTCCTCCATGCGGTAAATTTCGGAAACACACAGCTTGGGGTTGAATGCAAAGTACATCTTCCCCGATTTGATGGTGAGGTTGCGGTGGTCCCAGTCCCACAGCTGCTGAAGGTTCTGGTTATCCAAGACGTAGAAGGAGTAGTTCCTGCAGCACAGATAGCCACATTTGTCAGTCAGGGGATACAGATCTTCTACAGGTCCGACAGGCTCTTACCAACAAGAGAACTGCTTAGTGGCACACAGCCGCCATTAACACTGGCAACAGCGAAAGTCAGGGACACATACTGAAATCCAGAGGACACATCCAAGGATGCTCCTCAAATCAGTCGCTAGAAAAGCCTTTGGGTGTTTTTTGTTTTGTTTTTTTGTTTCTCAGGTACATACATGCACTTGAAACAAGTCCCCAGAGAGCAGATATGCTCCACTACCCAACCTGAACAGCTTAAGTATTTGCTGCGGACTTTCCCACTATCGTCTGTGGAAGGAAAACCTCCCTGAGCCCCGTCGGCAGGGCAGGAAGGAATGGGAGCCAGACAAGGGGCGGGCAGCATCTCCCCAAACTGGGGGCCCACAGACAGTCGGGGCACCCCCAGCCTGAGCCTCATTCAGATGAAAGACCAGTTACAGTTTCAATGCTACCCAGCAGCCTTCAACAATTCTTTGAGCATCAGCAAGGGAGTACAGACCAGGAGGGAGCTCAGAGGCAGGTCTCTAAGTGCTTCGAATAGCACCCAGTTGTTTACTCTGTGACATCTGAGCTCTCTATTGCTGTTAAGAGTCTTAATATCCAGAGGAATCACTGAGCCCTGCAAGCCTCAAGTCTCAGTCCTCCCTAGGCACTGGGCCCTCTGCACACAGACCGAGGGCAGAGTGCTATGGATACAGGGCTTAGTGAATCAGCAAACAAGTCCACAGAGCCTAAAGGTAATTTGCAACTCCATTCTCTAGCCTCTGGATACGTTAATGGTCACCAAAGGAGTGGCAGAAACTTGCAAGTCAATAATCCTTTCAGAAAGAGCTCTTTAACATGACTCTCTATGCCCAGATGTCCCATTGGATCCAGCTGCCATACAAGGCTGTGAGTCCTAGGGCAGTCTGGATCTACTGCCCCAGGGAACAGAGCCCACACAAGTCTAAACATAAGTTTACTCTGAGAGCCCTGACTGAAGAGTCCAAAGTTAGTGTTAGCGCCCATCTCAAGCTCCCAGGACAAAATCTTGTTGTGGAGAAATATCCAGGCTGAATGCAAGGACCCACTAATCAGGTCAAGTTTCCATCTTAGTTCAGGACTAGACCTCTTTTAGTAAAATAATTTTACTAGGAGGAAATAGAAATACCTTCTGAACAAAATATCCTCCCCCTAAGAAGGAAGAATGAATTACAAATTAGGAATCTGACAAATGAAAGGCAGGCACAAGGAACTATGTATATATAATTAAATATATATATTATTATTAAATATATATGTTATATATTTCCATGTGCATGTATATTTATTACATATATGATTAATCACTTTGAAAAGCATATTTATCTTTTTAAAGTAAACACAAACTTAAAAAAAATACAACAATGAGAAGCCTGGGAGCTAGTTGTTACAGAGCCTGTGGAAGGTAAAGGAAAAGAATAAAATCCTTATTAAAATAGTAATCAAGCAGTCTGAGGAATTATCAGTCAATGCGGCTCTCGTTTTGCTAGCCCCTAGCTTGAAGTTCTGTTTCCCTGCCTAAATTCCTTCCAGGATGAGGTGAGAAGTATAAAACAAAACAAAACAAAACAAAAAAAACCCAAAAAACACTAGCAAGCCAAGATCTGTCTGTACATCTTCAAAACACAAATAGACTTAAATTTTTATTGTTTCCTAAAGGAAATGACTAGTTAAGACAATGACTCAGTAAATGTAATTTTCTAAACTGTTTCTAAGTTCATTGCCTCTGCATTCACAGCATACTTCTTTAAAAATTATTATTTGGTGTTGTTTTTTCTTTTGCTTACATTTCCACAGGCTCTGTGATGCTTGGGTTTGGTTGATATTGGTATACTGGCTGTCAGCCTTCTCAGTAGTCAAAATCTATCTATCTATGTATCTATGTACTATCTATGTATCTATCTATGTATCTATGTACCTATCTATCTATCTGCCTACTACCTACCTACCTACCTACCTATATGCTTTGGTTATTACATAGGTTCCATCTGTGGATCAGCTGGGGTGACTGGGGACACCCTAAAGGGCATCAGCATGTCATTTGTGATTTGGGGTGACCATTTTGGGTCTGATCTCACTTTTAATTAACAGTGCCAGCAGCAGAAAGTGTGGGAAGGCCAAGGGTGCCATAATTTCTAGATCTCTGAGTCGTTACTTGGAAGATAGCCCCAGGAATCAGGTTTGGAGCATTCCACTTGGCAATCCCCAAAGATTAGATCTATCTGAGTCTTATCTCCACCTTGCATGAAGTAAAAAAACTCCAGGCAGTTTTTTTTTTGTTGTTGTTTTGTTTTGGTTTCTCCCACCTGGAGTTTTCTTCAGCTGCAAATAGGAGGTTTCTTCTCTGCTCTCTGCTGGCCAGGTGGAAGAATCGGATGAGCTAACTATGAAAGCACACTGAGAGCTTTGAATCACCTCACAAAGGTGTGAGATGACCTGCTCTGCTCTGTGAAGTGTCAACGAGCCACAGAACAAAGTCACCGAGGACAGGCGAGTCCTGTGCGGTGACACCGAGGGGCTGAGCCCGTCCTGTGGGAATACGAAGGGACATTCCTCCTCTCTGCCCCTGCAAACTCTGGCTGACATACTGGGATAAAAAAAAAAAAAAAACAACCTGCAAATATATAACCCATAATTCTGTTTATTTCTTGGAGAAAACTGCTGGCAGCTGTCTCTAGAGGGCATCAGAACCCAGCACACAGAGGCTGCCGTGGGCACTGACAGAGGCGGTGGCCTCACCACACCCCTGGAACTCATCTGCAGATGGCTGGTTTGCACCATCCTAAGTCCAAGATTACACCATTGGTGACAGTTCAGCAAAGGAGGAACTGTATGTTCAGATGCAGTAGCACCAGATGCTCAGAAAATGTTTCTTCTTTGATGAGTATTTTTTTTCTTTTTGTTTTTTAAATATCTTTACTACTTGGGTGCTGGTGGTTCATGCCTGGGATTCTAGTTACTGAGGGGGCTGAGATTTGAGGATCATAGTTTAAAGCCAGCCTGGGCAGGAAAATTGTGTGAGATTCTTATCTTTAATTAACCAGAAAAAAAAAAGGCAGAAGAGGTGTGGCTAATGTGGTAGAATGCTGTCAACTTTGAGCAAAAACAAAAAACTAAAGGACAGCACTAAGACTCTTGGAGTTCAAGCCCCAGTATTGATACACACTCAAAAACATAAACTTTACCAAAGTATAATTGGCCACCAAAATTTTTACTCTTGGTAAATATACCAGCTCGCGAGCCTCGGTGGATCTCTATGGCCATCCATCACCACCACTACCAGCTCACCCGCACCTCAAAGGTCCCTCATTCCTGCTAGTGCTCAATCTCTACTTCTAACCTCTAGCCACCACCATCCACTGTTCCCACAGTTGGCTATTCTCTTGTCTTTTCTAGAAGCTATATATCAAGAGAATCACAGGAACCAGTCTTTTTGGGTCCTTTTGTTTTCACTAAGCCTAATGACTCGGATGTTCCCACATGCTACTACATGTTTTATATACGCCATTCCTTTTTATTCTTGAGTAATATTCCACTGTACCATATTTTGCTTACCCATCCATCTGCTGATGAATATTGAGTTTCTAATGGGCTGAGATTTTTGTAGGGGGGGGTGCTATTACAAATAATACAGCTACAGGGGCTGGAAAGGTGGCTCAGCGGTAGAGCGCTTGCTTTGCAATGCATGAGGCCCTGGGTTCGATTCCTCAGCACCACATAGGCAAAAAGAAAAAAAGCCGGAAGTGGCGCTGTGGCTCAAGTGGTAGAGCGCTAGCCTTGAGCCGAAGAGCTGAGGGACAGCACCCAGGCTCAGAGTTCAGGCCCCACGACCCAACCCCCCCCCAAAAAAACCAAAACAAAACAAATAATATAGTTACAAATATTTACCTACTAGTCTTGCATGGGCATGTTTCCATTTCTTTCTGAGTAAATTCTGGAATTGCCGGGCCATATGGATATATATATACATGTACACATATTTTTAACATGCAGCTATATTTCAGCTTATTCTTAGAGCTGCAAGAGGGTAGCATGAGGCACTGAGTGTTGTAAAGTGATTAGGGACACAGTATGGAGGCATTTAAGTGCATCTAACCTACACTTTTCTGTATTTTTATTTAAAAACTAAACTATCCTTGGTAGCACCAAAAAACTTGAAACTTTTAACTTCCTGTTGATATGGTGGCATCAATGAACAAAACTGTCCAACTAAGGGGATTTTCCAGATAACAGAAATATTTTCTCTCTTATTCAAGAAAGAAATCTCATGTATTAGATTACACCATCAGTTTCCTTTGCCAACAGCAGAAAAACCTTGATTTTCTTACTATTTCATGTCATTTATCTAGAAACACACACCATGTTATGCAGGGCCATGTCCTCTGGGACATAATGTGTAAGTCTGACACAAATCAAAGACTACACTCTGGGCTTTGGTCTTAGTGATGGATCATCCTGGTTCTTGTTCTGATGGCAATCTGCCTCTCCCTGTTACTGGACTGAAAAGCAGGTAACAAGACTGGCTTGTAGTGAGTGTAAGCTCAAGGTACATAGAATGAAGGATGCAGGAGTACTACTCGAGGGAAAATGATTGCGCTCTTGTTGTGGATGGCATGGAAATCTCATTTCACTTTTTGGGAGGGCGTTTGGTGACATCTTGGAGACCCAACACTGGAAGAATGATTGAAGGAAGAATGATTCCAGTCTCCATCAAAATAAAAAGCCTACAGAACTTCAATCCAATGGAACCACATGTAAACAATTATTTGTGCTCTCACTGGCTGTAGGACAAGTTCAAGAAATATAGTACATTAAGACAGCAGAGTAACAAGAATATGGACATACACACACAGCTCCAAGTTCTCTGAATCAAAAAATAGGCATGGGAAGGACACAGTACAAGGATACGTAGTACAATGGTTTTCAGCTTTTGTGGCAGGCTGATAGTACCCAAAAATCCTTAAAGAAGTTCACACTGGGCACTGGTGGTTCACACCTGTAATCCTAGCTATCCAGGAGGCTGAAATCTAAGAGTTGATGTCTAAAGCCAGAATTAGGCAGAAAAGTCCACGAAAATCTTATCTCTAATCAACCAGCAAAAAGCTGGAAATAGAGCTGTGTGGCTCAAGTGGGAAAGTGCCAGCCTTGAGCAAGAAAGCGAATAAACAGTATGAGGCCCTGAGTTCAAGCCCTAGCACTCACACAAGACAAAAAAAATTCTTATTTCCTGCATGGCAGGCTCAACCGTTGAATGAGTTGGGTATCAGGACCCCTTCAAACCTCCTCATTCTGCCCTGGTAATTATAATGTATTGCAATGTTTGGGGAGCACTGGGAGACAAGTTTTCTTGGTTTAAAAATCAACAGTACACTGGAATTAAAATTCAGACAGCTCGGCTTACACTCTAACTCAGCAGCCTTGAATGTGTCTGTGGCCTTTCTAAATTATAACCTTTGCTCATAGGTAGCTCACCACCACCTCAGGTCACCCTAGTACCATCAACCTTGCCAGTACTGTTTGACAAACAAGCCTCAGGATGCCCAAACTTGCTGCCTTTGCTCCTGCCCTTTCCCCGACTGCCCGCCTTTAATCTCTGATGCTACCGCTTCTTGGAAGCCTGTGTGATCCTTACCACCAAGACACCTCTCTTCTGTTCCCCGGGGGCGCATTCCTGTCTTTCCACTGAAACACTCAGAAAGCCGTGCTTTGAATTCTCATTTATCTGTTCACAACATCCATTTCTTCTACTCCTCTCTGACTTTCTACCTCTTTTTATTTTTTAAATCAGTATATATGAGTTACATAAAGGGGTTTCACTGTAATGTTTTCATAGATACATATAATGTGTTTTGATCACCTCCACCCCCTCTATTACTCTCTTATCCTTTCCTCACCATTTTAAAAGCAATCTTGAATTGTTTTTTAAAAAATCTCTTTTCATAGCTGCTCTCCAGTCCCTCTCTCCCTCTTCTTGTGCCCTCCCCAACTCTCTCCCTACTGGTCCCTCTGTAAAAGTGCTCCTGTGAACAGTCTTTTTTTTTTTTTTAAAGTTCTAGATCTACATAAATTAGTGGTTCCTCTTGGCTTTCTCCTCATTGCCCATTGCTTGCTCAGTCTGGGAAAGAACAACCCACCAAAACCCACATGTAGACTTAAGCAGCAAGCATATTCCACAGCTACCAATCTGCCAAAGAAAAAAAGTGGTTGCTGATCTGAGAGATTTCCAAACGCCGGTCTACTGGGAGGAAGGGGGAGAACCCTAGGGGTTAAATTCATTTTAAAACTTAATACAACCACCTGAAGCCAGCACTTCAGAGCCCCAGTGTGGGGGCAGTTTCTGTGGACTTGCAACAAGAATGAAGATTTTTCTAAAGATTCAGGGCCCTGAGCGGGGAGCGCAAGGCAGTCTTTAGAGAGAGGGAATGAAGAGCAGCTCACTGCTCCCTCTCTAGCTATGATCAGATGATGGAATTTTAAGAATTTAAGACTGATCAACAGTCAGGCTGAGAAAAACTAGGATGTTATAGGGAAACCCTGACGTGGTAACTTTATCCAACTGGGACAGAGAAAACAGCCAGGACGATCTTTCCCATGGCCTTCCCACCTCCCCCCACCCCTCCAGCCCCTCCAAATGAATTTCTTACATTCTTTTTAGAGGAACTTCACTCCTTAATTTTATTTCAAAGTATTAGGCTTAAAAGCCGGGCAAGAGCTCTATTTAAAAGAGGAAATGTGCAAAGAAATGAACCAGCCGAACAAAAGGTACACTGGGGCTAACAGCTGGGGCGGAAACATGCGAGCAGTAAGCACCAGCTGTTGCCCTCTGGTGAAAAGCTCACCCCTGCTTTCAAACCACATCACACAGCCCGTCTCTGCAGAAGTCAAAAATTCTACCAAGAGTGCCGATCCAAGAAGCTAATCAATAAAAACAATTTGGGGAAACCGAGATTTTCTTCATGACAAACCTGTCTTAACACTTTCGACTCTTCGGTTCTGATCTTTTAACAGACGGATGATTTTGACAGTGGAGGACAACATCTCAGGGAAGAGAAGGGTCACGTGACCAAGGACTCCATTAGGAGTTAAGTGTGTGAGACTGACTACTGTCACTCCTGGCAGGAAAAGCCCCAAAGCTGCGACCTCACAGGCCAGCTTAGATTTGCCATCCCAGACTGAAGCATCTGGAATCAGAATGAAAACATTTGTTTCCCCAAACAGCATCATCCTGAGGGGTAGAACCAGGGCCTTACACAATGCCCTGCCCTGGGCAGTCAGTTACCACCAATCTAACAGGGCTCATTTCATGGCTTCTTCCCTTCTATGGAGGAGGGAAGGTCTCTTACCTGGGTCCTACACTTTACAAGCAGGTCACTTACGCTGTAATTAATCATGGCTCAGAAAATGGTCGGGGAGCACTTACCCTTCCAGCTGCTCCTCTCCTAGAATATGGCGAAGGTTTTTGAGGAAGGACAAGGAGACCAGGGCGTGCGAATGGCGGATCTTCACGTAACCCGTCACCACCTCAATGAGCCCCATGAAGGTCTCCAGCTCCGAAGCAATGTTATCTACAATGAAGTGGGGGACTGGGTCACAAAGTGGCCACTTGGTATTCTGGGGGACATATGCTGGAGTGCCATCATCAGGTATGGAGGATAATTCAGTGGCAGGTCTTGTTCTGGGGGGAGCCCAGAGCCATACCCAGGATCCCGGCACAGGACCCAGCATCCCCTCACCCCCGCAGCCACCTCCAATCATAAAACACACCTCCTTAGCTTTGACTTTCAAGAATACTCCTGGGTCAAGGCCTCTGAGGCAAGGGAAAACATGTTTCCAGGAGGCTCCCGAACTGCAGTTCCCAGGCTGATTAACAGAATGTAAAATCATAAATACCAGACTCACAATTAGCTAAGGCTGACAGATCCAGGGACCGCCTTTTAATAGGCTCTGTCAACAGAGCGCTGCCTCCGCAGCACAGGGCATGGCTGAACAAACATTTCCCCAGTCTCATTATCAACAACAGCCTTCGCTCCCCCCCAAGGCACAGGCACCCAGAGCTCATGCTGGTGGCTCAAGCCTATCATCTTAGCTATTTCGGAGGCTACTTCTGAGGATAGTGGTTCAAAGCGAGCCCAGACAGAAAAGTCCACGAGACGCTTATCTCTGATTAACCAGAAAAAATAAAAGCAAAAAACAAAAAGCAAAGCAAAACAAAAAGGTCAAAAAAGCAGAGGTGTAGCTCATGTGGTAGAGCACCAGTCTTGAGTTTAAAAAAAAAATAAAAAAAGATAAGCAAGAGTATGGGGCCTTGAGTTCAAGCCCCTCTACTGGCACCAAAACATTGAAAATACTATTTATTGAAACCAATTCCAGGAAATGGAAATATGGTGTGGCCTGGGTTTTTTTGGTTGTTGTTTTTTGTTTGTTTGTTTTCTGTCTTTTGCAGAGGGCAGGAGAGTCTCAGACATGAAGGAAAGGTGAACAAATGCAGGCAGGACACTGAGTAGACACTACGTGGGAAATGAACTATGTATCTTGAGGGCAGGAACAGGAGGGGAAAACTAGGGAAAAAGGAAGGAGTAACATTGTCCGAAAAGAAATGTACTCATAACCTGACTTATGAAACAGGAATCCCTCTGTACAATACCTTAAAAATAACTGTAAAATTATATTAAAAAAAAAAACATTGCCCTCCAGGGACGATTCTCTGGATGGGTGAAGTCTCACTATCTCCCTTTCAAATAAACTTATTGTTTACTTAACATTCTTTTAACATTAAAAAGAACAACTCTTCCCTTTGCTCAGGCCCCTCAATATATCCAAGGAAGCCAAACTCTTGGGACTTGAAGCGGTATGGACCTAGCTACAGCTGGAGCTGGCTGAGTCATGTCTCCCATCCATCCAGTCTCCTCTGGGGTTTGAATGTGCTGCTCATGTGCCTCTCTTGGGAAGAAGATGACCAATGGAAAAATAGGAGATGACCCCTCTTGAAGAAGGAAATCCTATGCCAATGGCTAAAACACAGACTGCCTTTCAATCTGCTTTTTCTTTTTTTAAATCTCTTGAGTGAAACCCAAAAGAGAGATGTCATGTACGAGGTTTACTTGCATAAAGTTTCTTTAAACCCCTTTTCTATTTGCGACTCAGAGACAGGATTGGGGGGTATGGACGAGCGGGGGGGGGGTGGAGGGAAGGAAACCATCAACCAAAGTAAACCAAAAGTACATTCAACCATTTGTCTAGTCAGGGGTAGAACACTTACTGCCTCGTCGGATATTAATGAGCAAATTTCCCCGGAAGATGGTGCATCCTTGGAGCATCTGAGCAGAAGTAACGGAGTCGATAGTTTTTGTCTTCTTTTCTTCCTCTCCACAAACCTTGGGGCAAGGACCTTCGCAGGGGATACAGTACATGCTGTTGAACCACAAACAAACAAAGAGAATTAAGTTTGCCTTCTTGCATGAAAAAAACTTTCAAGAATAAGCCAGAAGTTGCATTTGTACAGCACGCAGGACCAAATGCAGAAATGTCAAGGGCTCACAAGGAAGCTCACTGGACCTCAGGCCCACCCAGAATAAACCATGTCTTAGTTGTCCCCCATAGGGGAAAGTGCCTACAAAGGAAAAGTGTATTGCTTATTTCTAGACAAAATATGCAATCTATCATGGGAAGCATGTGTGGACCATAGGCTGCTCCCTACTAAGCCAGCTGGTTCCATGTGGGAGACAGGCTGGCAGGAAGGAAGCTCTGGGGGCTGGAACTAGAGGAGAATAGAGTTGTTCTGATGTTGTGGCCTGGGCAGCCTTCACCTGCACAGCAGAGGGCTTGCTGGAACAGCCAGCAGGGGCAGCGGAAGAAGCAGTGTCTTTGCCATTCATTAACCAGTCTGATTTTCCTGCGGTCTGTGTGGCAGCAAAGCCCAGTGAGAGATTCCCAAAAGGCATCTGTATAGTACAGAGCCGTCATTTTCTTGCAAAAGCACAACTGAAAATTATTTCTTGACAGTGTTTTTGCAGAAACGTGTAAATTGATCCAAATGTTGTTTTTGCTGCACATACAATAAAAGCAGGGAATTTCCATTACTTGGTAATGCGCTCCTATTTCAAAATGCTATCTCAAGCCTGGCACAAACGACCAAGAAAGTCAGGGAAAAAGTAAGGCGGTCATTCTTCCTGCTTACCTACCATTATTTAGGAAAGAGTGGGCAAAATGCTAATGCAACAGCTGGATCTTTGGGATTATAGCTGTCTATAGGAATCAGGATAGAGAAGATGGGTCACTCACCAAACAAGATAAATAAGAATCTTATGGGAATTATTTAAAATACAGTGGTAAGTTGGAAAAACCATTAGATTGGCAGGATGGTTCTCCAATGGTCTTGTGAAAATTCCATGAAGAAAGAACAATTAAGAAAAACAGTGGGAGTTATAGGTGTTTTCAGTAAAGTCTTCCCCTTGCCCTAGAATGTTATTTCTTACCCAAGGAAAAGATATATTTTTGTTTTTGTGCTACTCATGGAGCTTGAACTTGGGGCTTGGATGCTATCCCTGAGCTTTTTTGCTCAAGCCTAGCTCTTTACCATTTGAGCCACAGCTCCACTTCCAACTTTTCAGTGGTTAAGTTGGAGATAAGAGTCATCTCACAGACTTTTTTGCCCTGGCTGAAATCACGATCCTCAGATCTCAACTTCCTGAGTAGCTAGGATGACAGGCATGAGCCATGAGCCACCAGACCCGGGGATATTGTTTAAACATAATTTCTCTGACATCTTCCTATTTCATGTTTAGAGAATGGGGGTCAAGGTTTCCAAAATATCCTGCAGTAAGTGGGCCTACCTAAAGAAGGGGTCAGGAAGATCCTCTTTGTGCTGAGATCACATTCAACGTTCTACATTCTAGCATGGGGAGGGGCTTTCTTTCAGCACTTTCTTTTCTTTTGGTCTTCTTTTTAAAAATTGACCCACATATCATATAATCCCTCCCAGACCTTCTGTTTCCTAACTAAAAGTTCTTATTTTGAAATTACCACTGCGCAGAAATTTACAAGCACAGGGTAGAGAGACCCACACACCCTTTGCCCAATTTCCTCCAGTGGTGGCTACAATCTTTCACACAGGTAATGCAATATCCAAACCAGAAAATGATCACTGGTGTGTGTCTGGAGTCCCGTGTCAACTTTCCACTTGTGTACAGTTGTGTCATTCTCCCCACTACCATACCAATACAGAGCTCTTCCAGCACCACAAAGGTCTCCGGAGTCGCCCACTCTTTCAGTCACTCCCTGCTGCACTGTCCCTAACTCCAATCTCTTTTCCATCACTATGACTTCATCATTTTGAGAACGCTGTATAGAGGGAATCGAGCAGTGTGTCAGCTTTGACATTGGCTTTCTTTACACAGCACAATGAAGGTGCTGTGTATTTCTGAGACTGGTTTCTTTTTATTACCCAGTAAGATTCCAATGCTTGCTTTGCTTCACTATTTACTTTTTTGTTTTGTTTGTTTCTTTTAAGTGGATAGAGTGAGCAGTGCTTAGAACTGAGCCCAGGACCTCAAGCATGCTAAGCTACTCCATTTTACTTGATTTTTTTTTTTGGTTTTGAGATGGGGTCTCACTATCTATGCCTGGGTTAGTATTGAATTTGTGATACTCCTGTTTCTGCTTTTTGGAAAGCTGGGGTTATAGATGTGAATCCCTAAACCTGGTACCATTTACCTGTTCTAGGATCCCTGAGTTGTGCCTGGGTTCTGGCTATTATATAAAAAGTTGCTATGAACAACTGTGAATATTTCTTTGGACACATGTTTTTGTTTGCCTGGGGTACATGTTCAGGTCAGCTCTGTTGCACTGTGGAGTTGGGTATGTGAGTTTCTCTCCCTCTTTTATTCAAGTACATTTAAAAAAAATTTTGAGCCACATACATTCCTTTGTGAAAACATCTAGGAATCACTGAACACTGCAAGAAAAAAAGTTATTGCAAGGAAGCACTTTTGATTATCTAGGTATAGACTAAGCATCCTCAAATTCATTCTGGAAGCAAAGACGTCTAAATAATACTTTAAAATATTTTCAAGCGCATGTCAAGGCCAAGCTGGGGATAGGAGGGTGGGGGGGGGGAGACAGCATTTATCATTTCTTGATGGTGTTTTATTTTTGGAGCCAAAAAGGTCATCCCTGTAGCTCTGGATAGAACTGACATGTTCAGAAACTCACCTCAGAGGGATTGAAAACAGAAACAAACACAACCCACAAAGCACAACAACAACAACATTGAAAAGGTACAATGTTCTCTTTTCTGCCCACTGTGGTGACCGGATACTTCCCGAAGTAGCCAAAGAAGCTGTATCTGCAGGTCAAAGCTGACACCGGGCCAGGGTCGTGGGCCAGCTGTCTCCTTCCCTGTCCTCCTCCCTCCCATCCTGTCCCCTCTCCTGCCCCCACTCCACCTCCAGGCCAGTGGGAAGCCTAGGCACCCCCCCTGTTCCAACCGGCCTGGGGTGTGCGCCCTCTGCCTCCCACCCTAGGCCGGGCCTGGGGTGTGCGCCCTCCTCTGCACCCCCTCCCCCCACGCAGCCGCGGACCCGCACCTCTGGGAGCCGTTGCGGATGAAGCCCGACGGGCACTCCTGCATGCAGGCGCCGTCGTGGATGACGAAGCCCTCCGAGTCGCCGCTCTCGGCGCTGGGGATGTTGGCGCAGGCGTCGCGGTCCACACAGCGCCAGCCCTCGAACTTGTAGGTGTCGGGCGGGCAGTCGGGCACGCACTCGCCGCGGTGGAAGTAGTGGCGGCAGGCCACGCACGCCGTGGCGTTGTCGGGCACCGTGCAGCTGCCCAGGCACTCGGCGTGGCAGCACTCGTTGTCCTCCGTGCACGCGCGCTTCCCGCACGCGCTGGGGCACACTGTGGGGGACACGGAGACAGGGGTGCGGTGAGACGGGGTGCCCCGGGGCCGGGGAGCAGGTCCCACCCTCCCAGGACCCCCCCAGGAGAGCGGGAGCCCCCCCCCACCATAACAGCACAGTACACACACACATACACACACACACACACACACACGCACACGCTGGGTGCTGCTGCTCACGCCTGTAATCCTAGCTACCCGGGAAGCTGCGATCTGTGAGGGTGGAGATCAGGTCTGCAGCCGGGCCTGGCAGCCCAAGGAGAGATTCTCATCTATTCCTCATCCAAAAGCTGGAAATGGGGCTGTGGGCTCAAGTGGTAAGAGCACCAGCTTGGAGCGAAATCAAGCCGAGACAGCTCTTAGGCCCTGAGATCAAGCCCCAGTACTGGTGCGTGCGCTCACACGTGCACACACACGGTACAATGCCCTCTGCATTTCACCCACAGTAGTCCCCTGCCCTCTTACACACTGGGGTTTACTTCAAGACCCCCCCATACCAAAAACCACTTACAGAACAGTTTCTTATCTATTTCTATATCATCTCTATCTATCTATCTATCTATCTATCTATCTATCTATCTATCTATCTATCTATCTATCCATCTCAATAAAGGTATATAGATGCCTATGTATGCCTATCTATCTATATATGTATATATCAATAGATATCTATGTGTATGTAGATATCTATACGTTTTCCTATCCATACACAGTGATGGTAAGGTTTAAAGGAGAAATGGAGCACAAAAGGAAGTTAATTTATAAACCAGAACAACTGTAAGGATGTATACTGTGAAGACAGTTACATCAGCTTGGTCTCTCCTGTTGAGAGAGTCAAGGCCGCATTCTCAGACCATGATTGGCAGCCGGGAACTGAGACCTGGGGGAGGGAAGCTCAGGGACAAGCGGACAGCTGTGCTCTCGTGCTGAAAGGCATCCATCACTAGCCTTTCTGCAGAGAAACCCTTCTTTATTCTGAACACCATTCAGCCACAATGAGGAACGATGAAGCCACTCAGGTTTACAACTTTCCCAGCACCGGGAGCTGGTCCTGCCATCCCAAATAAGCAGGACACTCTTCTCTGCACAACTCTTAACTATGAGATCACCAGCAAGTTGGGGCGACCATGTCTTTTAAGCGTCCACCTGCTATAGTGAGGGGAAACTCAGGCTCACCAGCCACCACACCCACCGTTCACCCCAGCCAGATGAGCTGACCTTGATTCCCCTAACAATGCTGTCATGATCACTCTCCACTGTGAGTCTTACTCATAAAGTATAAATCAACAGAATGGGAAATCTGGTTCACATTATACGTGCCCTACTTTTTTTTCCCCCCTGAGTTGGAGAACAATACAAAATTATTTACATATGTATATTTTTGACTCTGACATGCAATTCTGTGTGAAGATTTTATTACTATTTTTTCCTTATGAAAACACACGCGCAACAGACGTCAGTGATTACAGATAAGAGAAAACGAATATAAAGAACATGATGTAAACCCTTTTTAACAATGAACTGACAGTTTAACAAAATTAATGCTAGGAAGCGGAAACATGTTCTATCTAGGCAGGGTGAGACTTAAAGGAGGGAGAGACAAATGGAGAGAGGAAGGGTGGGCAAATACAGTCCTAATATCCAATGTAGCTATCTGAACATGGAAGCAGGTAACTTGAGGAGATGAGTAGGGTTGGGAGAGATGTGAAAAACAAAAACAGAATTGGTAACATTGATCAAGATGCATTATACTCAGAAATCAACATCTTGAACTGAAACCCCTTTGTACAAATACATGAGGATTAAACAGATCACGGAAGGCCATCAGTCTCTTTATTATCAACAGCTTTGCTGGAATCCTCCAATACCTTTTTTGTTTTTGTTGTTTTTTTTGGGGTGGGGTGGGGTGCTGGTACTGGGGGTTGAACTCAGGGCCTGGGCATCATCCCTTAGCTTTTCCCACTTAAGATTAGCATTCTACCAGTTAAGCCACAGCTTCACTTCTGACATTTTTCTGGTTAACTGGAGAAAAGAGTCTCATGGCCTTTCCTGTCTGGGCTGGCTTTGAACCATGATCCTCCTATCTTAGCCTCCTAACTAGCTAAGATAGTACCAGCTTGCCAAGACTGTTTCTTAAGCCATTCATGGAAACAGAGGCATGGGCAGGAAGACTGCAGTGAAAAGTCAACCTCAGGCAAAAATTGGAGGCCCTATCTGAAGAATAACCTACAAGTAAAAAGTGCTTGAGACAGGGTCACATGTCAGAACATTTCCTTAGCAAGCACAAAGCCCTGAATTTAAATTATACTACTACTACTAAAAAAAAAAAAAAGAGATAAAAAGAAACAATAAAAGAAGCTCGGTCCTCCTGACAATGAAATCACGAGGGCAATATTGAACAGCTTAGAGCTAGACTTAGAACTAGAGAGGGCTGGGAAGGTGGCTCAGTGGTAGAGCGCTTGCCTTGCATGCATGAGGCCCTGGGTTCGATTCCTCAGCACCACGTAAGAAAAAAGAAAAAAAGCCAGAAGTGGCGCTGTGGCTGAAGTGGTAGAGTGCTAGCCTTGAGTTGAAGAGCTGAGGGACAGCACCCAGGCCCAGAGTTCAGGCCCCACTAACGGACCCAAAAACAAAAACAAATCTTAGAACTAGAGAGGACGTTTTGTCTGTTGCACGCAGCTACACTCATCTCAAGTGAGCCACCCTTAAGTGAAGGACCTGTTGGTCCATGTCAGTTCATGACAGGGCTGGTTCTCAGTGGCTCTGCCTATTTTCAAGATTCAATAACAAGGAGTTAACTACCTGATCACACAGAAGAAAGAAGAAAGAAAAGAGAGGAAGAGGAGAAGGAGGAGGAGGAGGAGAAGCAGCAGAAGGAAGAGGAGGAAGCAGAAGAGGAGGAAGAAGAAAGAAGAATAAAAACGATATGTTAGCTGGGTACCACATCTGTAATCTTAGCTAGTGAGGAGGCTGAAAGCTGAGGACTGTGGTTTGAAGTCAGCCCAGACAGATAGACATGTAAGACTCCTATCTCCATTTAACCACCCCAAAGCAGGAAATGGAGATGTGGCTCAAGCGACAGAGTACTAATCTTGAATTTTTTTTTTTTTTAAAGCTAAGGTATAGCACCTAGGCCTTGAGCTCAAGTCATAACACAAAAATAAAATAAAGTAAATAATAGAATTGCTGCAGCAATGATACTAACAGCCTCTCTCCCCGACACACCCCCAATTCTGAGCCACTCTTCAGCCATCCACCACCATCACCCTTTATGGCTGGAAGCAAACAAAAACTGATTAGGCATCTTGCTGCCATGGCTGTGACTAAGAACCCCCTTCCCTTACCATGAAAAGAGAGAGCTATAAACATGAGGAGCATGGGCTGGGAAGGTGGCTCAGTGGTAGAGCACTTGCCTTGCATGCATGAGGCCCTGGGTTCGATTCCTCAGCACCATATAAGCAAAAAGAAAAAAGCCGGAAGTGGCACTGTGGCTCAAGTGGTAGAGCGCTAGCCTTGAGCTGAAGAGCTGAGGGACAGCACCCAGGCCCAGAATTCAGGCCCCATGACCAGACCAAAACAACAACAACAAAAAAAAAAACATGAGGAGCAACAGGCATTAAGATCAAATAGCTGTTCACTCAGTAAAAACTCTAGAGCATTTAAAGGAACAGGAAATCTCCCAGTGCACTTGCTTGTAATCAGCGATAGTCATAGGTAAATGCCGGGCTACCCCATGAATAGACATGACCATGTATGTACCCATTAGGTAGGCTTGGCATTTCCATCATTTCCCTGTAAATAGTGTGTCTAAACGGGGTCCCCTGAGCCCACCCAAAAGGGCAGGTTGGTGGGGGAGGGTAGCTTTGTTGCTAAGTAGTGAGGGGCTTCCAAATAAATTTTAATGAAGTTTAAAGTAGGTTAAGATTGTTTTCTTCTCCCTGCCCCGCCTCTCTTTACCTGTCTTGGAGCTTGAATTCAAGGCCTGGGCACAGTCCCTGAGCCTCTACCACTTGGGCCACCGCACTACTTTCTGGCGTGTGTGTGTGTGTGTGTGTGTGTGTGTGTGTGTGTG